GAATACTTCCGTGAAGCCATTTTTGCTCAGCCCTTAAGAACTCGCCAAAAAACCCCACAGGAAAATATAGCCATCCTATATTTTCAGTATTTAACAGTGAATCCTGTACACATCTACTCAGAAGTAAATCCCACCGAGTTCATGTACATGTATACAGGACTGCAGCCTAAAACATCTCAAAACTGTACTGCAAAAGATGCGAATAATTCCAAAGATATTTACTTACCTATCTGATGGGCACCAAAGATCACTGGATCACCTTTGGAAGCCTCGCTGTCTGGTGGGGAGAGAAGCAAACAAACCTTTTGAAAAACCAGAGTAATGGCATTTGTCATAATTGATGCAGAATGGCAGTTGCGAAGGTCTTCTCTCTTAGCTACTTAGTTTGGACCACCCCTCATACCGTGCCTAAATTCAGCACTGCCTGATTTGATTGATGACGACGATAAACTTTGGACACAGGGAAAAGCATCTCCGTCGCAGAAGGATGCTATTCGGTCTCATCAGCCCACAAACTTTGCACTGGCCAAATACTCTGATAGATGGTTGTGCAGCCTCTTTGTCGACTCTCACCTCCTTATTTTGGCAATGCCTCCCTGGTGCCATCTTCTTCCTTTGAGGGAACCCAAAGTTTGTTCTGAAAAAGCCATCTGTGGCTTTCAGGTGTGAGGAGTGAATGGAGCATCCCTGTCTCTTACCCACCTGAATTGACACAGCTACCTCCTCTCAGTCAGCACAGCCCCCTTTCTGCCAACTGAGCCTGCCTCGCATTGGTTGCTAGGCAACCAAAGCAGGCATATTCTGCAAACGTAATAGGCATTAACTCTCCATCCTTTTTTTAGGTTGTGTTTTAGAAATTGTATCCCCCTCCCACAAAAAACAAAAAAATAAAAATAGTAATGACCAGATCCAAACTGAATAAATCGACAAAATGCCACAGTCTTCTGAATGTAGAGTAAGTACCGGTAATCACAAAAGCAGCCCACATAGCCCATAGGTATTTGTGGAGCCAGAGTACTTCTTATTTGGTAGGATAAAGTGGGGTGCAGGGGGAATGTTAATCTTCATTTTCCCCCTGCACCTCTTTGCAGCTTTTTCACCCCCTTTTTCATCAGGCCTGCAACATTTTTATCAGCCTATGGTGTCATGGAGAAAACAACCGTCTCCCTGCCTGCTTTCTTTCTTTATATTAGCCTCCCTCCTCCCCCCCCTCCTAAAAAACCCCTCAGTGCCTTAGCTGTGGATTTAGCCTATATTTTTCTCTCAGCCACACTGAGGCAAATTAGGCCGAGAAAGAGCGATCTAGATCACCCACTGAGCCTCATGGCTGAATGAGGATTTGAAGCCAGTGGCCCCATTCAGACATTTGTCTGCTGCATGGGTAGGCAAACTAAGGCCCGGGGGCCGGATCCAGCCCAATCGCCTTCTAAATCCAGCCTGTGGATGGTCTGGGAATCAGCATGTTTTTACATGAGTAGACTGTGCCCTTTAATTTAAAATGCATCTCAGGGTTGTTTGTGGGGCATAGGATTCATTCTTTTTTCTTTTCTTTTTTTCTTAAATATGGTCCAGCCCTCCACAAGGTCTGAGGGACAGTGGACCAGCCCCCTGCTGAAAAAGTTTGCTGATCTATTGCTTCATAAACCGTTACCATAAAACCGTGGATGAAAGAGTCAGAGGACCAGACTACTAGTTGCCTGTGTGTACACTCGAATAAGAGGCTGTATTCCCACAATGATTTTTTTGGCAGCGACAGCCAGCATAGCCAATGGTCAATGATGATGGCAGTTGTAGTCCCACAAATATCTATCTGCCATAGGTTCACCACCCCTGGTTAACGAAAAGGTGCAATGTCTTCTGCTGCAGAGTATTGAAATGGGGTTAATAGTGGAAACAGGGATCCTAAGAAACAAATCCACTCTTAACATAGGACCACTCTTAATAATAAATAGGGCTACCAAAGGTTGCTAATTATCTCTGTGTGCCTTTAGAATCCTTCCTTCAATGCAACACAGTGCAAACACTTTGGTTCCCGTCCTAGATCACCCTCACTGCAAAAAGCCCCTTACACATGTAGAAAGCAAACTGTTATTTGCTATTTTTATTATTATTGGGTATACAGTCAGCCTGAATGCCAACCTAAATGTAATGCAGCAAGAGATCTGCAATTAGGATCTCCAACTTATTTTAACAGACATGTAGGAAACACTAGGAAAGCAGGTATCTAGGAGAGAGTGTTTAACTGTTTTGTTATTTCTCCTTTCCTCTGATCTCCACTATTGGCCTGGGAGGAAAATTAAGTTCAGTATAACCTATGAAATGCAAAGAGCTATCCTTTCAAAGTTGCACTTGTCCAAAAAAATAATAATTAAAAAATAAAAATAAAAATCCAACTGAACAATGTTTGCAAAAATGCATATATTAGGGGAAAATATGCATAAAAATGAAAATATTAGCGAAAAGAACATGCCTTATATTAAGGAAGATTGTTTGCAAAAATGTGTACATTAGTCAAAACCACATGTAAACATGTAGTTATTTTTTTGGGGGGGGAATGGAATAAAATGCTGAAAATTTTTCATTAGGACTTTGAAAAAAACCCCACATGTTGCTGCAAAATATGGTGAACTGCATTTAAGATTGGAAAAATGAGAAACCGAGAGAATCAAAACTGGCAAATCCTTCCATCCTTAGAAGTGGGTAAGATCTAACAGCCATCTGGAATACCGTACCTCTTAAAGCATTGAGAAAATGAAGAATTCCACTGTGGGTCAGCCAGCTGGCATCATCCAAGTCCCAGTTTTCACTCAACTCCATCTTTTGGTGCAAGGACAAAGGAACCACTACTTTGAACGATCTGTGCAAAGTCAAGGCAAGCTTTGCAAGATGACAAGAAAGAGGTGGCAGCTCTTTCTGAAAGAAAAGTGTGCAATGTATAGTTAATTATGTTAATTGCCAACGACTTCAGGATATGAAAGAATGGAAGGTTGCCACTGAAGCAGAAATGCTGCAACACATTTTAGATTTCCGCCCCACTTCATCTCTAAGCCCCATCACAGTATGGCTATGTACACACAACACTCTTAAAACACAGTCGAAGCACATTTCTTCACTCAAAGAATTCTGGGCATTGTAGTTTGTTTAAGGTTGCTGTGCATTGCAACTCTGTGAGGGTAAACTACAGAGCCCAGAATTCTTTGAGGAGAAAAATGTGCTCCGAATATGCTTTAAAGGTATAATGTGCACATAGCATAACCGCCAACATTTCTCCGATGAAAATAGGGACGTCCCATTCTATAATGATAATTTTACTATTTATAGCCCACACGTCTTACTGGGTTGCCCCAGCCACTCTGGGCAGCTTCCAACATATATAAGAACATAACAAAACATTAAACATTTTGGGGGAAAAACCTTCCCTGTACAGGATTGCCTTCAGACGGCTTCAGGGTCAGATAACTCCATGCCCTCCAACATTTCTCCAATGAAAATAGGGACGTCCTAAGGAAAAGTGGGACATTCCAGGATCAAATCAGAAACTGGGACAGCTTCTCTAAATCAGGGATATCCCTGGAAAATAGGGACACTTGAAAGGTCTGTATTAGTGAAGGTGAATGAAATCTCTTGAGGGTACAGTTAGTATTGGTCTTGTAACTCTACCCTCCTCCATCGATCATATCAATTGAACTGCCTCTCCAATCCTTGGCTGTATTGCTTTCTCTAGGAAACTCACTAAGGCCCCATTTGCACTATAACTTTTAAACAGTATCAAACCAAGAATCCTGGGACATTTTGTCAAGGGTGCTGAGAGTTGTTCAGAAGACCCTGTTCCCAGGGCCGTCTTAAGCATATCCGGCGCGTGGTGAAAGATCCCTCCGGCGCCCCTCCCCCGGCAACTCCAAAACAAAGGAGGGGGCGGTGGAAAATGTCCTCTGCCTCCCCCACTGCCCCGATCCCTGGTGTGGTGGTGGCGACCAAGCAGGAAAACGTGCTGGTGGACATGCTCTCCGGTGTCGGGGGGCCCGAGAAGCCTGCACACAGCCTTTCGCCAGGAAGCAGGTGTGCTAGTCCTGGGGGCTAACCAAGAGGTGAGGTCCGAGTCCAGTCCGAGGTCGATGGTGCGGTATGGAGGCTGTCCGTCAAAGCTGTAGCTGGGTCCAAGGCAGGGAGTCGGGTGGGGTCAGGAACTCTGGCAGAAGAGCAGGGCAGGGTGCAGGCAGGAACAGGCTAGCAACAACGTTGCTCCTGCAACCTGGGACTGGGGCTGACTGGCTTTTATCTGCCCCGAGGCATAGGGCGGCCCCGATCCTCTGGTGACTCGCCTCTCCTGGCCTGGAGGCGAGCACTCCTCCTGCAGGAACTTAGTTCCCTCCACCTCTCTGCCCTGAGCCTCTGCAGCTCAGGAGAGGCTGGAGGGTTACTGGACCCAGAGGCAACCTCTTCTTTCCCTGACGGGGCTGAGAGTGGAGTACCTGCAGGCAATGGGTCCTCCATCACCTCAGGGGCCAGAGCAGACTCAGCTGGTGCCTGCACTTGAGGATCCAGCACAGGTGAGGACCCTTCAGGCTCAGGCCCCAGCCCCAGCTCAGCTGGTTCTGGAGGCGGGGAATCCTGTGCAGGCTGGGATTCTTCAGGTTCAGCCTCTGAGTCCGAATCCCAGGCCATCACAGAGGCAAGAGAACAACGACCAGGAGCAGGGCCGTCTTTAGCAGATGCTGTGGCCATCCTAAGCCTCTGCGGGGATTGCTCTCCTCCTGTGGAGGCTTGGGAAGGAAGCTGCACGCCCACCAGCCATAGTTGGCGGCGTGCAGCTGGCAGGGGTGCAGGGAAAGGGGAGGCTGCTGGCAAAGCCACGCAGCTCCCCCACTTGCTAGGGTGCTCCTGAGAGACTGGCGCCCTGGCGCAACGAACCACTAACACCAATGGGAAAGACGGCTCTGGCTGTTCCTTTCACAGAGCTCCAATTCCCAGAGTTCCCTGGGAAAGAGGAACTGAAGAGTCCAGCAGCCCTGAAAATGTCAGGACCATCATGGAAACCCTTAAACCATCATGGCTTCTCACTTTGTAACACAGAGTCCCTAATTCCCATCTTTGTTGAGGTACGCTAATCGGAATGGCTTCGCATGGGAGGAAGCAGAGGGAAGAGAGCTGCGGACTGTGGCCACCTATTCCTCCCCCTCCTCTGTCGCCGTTCCTGGGAGTCGGAGAAGGCCTGGTGCAGGGAAGAGTCTTGTGCCAGGTCCATCATTCCCCATAATTCTTTGGGGGAAGCCATTACCGTTTATAGTAGTATGACACTGCCTTTAAATGCATAGTGCAGATGGGGTCCAACTCCAGTTCAATGCAGTTTTATTATCTATATTTGTACAGGGCTGGCATCCGCACCTGACATCCTTGGGCAGCTGGCAGAGCCTCAGTGCCTTGGCAGGGCTTACTGCAGCTGCCTGCCTTAGGGCAGCCTTTAGTGTGTATATATGTATGTATATATATATATATATATATATATATATATATATATATATATTTTTCCTGGCCTAGCATCCAGAGCAGCACAGGGAGCCTGAGCCTAGCTGACATTTTAATGTCATTTGTGTCATTTAAATCAGCACCCAATGGGCTTCATTATAATTTTTATGTGCTCCCCACTTATTTCGAGACATGAAAACATTTCAGGTGCTGTGCAGCAGGGTTTCGTTCCCTTTGGAAGGTGGATGATGTGCTTGTGATTCTCAGCCATTGGTATTCAGAGGCATGCTGTCTCTGACTGGAAATTTACCACAGACATTATGGCTCGTGGCTACGGAGAGCCTCATCCTCCATGAAGTGTTCTAATCCATCGAAGCTGATGTCTCTCCAGGGTTTAAGAACATAACGTTATGAGTCAGAGGGGGTGTCAAGTGTAATGGGCTTGGGGGGCAGTCCAGTCCAGATGATTTCCTTGGATCCCCTCCAGGCCTATGATCCTGTATCTAATAAGGGATATAATCTAGTAGGAGAGGTTGTGGAACCTGTTAAACAAGGCACTGGGCTTTGGCTGACTAGTTAAGTACCACGATTTAGCATATACAAAGAAGTCTTGGGGTGCCACTCACTGAAGCAAATGGGTGGGCCTTTCCCTCATCCCACTCACCTAGCTGGTATGTAGGAGGAACAACAGCCAGTTATAAGGTTAAAAGCAGGTGAGAAACTGCGGAGAGACAGGTTTTTGCTCTGTGTTGGATCTAGACTTGTTACTAATGGAAACGCTAGCTCTTTGGGGGTGTTAATGCTGCAAGACCCTCTTATCCTATGCTCAGGTTGTAAATAAAACCATACATTCTAAAAACACTACAGTTTCTGCTGACCTTCCTTCCAAGGAAACAGAACACTGTGTAAGTGCTGAAACCCCTGGGGTCTCTCACGGCTTAAAGAGGGGAGTGTCTGGCCCTGTTGGATCAGACCAGTAGTAGGCCATGTCATCTAGCATCCTGTTCTCACAGTGGCTAATCTCATGCCAATGGGAAGTGCAAACGCAGGACGTAAACACAACAGAGTCTCCTCCCAGCAACTAGCATTCAGAGGCATACTGCCACGGACAGTTTCTGACTGGAACCATAGCATGAGCAAAATACCGATAGGAGATATCATAGCCATCGCTAAATATCTCAAGAGATGTTGCATGAAAGAGGGAATAGGGAACAAGCTTGTTTTCTCCTGCTCTGGAGGATAGGACTCGAACCAAGAAAGGAAATTCCGACTAAACAGGAAAAGCTTTCTGACACTAAGAGCTGTTCAACAGTGGAACAGACTTCCTCGGGAATTTATATTTTTTATATATATATATATATATATATATATATATATATATATATATCTCCAGGCACTCCAGTCTTCCACTGCCTCCCGCAGTTTGGTCAAACTCATGCTGGTAGCTTCCAGAACACTGTCCAACCATCTCGTCCTCTGCCATCCCCTTCTCCTTGTGCCCTTCATCTTTCCCAGCATCAGGGTCTTTTCCAGGGAGTCTTCTCTCCTCATGAGGTCGCCAAAGTATTGGAGCCTCAGCTTCACGATCTGTCCTTCCAGTGAGCACTCAGGGCTGATTTCCTTAAGAATGGATCGGTTTGACCTTTTTGCAGTCCATGGGACTCTCAAGAGTCTCCTCCAGCACCATAATTCAAAAGCATCAATTCTTCGGCGATCAGCCTTCTTTATGGTCCAGCTCTCACTTCCATCATCACTACTGGGACAACCAGTATGCATGCACTGTTCTAGAAGCAGAAAACTCTGACAAACTGGAGCATGAAAACAATAGCTGGGTCAGGGAGAAAAGGTTAATGGAAGCCACTTACACTTCACGCATAAACACCCACACAATGTAGGCTTCTGTGGTACGCGGATTTGAACAATGAAAGAAAAAGCAAAGCCTTGTTTTATTTAAGGGCGGCACCCAATTGAGAAACCACAATTAATTTAATTAATTAATTAATTAATTAATTAATTAATATCTGCACAAGTTTTCCTATGGCTAAAACAAACAGCTGTCCAATCCCCACCGCGTGTTCTGAAGAAAAATGTTCTTCAGAGAGGGCTTGCACAATATCACAGCAAGCACGTAGAATCATTGAACTGTAGAGTTGGAAGGGACCCAAGGGTCATCTAGTCCAACCCCCTGCAACGCAGGAATCTCAGTTAAAGCATCCATGACAGATGGTCACCCAACCTCTGTTTAAAAACATCCAAAGAAAGATTCCACAACCTCCCAAGGGAGTCCATTCCACTATCGGAACAGCTCTCACTGTCAGAAAGATCTTCCTGTTGTTTAGTCAGAATTTCCTTTCTTGTAACTTGAAGCCATTGGTTAGAGTCCTAGCCTCCAGAGCAGGAGAAAACAAGCTTGTTCCCTCTTCCATGTAACAGCCCTTGAGATATCTGAAGATGTCTATCATATCTCCTCTTAGTCTCATCTTTTTCGGGCTAAACATACCCAGCTCCTTCAACTGTTCCTCATACGGGTTGGTTTCTATCTCAAAAGAGGATTTCCTTTCTGTGTTTTCGAGAAGAAAAGTCTCTTCTAAAATGGTATTAGTACCTGCTGTCACTGGTGGATCTTTAACTGTTTACATTTGAAATAATACTTTAAAAAACTGGTTTAAAAATTTAAACCATTTAAAAACCATTTTAAAATGGTTAAAAAATTTAAAAATACTTTAAAATACTTTTTAAAACTGTCACCCGTGGATCTTTAACTGTTTACATTTGAAATAATACTTTAAAAAACCTAGCTGTCTAATTAATTGGATATATTTTTTAAATTGATAAAAAATAGTTGCTTAATCTAATTTCTGTCAATTCAAAGTTTAGTTGACTAAACACCAAAATTCCTTCCTTCCTTCCTTCCTTCCTTTGTATCAAAGTTACAGTAGTGTGTGGATTATTTTTCTAGTCGCATTTTTCAAAAACCACTAATCTTTAAGAACTGGATGCTGGGGAACAAAGGTCAGCTAAGCTCTTAGCCTGGAATGTCTCCAGTTTAAAATAATCTGCTGCTGCATGTATTTCCCTGGACAGGAACAGCTGTGCCAGAATTGTTTTAGCCTTTATGCACCCCACTAGATTTGCACATTGTCCAGAAGAAAAATAAATAAAAGGAATAGGCAAAGACCAGCTTACACAAGCAAGAAAATTTATGGGGCTGGAATGCAACCTCACACACCTCTTATTTTGCGCAAAAGTTATGGACTCTCAGTTACTTATTGTGATCCACATTGGGATTTGATCCTTTTGGAAGAACCTGGCAGCTGATCTCCCATAGTAGCAGATTGCTGTGCTCTTTAAATTCATCTCCAACATCCTATTCCTGTAGTCTGCTTTGATCCTTAATTCTCATTGTAAATGTGCCACCATGGTGCTTTTTTAGAGTTTTCCAAGGTCTGAAATACCCCAGATTTAGAGTTGGCACACACACACAAAAATACATTTTTCAAAACCTGTCTAAAATATGTACTCTAAAAATACCTCTGAACTTTTATTTGAGCATAAATATCAATTTTCCGGCCTGTAAACTCCAGCGGTGGTTTGAAAATATACCAACCACCTATGTTTTGTGTGTAGTGCAAAGTGGTTTGTGTTCTATCAGGGGACTAAACTGGATGCTTATTTTTTGGGCCACTTTCCCACCTCCTGAGTTTCTTTCTTTGTCTGCTTGCTGAATTTTAACAAGGCTGGATATTTTTCTCATTTTAATTAAGGTACCATGGCTGTCTGGGTCTAGTTAAAGTAGCACTGCCTGGGGCTGATGGGAGTTGTAGTCCTAAACATCTGGAGGGCACCAGGTTGGGAAAGGCTGACCTACAGCTACAGTACACATGTACACTAAAGGGACTGGATGGGGGTTTGATTTCTGCTCCATTCTTGGAAACCACCATGCAATACTTGGTACAATGCAAGGCGCAAAGGCAACTGGTTCCATTTTGTTGCATTCCATTGAACAAGTCTGTTTCTTGTTCCAGACAGAACATGAAATGTTGAACTGCTAGTCATTCAGTCAAATAGGGATTCTGAGATGGTGTCTTAATTTTTTGGTGTGGCCATGTGTTTTAGTTTATAGAGAAAAGTCCTCTGTTTAAAGGTGTTCTTTATTTGAACAGCTGTCCAAGTCCTGTTTACAGATAAAGAACCCTAAGAAGAGAAAGCAGATTATCCATCTCCCATTAGCATTTAAATCACGGGTGTCAAACACAAGGACCGCGGGCTGGATCCGGCCCGCCAGACCTCGTCATGTGGCCCGTGTAGCCACCGCCAGCCTTCACCTTTTATTCTTGCCTTTTTTTTTTTTGACACAAGAAAGCCGCCTCTTCAGCGCATGCGCGGCAGCCTACAAGCCAGAGAACGTCTGCCCTCTAGCGGCGCCGGCCGTTCTACACAGGAAACCTCCACTTTACATGCATTCAGGAAACCTCCACTTGTTTTTATATTGAGCGCATGCCATCCTGTGATGTGACAGATCCAACGGCTGCCTGAACCCTTCTCTCCTGTACTGTAAGTCCTACAGATACAACCGGCCCTTTGAGGGTGACCAAACTGCTGATGCGGCCCCCGATGAATTTGAGTTTGACACCCCTGATTTAAATAAATAAATAAATAAATAAATACTCACCCCCAAGCCACTCTGGGCGGCTTCCAACAGGATATTAAAAACACAATAAAACACCAAACATTCAAAACTTCCCTAAACAGAGCTGCCTTCAGATGTCTTCTAAAAGTCAGATAGTTGTTTATTTCCTTGACATCTGGTGGGAGGGCATTCCACAGGGCGGGCGCCACTTCCGAGAAGGCCCTCTGCCTGGTTCCCTGTAACCTCACTTCTCACAGGGAGGGAACTGCCAGAAGGCCCTCAGCGCTGGACCTCAGTGTCCAGGCTGAATGATGGGGGTGGAGACGCTCCTTCAGGTATACTGGGCTGAGGCATTTGGACAACAGACAGAACAGATGTACAAGCCACCTAGTCACAGTGGGTAGTATTTAACTAAATGATTCCACTAGTGCAAGTAGTTTTTGCTGCACTGTGGAACATTCCCACTTTCCTTTCCCAGTGTGCCTCCTGCACACTCCACAAATCTGCTCCAGAGGGTTTAGGGGAAATGCCACAACAGAATTAGGGAGTGCTGGCTTCCACCGCTAGGCCAATTGGCAGACCAACTCAGCTTTACAAAGATGTCTGCAAATGTGACATGAAGGCTGGCAACATCCACCCTGTCCTGTGGGAAAACCTTGCAGACAACTGCAGTGCCTGGAGAAAGGCAGTCAGGATGTGCATCCACAGCAAGGACCAGAGGAGGAATGACCGCTGGGAGGAGTGCAGACAGAAGAAACGCCATGGTGCATCTGCAGCGGCACAACCGGACACCTTCATCTGCCCCAGATGCAACAAAACATGTCTCTGCCATATCAGTCTCTACAGCCGCTGCAACTGTCCAACAGCTTAAACTCAGCACCAAAGGCGCATTCCTCCATTGTCTCCCGAGACAGACTGATGCCGACACAACAGGAAGAAGAGAGGGCAGTTAAAACTCCTTGTGTTGGCAGTAGTTTAGTTGGCTACCACCCAATATTCCACAGTATGGTGCAATGTCTTATAGCTGTATTGTTAGAATAGTTGGGTGCCTCTCCCTCTCTCTGCCAAGCAATAGTAAGAGTCCATGGGGTTCCAGGCACTCACCCAGGGTCTGTGTTCCTTTGGAGGATTGAGTCACAGCAGAGACTGTTGTAGCTTTAAGAAATATGGTTTATTCACCTATTTATACCTTCAGTCTGCATGGAGGAATACAGCATGGTCATTTCAAGAGGGGCTTGTCCCCCACAGCAGTGCAGTCAGCCTTCAGCCAGCCTGCCCAAGATGGATCTAAGTCGTTGTCTTCTTCTTCTTCTTCTTCTTCTTCTTCTTCTTCTTCTTCTTCTTCCCTTGCTAAAAGACTCCCTTTCCCTGTCACCTCTCACCCAGTTACCCTGGCACCATCTGTCTCCCCAGGTCAAAGGATTCCTCTCAAATGGCCCATCAACCCCTTTTGTCATGTTAACAGATTTGCTCTTCACTAAGCCAGCCAGACTGGTTTGTAAAACCAGCCCAGGGATTCTCTGCAGTTTGTACTTTCATCCATATCCCAACTAATCAAAATCCTACCATTTATTAATTTCTAGGGTTTAGGTGGGTTCTCCCCAAAATCTATAACAGTATTTATATTACACTTTTTCTAAATTTGCATTTGGAAGTTTTTGTTTGCATGTGCACACTTTAAGTCAATCTGTGGCCTCTTTTGTTCTTTTTGGAGACGTGCATTTCTTCATTACTTTTCTCTCTCTCTGTGTCCGTGTGGCCTCTCTCTATGCAGACTGTCAGGAGCTCGTCCTATACTTGAGTAGGATCCTGGTAGAGTCACATGCCCGACTGGCATGTTCTCTGCGTCCTGGTCATTCTTCCGGGAGCTTCAATAGCTTTCTTCAGCCTGAACATCACAGCTACCGATGCCAACAGACATCGGCACACTTAGGGATCCGCAGAGTCTTTGCAGCTTGCATAACAGACCTCAGCAACTCAGCATTTTGGCTAATCTACATTATTTACATATAAACACACACTGAGCACTGCAACATGGCTCCCTCTCTCTCTAGCATCAGACAGCAAAGAGAATGAACAAAGGACAATAGTCCAACTTCACGGAACACAGTAACACAAACATCCTGTCTCCGTCACTTCGCACTCTGTGGAGTCAAAACATACACTGTCAAGTGATAGAAAAAAATCCCATGACTGCAGACATGGGGAATGAATCTTCAACACAGGCATCCTCTGTGCTAAGCCATGCGAGTTTCAGTTAAGCACCAGTGATGTGCTCTTTTTGTTACTGTTTTTAAAGATGGCACTGTTGGAAACCATGGATGATTTCTGCTATGCAGAAATAAAGCCGATATGGGAAAGATGGTATGTATAATGCACAGGGTGGATTTGATTTAAATCATGATTTAAATCATTAATTCAAATCATGCTTTAAATCAATAGTCAGTAAGACTTGATTTAAATCAAATTTTTTACAGAAACTCATTCTTGCTGGTATAATCTTAATATTTGCATCCAGATGTAGATTTCATTATTGGAATAATAAATTTTCAGAGTAGTTTTTACCGTTATATCAAAATTTACTGATTTGGTTATACTATTAGAAATACATAGACAGATAATTATGAGATTATTGTGAGGTTTAATAAGTTAACTGTTTATATTTGGACAACTTTTCTGCTGTACTTTATTGGAAGGAGAAAAATAATCATTTCCTTAATAACCATTTAAACAATTTATTTAACTAAAACAATAACATTATAGCATATGTATCCATGTTTGTTAACATTTTTTAAAAAACAAAAAACTTCAAATTGTCACACAATAAAATACAAGAAACAAAAGAAAGAATAAATACGATTAAAAATCAATATGACTATTCAATAGGATGGAGTGCTACTGTGGCATGTGATTAATTTCATTGTAAGCGGCAGCTTGCGAGGATGATTGGGGGGGGGATGACATCGTGTGCATGATATCCTGATGTTATGCATGTGAGCATCATGCCTCCCTCCCTAAGCTGGGCAGAAGCTTCCTGGGCTTTGGGAAGGAGGCCCAGACTAATTTGCAGGAACGTTTAAGGGATCAGTCTAGTCCCCTTAGTCCACTGACCGCATGCCACCGATGTGCTACCTCTCATCTTCACAGACACACTACAGACCACCTGCAGGAAGCTTGCAACTACTGGTGGTCTGCAGACTGAAGATTCAAAACCCCTGACATTGTCCATATGATTTGTTCTGGGAAAGGCTGAGAGAGGTAAATCTTCCAAAAGCTCCTCACTGATTCCAAACCTGACCCATGGAGACCTTCACTCTCAACCAGCCTCGTGCCCTGATGCTTCCTCTAGCTGATTCCATCAGAGGGGAATGGATGTCCCATGATCTCCGTGGAACTTCTAGATGGGGTAAGCAGTGCCGAACAGCAAGCATAATCTTAGAAGAGGGATGCATCCCCCTTTCTCTTACAGAGGTAGGGAAGCATCTGCTAAGATGACACTTGTCTTTTGCAGCTTGTAACGTGTACTTATATTCCAAAGAAGTGGCTCTCCAATTAATTGGGGGCACCTTTTTCCTCGATTGAAACGCTTTGAAAGGTTTAATCAAACTGATTCATCAACCAAACATTGTAGCCCTAATTATAATGTTCCACAGCTAAGTCTCCGCATTAAAGACAGATTCATTGGTAAGCCCTGGCTCAAACGATCCACACACTGCATGTGTGTCTTTTTCTTGCACTGGACAATTTGAAACAAATAAAAAAAGCAACCATAACAACATCCTAAGACTCCATCTCCGGCACAGTCAAGGGTATTTCAGGATGCCGATCTGTTTTTCATATGCGGAATTGCACAAAATAATTTCTTTGTGGCTTTTCTTCCCAAACTGCCTTCTGAAAAGCAAAGCTAAGACTCTTGTGTTTTGCCTTGCAACAACCCTAAACACATTGACCTCAATCAGCATTAGAAACCCTTGTAATAAATGCAAAACGACAAAGAGCAAAATCTTACCTGTACACTGTCGACTCTCCTTTGACGCTTTACGAAGCACAAGGCTTGCCCCCTTGCAAATTGCGTGTTTCTTTATCCGGTGATGACTCTCTCGAAAGTATGTGGCTGTTGTCTGGACTTGCTTAAGGTTTGTATAGGGAAATGACTGGAATTCTACTGTTCTTGCATTTTCAAAGAGCTTCAAAAGGCTTCTCCAAGCCTCCCAACCAGCACAATAAATACTGGGAGTATCTGAAGCGCATATTCATTGTCCTACAGAATATATAATTAACTTTGGAAAATTAAACAATTGCAATGCAGCTGGAAAGATGGAGGAGACAAAAACACCAATTGTTTAAATCCCTGTATATGAGCTTTTCAGGGACATCTACTTTGCCCACGTTGGAGGCGCTTTGGCCCGATCCAGAAATTCCCGACTGTGCAAATCAAGTTAGAGCTTGAGTTGTACAACACACTGGCCTCTCCCTGGCGAAAATGCAGCCTTGCCCCAGGGATTCGACAATTGTCTGTGCTATATTAATACAGGCAGAGGCAAACTTGGCCCTCCAGATGTTTTGGGACTCCCATCATCCCTAGCTAACAGGACCAGTGGTCAAGGATGATGGGAGTTGTAGTCCCAAAACATCTGGAGGGCGAGTTTGCCTATGCCTACATTAGTATTTCCCATCCCAGTGACCAGTGGGTGAGATGCAGGCTTCTAAGTGTACCAGTTAGTAGTCCAGTATAGTAAGAGAAGCTGGCTGTTTCTATTCCAAGCATTCAGTGAGGAATAATTATGCTTTGCTCCCTCACTTTTTTTATGGAGCATCTGCTCAAGTTAATAAGCAAAGCATCCTACACTCAATTGGGTGCTTCTCTTTCCAAATAGCATTGTCTTCTATCTGTTTCTTTTCTCTTCCTCCACTTAAATTGCAGCCAGAAGAGCAATCATAATCAGCAGTGCAGTGAGAAAGTTGGGAGTATTTAACACTTAAAATCTCCACACTACTTGGTGTTGGGGAAAGGGGACTGCCTACTTGGCTACAGAGTGTGAGACTTTGGAAGCAGAATTGCTATTCAGAACAGCAGTGATTGTGTACTACCAAATCTCCCACTTCTAGAAGCACCTGCTAAGTCTTACAAAGTTCTTGCTAAGTCCTTAAGAGGCAACACTGGTAGACTGGGGTTGCATTGATGCTCTTTTAGCCCTGACCCCCGAGATCATGCGAACTCTTCAGTGTGTATGCATGCTCTTGTGTGATTAAAGTACGCTTCTGCAGAAGGAAGTCTTGCGTATCTGTGGAGACTCCTTGCACAATTGAGAACCCTGATCTTCCAGGGTGCTCAATCATTCGGGGAGCTTCATTCATCTACAAGTCTTCCTGTTGCAGTTGAATTATGCATGGGGCTGGAAAGAGGGCTTCCAAACTATCTCTATTTTCGAGTAGGATTCAATTACATACTGGCAGATTCAGGTTATGAAATTAGCTGATTGGGAGATATTGTGCTAATTCCTTTTGTAATAAGGAATTTTAGGGGGAAATGCAGTGGATAGTATGGGGCAACCCTTGGCCCCCCTCCCCCAAAACAATTCAGGGTGGATGCTCATTAAATAGTCAATGAAGTCTAATTGCCCTGCTCAATTAACAGGACACCTAGAAGTGTCCTCACTAAACCTGTGTCACCTCTAAGGGTAATAATGACTAAGGAGGAAAATGATTTTGCTGTTACTGCCCCCATAGTGCTGCTTGCCATTTTCGCAGCAGCACCACTACCAAATCCCTCCATGCAAGTCATAATACTAATTGTGAAGAGTAGACAACCTTGAAAATATGGAAATTTTCCTGTTCCACCTTGGCTTCTTCCCTCTGGGCTTGCAAGTTATTATCCACGTAAGCTTCCCTCCTCCTACGCAGTAACGATGACTCCCTGGATCATTTGGTTGGGACATCAGTTACAATGCAGAATGGGTTGCAACACCTTACAAAGAGCTTCTTCACACCAGCAAAGCAAAGTTTTCCTTAGTGTGAAAGGGTTTCTTTTATGAACTTGTACCCCTGTCATTTCAGGATTCAGCTTGTTTGTCTACATCCAGCCCATCCCTGCTTCCAAGCACTGGTCTAACACCTCAACCACCTTTTCCAATTCAGTTGAAACAGACAGATAGAGCTGGGTGTCACCTACATATTTATTGCACATCACTCCAAAACTCTGATGACTGCTGCTGGAGGCTTCATAAGGAGCAGGGACACTGTGGGGCACTGCAGGACAACTTTCATGGTGCTAAACAGTCGCCTTCCATAACAACTTTCTGGAAATGCTCCTGCAGGGAGGAGCAGAACCCATGAAGCAAATTTTCACCTCTCCGAGATGCTCCAGGACACTGTGGTCATCAAAAGCCACTGACAGGTTGAGGAGAAGGAGCAGGGGCACACATCCCTGACAAATGTCATCAACCAGGGTGACCAAGGCAGTTTCAATGCCATGACTGAAGCCAGACTGGTATGGATCCAAGTAATCAGTTTTCTCCAAGTATGCCTGAAGGTGGATTGCCACCTGTTTCTCAAGGACCTTGCCCCCAAAGAGGATATTTGCCACTAGGCAATAGTTGCTTAGCACTTTTGGGTCCAGGGAGGTCTTCTTAAAGGAGGGGCTGAACCATCCTCTCCTTCAAGGAAGACTGGCAGCAGGAAGCCAACGTGGCATGTCTTAATTTGAAAAGAAACTTGACCTTTTAAAGGACTTTTCAAAGCTTCTGAAGAATAAATGTTACATCTATATATAAACCAACAAGTATATCAGTACCATTTGAAACGCAGAATTCAAACACATCCTTCAGCAGGGTATTCTTTGTATTCAAGCCTTTCTCCTACCTTGTCTTTGCAATATTGAACTATATTTGTTAGAAAAAAATGTCCTGCTCTTAATCACCAGGGTTTAAGGCAAGGTGAAATACTGCTATCAAAAGACAGCTATCTAGGCTCCAACTAGAAACAGATAAAAACAACAATAAACTGGGCCCAAATAATGTCAATAAGGGGAGGGGAAGACAAGTTTTACATACAAACAGAATATAACTTTAATTTTAAAACCAACCATTCAGCTTTATACAAACAGCCCTCTTCTAAAGTATCTCCAAATTTGAACTCAAACATCTATGTGCAAAAATAATCAACTTGAAAGAATACAGATACATGCTCAAAGGCATCTCACAGACATATATATAAAACCTTAAACATGACTAAAACACTTGCTCCATGATCACCAGTAGGAAACGAGGTTTGTTGCTTCAATTCTAAAAAACAGAAATTTCTTTTTCAAACAAAGACAAAACCTCTTGACAGTTGCCACCTCAACACCATTCACAGATAGAAAAGTTTGTCAGCGAGTGCCAGGTTTGGCTCTCTGTGGATGCTCTGGCCCACCAAGAAAGTCAGCTTGCTGGCATACTGGCATGGCGCTGGAACTCTTATTAGGCCCTAGAAAGCAAATGGGAAGAGTATATCAGAGGTCTTGCTCCATCACCTTCTGCTGAAACTGGCTAGCTGCTTCCAGTGTCTTCAAAACAGATGAAACAAGACTCTGTGAATTCTTCAGCCAGCAGTATCCAACATAAAAAAATGCGTACATGACATTTAACCGAGAAATAGGTTTGTACAATCAAAATGCAGCCTATCCAAATATTAGTTTGTTGGAGTTTGTTTTCTCCTTTAACACAATTATACACATTTTTTGCTCATTTTTATTTATGTATGGAAAAGCAGTGCATTCAACCATGTGAACCCCCCACCCTTCCATTAAAAGGAAAACTCATACAGCTTCAACTACTGCTTGCACGAAACAGTTTACTGTGTGCTACCTGAATTTCCCACAGTTGGATGGGTACTAGATTTGAGATGGCAACAAGGCTCAACTGGATTATGGACAGGTACTGTTGCCTAAATGCCATATTCTGTGGCAGCTAATATTCATCCTCAACCCCAAACAGGGTACTGAGAGAGAAGATGGTGGCCACCAATCATTAAAGCTGGGCTGCGAATTTTTTTGTGTGCAGAGGGAATCATTTTGGCCCAGCCCTAAAGAGACATAAACTTTGCAAGTGTTTTTCTCTTATCTGCATAGTTCTGTCTATTGCTTCTCTTAAAAATAAGAAGAAAACAATAGCTCACTTGCGGATCTTCCTCACTCACCAGCTGAAAGTTGGTATTTTGTAACAACTACCCAGTACACTGGACAAAAGGAAGTTTGCACCAATGTACAGAGCACAATGCTGAACAATTTGTGACTCAGCTGACCAGTTGCGTATGCAACTGCCAGGTGCCTGATAATTTGCTTGTTCTCTCAATTCCGGGGGCAACAAAAACAGGTAGACTACATTTTTTACATCAATAGCTGCAAGTTGGACAGGGCTGATCCTATGTAAGAGGAAGAGGGCACTGGCACTACTTGAAAAGGAGGCCAATCCTTCCCTAACTTCATGTGGGAGGAAAAGGAAGGCAATTAACTATCTGGATGCAACTGTGTTACTTACAGGCCAGTTGTAGTACAGATGGCACATCTTATATGTAAAACGCTGCATATGGTCTGGCTTGAATCCATTCTCATCATAAACCACATTGTAGTATGTGGGATTGACAGTGCCCTGGCGGGCAAGTTGGCTAATTAAGAAGAAGTCGTACCTGTTGGGCAACATTAGAATTAGCAGAAGGAAGCAGTCTATGTAATATGTTCTAACTACTACTACTATTATGATAATAAAAACTACCGGTATATTGATAAAAGCAATTATTAATATGAATAATATGAATATTAGTTGCTACCCAGGGCTCCTTTGGGAAGGGTGGAATATAAATGCAAATTAATAATAATCACCATATACTAAGTTAGTGGGCTTGCTTATGCTTTTTGGACGCATATAAAGTAGCAGAAATCTTATTTTTCAAGGGCATCTGACTGCCAACTTTACACACCCATACATAGTCGTCCTGGCCCTACCACTATACAGTATTCAATCGTTAGAGCAATCCTGTGAAGAAGGTTAGGCAGAGAGAAAGTGACTGGCCACCCAGTGAATGTCACAGCTTAGTGGGGATTCAGATGAGGTCTCTTCAGTTTAAAACCAAAACTGTTATACTGCACTGGCTATCAGTTTTGACCATCCAAATAAATAATAATAATAATAATAATAATAATAATAATAACAACAACAACAATAATAATAGCAGCAATTTGGTGTTTCTTTCCCTAATCCAGGAATGAGGAACCTGTGGCCCTCAGGATGCTGCTGGGTTACAATTTCCATCATCCCTGACCACTGATCATGCTGACCAGAGCTGATGCGAGCTGAAGTCCAAGAACATGTGGAGTTTCCTGCAGGCTTCCCACACCTACCCTAATCTGAAACTTTGCATGTTCTGCCCTGAGTACTGCCAAGCTCCTGTGCATTTGTTTTAATGGAGAGGCAGTTCTGCACATGCAGGAGGGTGGGTGCAGAGCTACACCTTTCACCAAAGTTAGTCTTCAAGCGAGGTGGCAGCCTGTGCCCATAACTAATCAATGGGACGACCATAGGGAGCACCATTAAGCTTCCTGTCTAAATTAGGTCTGCTAACATTTTATTTGTTCCACACATGCAGTTGTAAATGGCTACTGGTTACCACAACCATCTCACCAATATCTCTGCAACAATCCTGAGAGTTAGGTTAGGCCTTGAGTGACTGGCCTAAGGAGACCCAGAGAATTGGGATTTGAGTCCAGGTCTCCCCAGTCAAAGTCCATCACTCTAACCACTGTAGTATCATATTGGCTCTCAATTATAAGCTATCTTGCTATATCCATAAAAAGATAAAATACTTGCACAGCACATGATTCGGGAGTTTCAATATCTACTAGTGACTGCAAGTATGGGTCTGGGTCGGGGTAGCCAATGTGGTACCTTCCAGATACTGCTGGACTTTAACTCCTATCAGCGTGACTAAAGGTGATGGCTGGTGTGATTTGTCCATCTGAAGGGCACTACATTGTCTACCCCTGGTCCAGAATGTGATACTGCATTAATGCAGAATATAAAGGTATGATCTTGTGGTGAAAGCCAAAAAGATTGGGGACCAGAAAAGATACTGTTTTGGGGCATCACTGATATGGAGACCTGTGCTCTTCTTTATTAAACCAAGACTACGGGTGGTGACCATTTTAGGCACATCCAATGGACATGCAAATGAACGGGTCCTTTTGGACCCGGAACAAGGCAGAATGGGGGGAGGGCAGAACGGAGTGGAACGGGGCAGGCTTATACACACTCCAGAGAGGTGCATGGGGGCCAGAAACAGAACTCCTGCACGAAATGGTCACCGCCTGTAGTTAGAAGGTGAAATTTTAAAGAAGAAATTGGGCAACTAACTGACTTGGCATGCTTCCACAAGGCATTGAGGCACAAGACTCAGAGAGTGACTGTTTACTCAACCTACCCTCTGCCCACATTGCTGGTTGAAGGGACCTGTGACAGATCCTGCTGCTTGGAGTCCTTCAGATTCATTGAACATGAACCTTCGTAACATCATGTAAAAAGAATTCCCATTCAACGCAGCATCTGGTTATCCAATTGTCCAGTCTGTTAGAACATTCTGGAATAGCTATTACTTTGAACAACCAAGCAAAGAAATAGGGCAGAAGTATTCAAGAGAGGGAGCCTTCCTGGTTTGGAGCTGATAGAAACTGCTTAATAAGCTCATCTTACTTAGCCAATCACCTCGCTTTCGTAGTTGTGCCAATATCTATACTTGCCATTCAGGTCGAGTAGCCTCTGTGTCAATAATTGTCCCAACAGGAGGGTTTTGCAGGCTTCTGTTGGTCTCGATGAAGAAACGCTGAAGGCATTTCTTCCTGACCACAATCAGCGATAGTTTGGCTCTTCTGATGTAAAAAGAAAGACATTTTAGAAGGTGAATCAGTGATGCAGGGCTAACCATGCGTTCTTTGCCACCACTGCTAAATGAGAGATGCTGATAAAGAACAAGTCTTGCTTCCAGCAACCATGATTGTTTCAAACTACCTGCCTGGTAAAGACAAAAGGCAGGACAGGATCAGTTTACCTGCAGCCACCACTGGACTCATCGAGGGCACTTAGTATCTGTGGGACTTCAAAGTCTACCACCATCTTCAGCTGCCCATCTCCAACGCCGTCACGGTACACTATTATGCGTGCAGGCAGCTGCCCATTACATGTCTGCCAATTACTTAAAGCATCTACAGAACCACAAGGAGGAAATAAAGAATGGAGTTACATAACTGATCCCATGTGGGAACAAGCTGATCATATGTAAGCTTCCCTTCACATTGACACTACAGATGAAACAAAAATGAATGAACTTTTATCTTTAGGCACAAAGGCTTTTAGTTGTTGTTTTAAAAGGCTGGTGTTACTTGCTCAAGAATGAATGGCACTAGAGATGGGCAACAGATCAGCCTTCTCCAGTCCGATACCCTCCCAATGTTATGGACTACAACTTCCATCAGCTGTGCTGCCTGGGGCTGATAGAAGTTGTAGTCCAAAGCTTCTGGTGAGCACCTGCTCAGGAAAGGCTGCAACAGATACCTGCCTATTGCATGGTGTATACCAGGGGTAGGCAACCTAAGGCCTGGGGGCCGGATGCGGCCCAATCGCCTTCTAAATCCGGCCTGCAGACGGTCCGGGAATCAGTGTGTTTTTACATGAGTAGAATGTGTGCTTTTATTTAAAATGCACCTCTGGGTTATTTGTGGGGCACAGGAATTCGTTCATTTTTTTTCAAAATATAGTCCGGCCCACCACATGGTCTGAGGGACAGTGGACTGGCCCACGGCTGAAAAAGGTTGCTGACCCCTGGTGTATACAAATGATACTTGTGACTCTCCATCATCCTTAGCCGATCATCCCTAACTATTCATCATGACCAAGGCAGATGGGAGATGGAGTTCAGCATTATTTCAAGGGTCACATATTCCACCATTCCTGATATGTACAATAATCCCATTATCTCCTCTGGTAAACACATTTTGCAGACTGATGTAGTATTTAAAAATCCTATTTGACAGTATGCAACAGTGGGAACAAAATAAATAAAATGCAGGAAAGTCTTGTAAGCTACCATGATAAACACAGTATACCATAGGAAGCTGCCTTATACAGTCAGATCATTTTATATCCAGCTCAATATTGTATGTGCTGATTGGCAGCGACTTTCCAGGCTTTAAAGGTGGGGGATCTCTCCCAGCCCTGCCTGAAGATGCTGGCAACTGAACCTATGACCTTTGCATGTGAAGTATGTTCTGTTTACTAGGAGTCATCCATAGTCCTTCCCCAAATAGTCACAGCAACCTAGCAGAACCTCCAAACCCTATTTTTGCTGCCTAATAAAGTATCTGGTAGGCCACATAGCAAAGGGCCCTAATCTCTTGTGATGTGGCATGACTTATGGTTGGCTGGATAGAGCCACCTGTCAGTCAAGACCCACTTGAGTCAGGCACTCTTTAAAATATTAGTGTTGTGATGCAGTTTTTGTCCCTGCAACTGATGCCTGATACAATCAACACCAAAGATGACCACTGAGAATAAGTTTTGTAGTGATTGGCCTACCATAGAAACAGTGAGACCAATATCCTGGTATGATGTTTTATTTTGATCTGCATACTTGCTCTTTCATTCCCTCAATTTGAATAAACTGCTGAAACAGGAGGAGAGCCAGGCTGAAGTTGCCAAGCAGGAGACTTAGAATCCAGCTGGCTATTTCCCTACTCCTGAGAAGGCCACTGTTAGGCAGTGGGAATCCTGTGCCCCTTGCCATAGGTGACTCCTAAGAGGGTCGTGGCAGCAGAGAGACAGAAGAATAGGACAGGACTCCCTGGAGCTATTAGGCAACCTTGCAGGGTTGGTGCTGGAGCAGGGTTCAGCCTACTGTTACAGGCCTTCATGTACAGCCCAAGGACTGTGCATAATTTGGCAGACCACACAAATTGTATGGGCTTGATGTACAAGTACAGTGCCTTCCAGTCAGTTTCTGAACCCAGTTCAAGGTGCTGCTGCTGTTTACTTTTAGCTTGGGACCCAGATACATGAAGGATCATCTACTCCCCCACCTCAAGAAATAAATGTTCAACCATTAAGTATATTTCACTAATTTATACAGCAGCACCCCTACCTTTCATGCAGACCTTTAAACAATCTGCAATGTTTGATCCTGAATTTTGCAGCATGCAACGAGAATACCACCTGGACATAAAAGGAAATAAAATTTGTTTTGAGGTTATAGCAGTACAGGCTTATTAAACTCTAAGTCTATTTGGAGTCCTCTATTGCCTTCACGGAGGTTCTGTACACTCCTACATCACCAAGAGAAACCACAAATAGGTGGAGGGGGGGGGACCCGCTGCTGAACCATATCATGTTTACTTGTCTTACAGGAAATTGATTTGAGAGATGTAGCTCCAGATACTTGTGATACAAATCATAGAATCATAGAGTTGGAAGAGACCACAAGGGCCATCGAGTCCAACCCCCTGCCAAGCAGGAAACACCATCAGAGCACTCCTGACATATGGTTGTCAAGCCTCTGCTTAAAGACCTCCAAAGAAGGAGACTCCACCACACTCCTTGGCAGCAAATTCCACTGTCAAACAGCTCTTACTGTCAGGAAGTTCTTCCTAATGTTTAGGTGGAATCTTCTTTCTTGTAGTTTGGATTCATTGCTCCGTGTCCGCTTCTCTGGAGCAGCAGAAAACAACCTTTCTCCCTCCTCTATGTGACATCCTTTTATATATTTGAACATGGCTATCATATCACCCCTTAACCTCCTCTTCTCCAGGCTAAACATGCCCAGCTCTCTTAGCCGTTCCTCATAAGGCATCGTTTCCAGGCCTTTGACCATTTTGGTTGCCCTCCTCTGGACACGTTCCAGTTTGTCAGTGTCCTTCTTGAACTGTGGTGCCCAGAACTGGACACAGTGCTCCAGGTGAGGTCTGACCAGAGCAGAATACAGTGGCACTATTACTTCCCTTGATCTAGATACTATACTCCTATTGATGCAGCCCAGAATTGCATTGGCTTTTTTAGCTGCCGCGTCACACTGTTGGCTCATGTCAAGTTTGTGGTCAACCAAGACTCCTAGATCCTTTTCACAGGTACTGCTCTCAAGCCAGGTGTCACCCATCTTGTATTTGTGCCTCTCATTTTTTTTGCCCAAGTGCAATACTTTACATTTCTCCCTGTTAAAATTCATCTTGTTTGTTTTGGCCCAGTTCTCTAATCTGTCAAGGTCGTTTTGAAGTGTGATCCTGTCCTCTGGGGTGTTAGCCACCCCTCCCAGTTTGGTGTCATCTGCAAATTTGATCAGGATGCCCTTGAGTCCATCATCCAAGTCCTTGATAAAGATGTTGAATAAGACCGGGCCCAAGACAGAACCCTGTGGCACCCCACTAGTCACTCTTCTCCAGGATGAAGAGGAACCATTGATGAGCACCCTTTGGGTTCGGTCAGTCAGCCAGTTACAAATCCACTGAGTGGTAGCATAGTCAAGACCGCATTTTACCAGCTTCTTTACAAGAATATCATGGGGCACCTTGTCAAATGCCTTGCTGAAATCAAGGTAGGCTACATCCACTGCGTTCCCTTCATCTACCAGGCTTGTAATTCTGTCAAAAAATGAGATCAGGTTAGTCTGACATGACTTATTTTTCAGAAATCCATGCTGACTATTGGTGATCACAGCATTCCTTTCTAGGTGCTCACAGACTGTTTGCTTAATGATCTGCTCCAGAATCTTCCCTGGTATTGATGTCAGACTGACTGGGCGGTAATTATTTGGGTCCTCTCTTTTCCCCTTTTTGAAAATAGGGACAACATTTGCCCTCCTCCAGTCTGCCGGGACTTCGCCTGTTCTCCAGGAATTCTCAAAGATGACTGCCAGTGGTTCTGTGATCACATCTGCCAGTTCTTTTAATACTCTTGGATGCAGTTCATCTGGCCCTGGAGACTTGAATACATCTAAACTAGCAAAGTATTCTTGTACTATCTCCTTAGTTATTCTGGGCTGTGTTTCCTCTGCTGAATCATTTGCTCCAAATTCTTCAGGTCGGGCATTGTTTTCTTTATCGGAGAAGACTGAGGCAAAGAAGGCATTGAGGAGTTCAGCCCTTTCTGTGTCCCCTGTTTGCATTTCACCATCTTCTCCTCTGAGTGACCCCACTGTTTCTTTGTTCTTCCTTTTGCTACGAACATACCCATAAAAGCCTTTTTGTTGCTTTTAACCTCTCTAGCAAGCCTGAGTTCATTCTGTGCTTTAGCTTTTCTGACTTTGTGTCTACACGTGCTGGCTATTTGTTTGAATTCCTCTTTGGAGGGTTCCCCCCTTTGCCATTGGTTGTACACATCCTTTTGCAGTCTTAACTCAGTTAAAAGTTCTTTAGATAGCCACCCTGGCTTCTTTGGGCACCTTCCATGTTTCCGTCTCATTGGTATTGCCTGACGTTGTGCTTTTAGTATCTCCCTCTTAACAAACTCCCAGCCATCATGAACTCCCTTTCCTTTTAGTATTACTGTCCATGGGATCTCACCCAGCACTTCCCTAAGTTTTATGAAGTCGGCTTTCTTAAAGTCAAGAAATTGAGTCCTAGTATGCTTGGCTGCTCCTTTCCGCTGTATAGTAAACTTCAGAAGAGCATGATCACTCGCGCCTAATGATCCTTCCACTTCTACCCCACTAACCAGGTCATCAACATTGGTTAGGACCAGATCTAAAATGGCTGTTCCTCTTGTTGCTTCTCCCACTTTCTGGACAATGAAGTTGTCTGCAAGGCCAGTGAGGAATCTGTTTGACCTTATGCTCTTGGCTGAGTTTGACATCCAACAAATATCCGGGTAATTGAAGTCCCCCATTACTACTATCTCCCTTCCTTTTGCATGCTTGGCCATCTGTTCCAGGAAGGCATCATCTATGTCCTTCGTTTGGCTTGGGGATCTATAGTAAACTCCCACAATGAGGTCACTGTTATTCTTCTCTCCCTTAATTTTGACCCAAATGCTCTCACTTTGGCTTTGAGGTTCTAAATCTTGGATCTCTTCACAGGTATACATATCCCTGACATATAACGCCACTCCTCCTCCTTTTTTGTCTGGTCTGTTTCTCTGAAATAGATTGTATCCCCCCATTATTACATTCCAATCGTGGGACTTATCCCACCAGGTTTCAGTGATGCCTATTATGTCATATTTAGTTTGCTGTACCAAGAGCTCAAGCTCATCTTGTTTATGCCCATGCTTTGTTCCCATTTCCCATGGGAAATACTGAAATATCCGAAAGATCAGCATTCATGCCCACACAGTGCATCAACAGAACAGCTGACAAGGACATGGGAACTGCACCTTCACATTACATAGTTACTGAGCTTCCACTGCAGTGACAATCTCCTGAGAAGTGTCGAGCTAGTGAAACAAGAATCTTACCTAGTCAGTTGTAAATTAGAGCTGGTCACAAATCCAATAACTGAGCTTCCTTTGGTCAAAGCATCTTTGTTGATATCAATGCCGACCACCATGACGGACTTCAGCTGTTGAGTAAACAGCAGATAGAATAAGAGGCTGCATACATTAGAACCAACATGCTGGATCAGATCAAAGGCCCATTTACTCCTGTATCCTGTTCTCATAGTGGCCAACCAGATGCCAGCACGGAAGGACTGCAAGCAGGACTTGAGTGCAACAACATTTTCCTCACTTGTGATCCCCACACAACTGGTACTCAGCGGCATACAACCTTTGATTCTGGAGGAGGTAGTACATCAGCATGATAAAGGCCTGCTTTGTTTGGAAGTGGCAGTGTGGGGGTGGATGTAAACAAAACTACTTACTGGTATCTCAACTGCCCATGGTGACCCTCCAAGCTTACAGGTGATCTGCATTGCAATTTTTGTGGCTACGCTCATCATCATCCCTTGCTTGCTCAGGGTGCGAGCAAGCACACACTGGCTAGGGATGGGCCGCTCAAGACTTAAGAACTTCTTCACAGCATCGTAACAGTCCTTCTTGTTGGAAGGCAACACACACAGCACCTAAAAGTGGCACAACAGACAAGCAGTTTCAGTCCCTGAGGTTTGCTCACAAGCCAGGCTTGCTCAATCCTTGATTCAGCATTACACAGCTGGAACGCTCCTGAAGGAGGAGAGAAAGTGGCAATCGAAGCAGAAAAGGTTGGTGAATGAAAGAAAGGCGTGACTCCCTGCTTTCCAGCTGCCAATTGCACCACCCCAAGGATGCCTTTAAGCCACCAGAAGTAGGTTGTCAGGATTTTCTTACATGTAACATGTAGTACAAATGTAAGATTAATTGAAAATGAGTTTCCAAATCAGGAAAAGCTGCCAAAAGCAGAGTGGTTAGCTGCAAGAGCCACCCAAAATTTCTAATTGTTTAATTGAATTTTATACCTGCAAAAAAATCAAAAAACTTTTGAGTTACATTTTGAAAATAGAAAAATTACAAACTAAACACCCCACTCCCCCAGTTTACTGAACCTGAAGGCATAGTTAAGAGCTAAATAATAATAGTAAAGTTGCACTAATAGTAACCCTTTAAATTTGATGCAGTATGGAGTGGCAAGAATCCTGAAAATTAGATTTCCCCACTGCAATTTTGTGGATTACAAATGCAGTGGATTGCAAACTATTGTCCTTGATAACTTTGGTATAATTTGCAAAGTTGTGGTTAAGAACTGGGGCAGAGGGTGAGGAGGATCAATACCAGGATACCAGGACAAATGCTGACAAAGTCTGCATACACACCATAAAGTTAAAGCACAAGACTTCCTCCACCCCCGGATCCTGAGAGCTGTAGTTTGTTAAGGGTGTTGGGAATTGTAGCTCTGTGAGGGATAAATTACGGATTTCAAGATTATCTGGGAGAAGTAATGTATCACATATATGCAGTCAAGGTTAACAGGAAAAGAAATTGTACCATACAAAAATCATCATCATACAAAGCAGCCTATTGCGCTGCCTTCTCTAGAAGGACCAATTTCCAATAGCTTCCTTCCAGCCACCTTGAACATCAGCAGGCAACATACACGCCTCTCTTCAAACACATTTGAAAAGCAACTCAAATATGCATACGCACCAGCTGTAACTCAGGATTCACATACTGTTGCAGAGCTCGAATAAATGCTGAGGGGTTCTCCTGCACTGGTATGCTGCAGACAAAGATCAGAAAGCAATGGGGAATATTAGAAATGCTAACACTGTAATTGGCAGTCTAAAGGACATCTCTCAGAACACAGCATTCCACCGGCTTCTTGGGAAAATGATATCAAACCCAGGACAGAATTCATCAGCAGTTCAGGAGAGATTACTAATGCACAAAATTACAGTGGTGGGAAGAGGAAGGATGATCCATGAAAATAGAATTACGTTTTATATATGGGCCCAAGTAAAACATCATGAAGTTGTGATACATACACATACACCCCCCCAGGACAGTAATACAGGCAACTCCCCATTTATGCATACTTACATGAAATCGTGTATAACTGGAATACCCAATGAAAAAGCCTGAAAACACCCCGTTCCATCCCTACCCCTTTTCTGACGTCCAGTATAGGGTTGATTCAGCAAATACTTTTCTCCACTACTCTGTGATGTTTGCAAACAAAATATGGTAAGGGAGGAATCCTCCTTAAGACTATTGCCCCCAACACAATTACAAGAGGAAGCCTCGCTGAATTCAGTGGAACTTATTTCAGAGACACCATGCTTTCAATTATACTTTTATAAGCATGCATATTTCAGTCTAAAACCACTTCATTCATGGTCAGTCATTACTTTCCCACTTCAGTAAGAAAATCAGACATGAAGCCAATGCAAGGGATTTCTGTGCCAACCCTCTTGCCCCCAATGAAGCCTGCCAAGAGCAGGAGAAAGCCCAACTATAGAGATATTGCCAGAGCATAATTACAGACCGACCCCTCGCAGCTGGTGGAGCTTTGGTACTGTTGCCAGCTCGTGTTGGCTAGATTACCCTGCCAGGATTCTGACATATTCTAGGACTGGAGCCACTCAATAAAAAGGAGAGGCTGGGAGAGACAAAGCATATTAACTTATGGAGTTGCAAAGATCAATACAAGCCCTGTGTGAATGCCTGTCTTTAAAGTTTCAGAGCAAACCATGCAAAATCTGTTCACGGACAGCAGGTTTTATCTGGACCAAAGAACATATGAGTCCCTACCAACAAAGGAATGTAGGATATGCTGATTAAAGATAAACCATCACATCAAATGAAAACTATACAATCCTTGGATTTTTCTCTATAGCAAAGTCAACATGAAGTGGGTATGTAAATGTGGAATGCTTCAAAAAGTTAATATTTGCAAAACCCATCTGTGTGTGAATTTCTACTGGAAAATCAACTTGGGTTGACTTCACCAGTTATAAATTGCGTGAATCAGCTACTACTCATGGCCTGCATTGATGTAATATGCACAGGCAGAAAAGTAGTGCAGTGGGGATTTCGTTTTTATGACTTGAAAGTCCTCATTTGCCTGAAATTCCACTATTTAACATGGACCATCAAACCATGGCCAGAGTTAGAGATATCTGAGATATGGGCAATCAAGGTTGATTAAATTAGCGCACAAATATTGAAGAACATAAAAAATTAGCAAGGAGGAAGGTTATACAAAAGCCAGTGGTTTTCAATGTCTCCCACCAAGTTCTATACTCATGCTGACTACTAGCTGGTATCCAGCCAGCCTTGCAGAGAATGAAGCTTTCCATATACCACAAATAATGTGGTTCTGTGCTACCCGGTGCGATAAGCTCAATCCTGCATGTGCTGGCAGTAGCACATGACTGAACTGCTACTTGTTTTTGTTGTTTTATCTTTTTTGTACACTGCTTTGAGGTGTTTGTTAAAAAAAGAAACCAATTAAACAGTGTCTACATTTGATGAAATAAAAAAAATAGTAAGGAACCACCATACATGGCAATTTCAAACTGCCACCACATACTCAAAGGTTGCCCGCTATCCATCCTTAGTGTGCTTGATATACACAGGACAAAAGAGAAGCACACTGCTGTTTGTTGCACATACCTTATGCAGCAGCAAACTTGGGGGCCTGACTCCAAGAGTTCCTAAGATCAGTGATTTTTCAGCCAGTGTGCCATGGGACCCTGGGGTGCCTTGAATGATGGTCAGGGGTGCCACAGGCAACAATGGCCTCTGTCCCCTTTCCTTCCTTCCCTCTTCTGATGCCCTCTCATAATTCTGCCTCCCAAAAGCTGTTTGTTGCAGCAACCCTGGCTACAAGCTCCCCAGGCAAATGGTGCCTCTGGGGCTGGCTGGGGTGCTGGTTGCCAGGAGTTGAGGCGGCCTTGGAGTAAGCAAGCAAGCAGGCGAGGGAGTCCAGCTAGCCAGTCCACCAGCCGTTGCTGTTGGGAATGGACAGACAAGTGGGAGGCCTGGCAGGCAGTCACTGTGCTGGCTTTTCTTGTGCTTGCTGCTTGCAAGGCCTACCTGGGAGCTGAGGGCCCAGTGCTGATGGCTAGCCTTTCCTCCATGCAGGCCTGCTGCCATTGCTGCCTCCCAAGGTAAGGTGCTGGCCTCACATTCAACTTTGGCCAGTCTCCGTTGGGCCCGTTGGGGACATCCTCTTCCCAGGCCCTTGTGGGGCAGTATGAGGAGACACCTGTCTTTGGGGTGGGGCAGCCCAGGGACCAAGGAATGGACCTCAGAGTGGCAAGGAGAGGGGAGAGGAGAACACTCCACAAGGGAGGGTGTTCGAAAAAGGGTGAGGGGCTGCCAGCTCTGCAGGCAAGGGGTGACATAACTGGCTCTTCAGTTCCACAGGGGTGCTGCAGAAAGAATGTAGTTGGTCAAGGGAGCCGTGGACTCAAAAAGGTTGAAAATCTCTGCCTTAGATAGTGAACAAAAAGTCAACGCTCGTTCCCCCATGAGTTTGTAAATGCATCACTGTCACATTTACACACTTTGCATTTTTAGATATGCACACTTAAAAATTTCTTATACACGCACCCATTTAAAAACCCCAAACCCACAATGTATGAAAAGGAGTGAGGTAAAGAAGAAAACAAGGTTTGTTATCTGAATCTCTCTCACACTTTTGGATATTCAATGTGGAATCCCATGGGACCTCCCACTCGTCTCAAACAGTTCATGAGACTATGTGCAAGCTCCGAGTTTCTGCTGCTGCACAACAGTATCCAGCTCTGCAGATGTGCCACTCCTATCATCTTCATATTACGCATATCTCTGAACCAGTCATTGGCATTCATTGGCATGCACTGCAAGAAGAAAAAGAGATGCAAGTGACCCCAGTAATTTGAGGGAGAAAGCTTATGTATAAACTGTCAACTAACAGGAACTTCAAATGACCTTAAATAGTACAGAAGTTCAGAATATCCCTCCAAGGACTCACACACATAGACAAATGCCGCTGTGCACAGGAACTATTCTAATAGCCAAAGGCAACGTTTGGAATCATGTTTGAGTCTCTCTAACATTCAAGTCCAGGACATAAAATGGAACAGAGTCTCTAGAATACTTACGACTTCATTCTGCATGAGGATTTTTTCTGAGGTGACCACACGGCCAGTCAAGGAAGCCTGACACCCAAGCTTCAGCCCCCAGCTCTCCAATTCTAAACGCGCATCTTTGTTTCTGCAATAAAATGTGCATCCCCAATGTTATGTATGCTTGTATATAGTTTTTACAGTGTAAATAAAGGCAAAGCAGAAATTTACATTGTTGCGTGCCACCCCAATTTCCAAGCAGTTCAAGATTTCAGGGGTTCCGGGCACTAACCTAGGGTTCGTGTTTCTTTGGAACAAAGTACAACATATACTGTGGTGACTTTAGGGTATACAGTTTATTTACATATATGCAACCTGAGCCTATGATGAAGGGATTCACAGCAGTAACACCCCAAGACCAAGTTCATTGTCTCCCACCAGCACCACATTCTCTTCATCAAAACATACAGCTGAATGAACTTATTGGAGCTTAACCAAGCCAGTATTGTCATAACACAGCTAACAATATCAGTTGAAGGTGAAAGCAATGAATGAAAGAAAAAGCATAAATTAGTTGATACAGAATAATTCTAAAAACACAGGTTTTTGGTTTTTTGTAGTAAGTCTTTTCCACACAGAAGAGTGTACAGTGTCAATGACTTATTTGTAGAAACCATCCATGAATGTTTCAGGATGTTTAAAGGGGGAAATACTCTTAGTCTTTGTAATAACCAGCTATGGTACTTTAACTCCATCTAGGGGTTGTAGGCACAGAATAAACACCACAAACACCTAAGGCTGCAATCCTCTCTATATATGCATGCCTATGCAAACTGTGGGGTATATATGTATATTCTGCCTTATGCCTTATAAGTGGTCAAAGGTGCCATTTAACAGTAAGGGCTGAAGAACTATGGAACATATATGCTCAGGCCTAGCATAACTAATAAATACATAAAAACACACACAAGTTGCATACAAAATCCAAAAAGAGAAATGTAATAAATATTAAAGTGTAGAATATGTCCATTTTCTATAACTTGAAAGCATTATTTTTTGTCCTTAAGAGTGAAAAATATGGAACAGCTTCCAGCTTCAACACAAACCAGATCCAGTCCGTAAACAGTCCGTCAATTTTCCTGTAGATCACATCACACAGAGATCACACACACAAATATTACACTGCCTGTATCACACTTTGGGCAGCTATACTTGAAGCAGTGTCCAAGTCTAAGCATGGCAGATGCAGCAAGAGTCATGAAACAGATCTTGTCGAAACCTGTTTAAGGTTTTGAAAAAGTTATCTATGCACCAAATTGGACGAAACTTATACAGTCCATCAGATCTAGTAGAATTACCTTTGAATGTTGTCGGCTAGTCTAGACAGTCGTTGGTGCCTGCGGTCTGGGGCCAAGTGAGTTTCTTGGGCTAAATCTTTCATCAAACGGAAGTCAGAAGTCGCACGGTTGCTCAAGCCTAACAAACAATTTGCATCAGGAAATCAATCTTGGGCCCATGGGGGGAAAGGTTGGTAACTAAAAGCAAGGCAGGTGGCATGACTGAAAGGCAGGTAAAGAAGTGCAAAAGTATCTCATATCTCACTTCATCCAGCAAGCCTTCAATCATGATGTACTAATATTTGCACTGCCTTGCAATGATGTAGATGTAGATAGAACATCTATGAGCATTTCTGTGCATTCAGAGTCAACACATGGTATCACTTCAGAGTGCAGTGGGAAAGAGGAAGTGCATGTTTTAATGCTTCTCAAATGCAAAACTAAAGTAAGCAACAACAAAAAAAGCCACCTCACTCTGTACTTAGAATATACACTGTCAAATGTTGACTGTTGGTGCCTACACTTGTGTGTGTCAAATAAAGGACTGCCAAAGAAGTGGAGAAGGCTACACAGATAAATTATGTGTTTTGTTAATACTGCAAACAATGCTACTTCTCAACATCCCAGCCTACTCTCACAACACTCCACCATGCTTTATCTTCTTCATGCTTTTTAACATTTATGCCAGGAGTAAGGAAGATGTGGCCTTCCAGAGGACTCCAATTCTCACCAGCCCCAGTCAGCATGGCCAATGGTCAGGGATGATGGAAGCTGTAGATCAAAAACAACTGATGGGCCTTCTCTGCTTTAGCTGCAGGTGCCAGGAATTAAACTTGGAGCTTTCTGCATGCAAAGAATGTACTCTGTCATTACAGTCCATCCTCATGCAATGGGTATTCCAGATTCAACTTGCCACAATTGAAAACATCCAATTTCTCCAAAGTCAATGTGACTAGAAGCCAGATCTGTAAGCCCTGAATACTGGAGGACTGAATGAAGACAAGTTCAGACTGTTTTCTCTAAGTTCACAAAGTTGCTCTAATGGCCAGATCACCTGCTGTTTACCTGTCAAGTAGCAGAGTTCAGGGATAAGGTGGGCCACACGAGGTCCAACAGTGCTCCTGCTCTTACTCTTCAGCTGGCTTACGAGCATGGGTTGATTTAGGTCAGTCAGGACTGCATCATACTGCTGTTCAGGGAAATTTAAAATAAGAGGTAGGCAAATTGTTCTTATTCTGTGCCCATGGTACTTATTGGCAAGACATACACAGCACAAGGCAAAATGGGATGTCCAACTGAATTTGAGTATTTTGCATTCCTAATGACATTATCCCATATCCATTTTGCCTCAACTCTTTCCTATATTTCACCAGTGAAATTCCACCCTTCACTTACAGCCATTTTGTATCAATGAAAAGAGTTTAGCCCTGCTGCATCAGCCTGCTTCTTATTTACCTGTTTGTAGTAATCTACATAAGAGATCTGAGTGCCGTCACTTTTCTGAAATACATCTGTTGGCTTCACAGTCCACTCAATATCATCGATTCTATAGGTCTTGTTGTTGTATCTGAAATGATTAAGTGCACATTATAATGCATTTCAAAATATTATAAATATTATAAAGTGCATTTCAAAATATTATTCTGCTCTGTCATAGACCCAAAATGATCCAGCAGAATTCACTGCTTCACTAAGATTCAGCACCAATGGCAGGCACACCAGAGATGACTTGCACTAAAAGAAAAGCTTGACCTACTCATATACATGGTGTAATATGGGAATCCGTGAATTCATGCAATATTGCAGTTGCCCTTCAGTGGGCCTGGGGACAAGTTGCAATTTTTTTTTTCACAGAAGGGAAGCAATGATTATGCATGAGGATTTGTCTGTTCCTTCCCCATCCAGGTGCCCTCATGATGTTTTGAACAAAACTTTCTACCAGCCCTAGCCAATGTAGCCAATGGTGACAACATAATCCAAATATCACCCAGCAACATCCAGAGGGCCACAGGTTCGGGAAATCCACCCTATCTGACTAGAACCCAACAATCTGTTAACTTACAGGAAATAGGATTCTTACAGGGAGCTCTTAAAGTTCTGAGTGTATATCAACTGAATCTTTGCTCATTTTGCCAATTCAAATGTAGGCACCCACTTAAAATTTCCAAAAGAAGAAGCAACTTCCAAATAACAAACATTACCTTGTAAGGACAATAAGCCCCACCAGTTCCTTTTCACATGTTTCTGCGAAACGTGAGTTGTCCACACTTCCATAGAGGTTCATCATAAATTCCAAGACATTCTCATTGCGAAGGACTTTGTGGCTCACATCTGCACATAGCATCACTTTCTCCTCAAACTGTCCAATAGTCACAGCAAATCCTGGCCAAAGCGTCAATCTGAAAGAAAAGGATGGCAAAGACATATCTGGGTTGATCTAATAAATCCAGACTGTGCACACCCTCTGGTTCAAAGGCATGGCATGTATATGCAGGAATGAAACTAGAATTACATTTTAATCATGGTGGTATATAAAAGCAGAGTTCTATATTTGGACATAGTTTAACAGCTGAAGCTTACATTTGCTGCAAAAAGATTACGGCTGCAATTCTTACGCAGGAGCAAATCCAACTGAATCCAATGAGACTTACTTATCTGGAGTAAATATGGATAGGATTGGGCTGCACATAAAACATATTGCCATACAATCAATCTACCAATAAGAGATTCAATTATGTAATTACAAGATGGGGGCAACCAACTCACTTGTGCTGGGGAATTTCCACTGGATCTGAAGGACTGTAGAAGTTTCGTCCAATCTGGTGCATAGACAACTTTTTCAAAACCCTAAATAGTAACATATGTTTAAATGTGGCATGCAGCAGAAGCATCATTTTCCTAATTTGTTAATTTTACACAGGGCAAACTTCTCAAATCTAACTAAACATGTGAACTAAAATCTACCTTGGCAGAAACTATTCGGGTGTATAAACTATGGTTAGAACAATCAAATAGAGTTATATAGTACTTTTTAACATGCTTATATAAAAAGAGCAATTTTCATCTAATAAATCCTGAATGGTGATTTTGAGGCATCAGCACCATGAAGAGCACAGCTAGCAGAAATTGGTGGAAAATGTCTGAACATGACTGGTGTCTTGGGGATTTTGGATGGGCTAATCTGAAAGGGGTCTGCTGGTTTCAAAACAACTGGCAATGGAAATGAGAATTTTTACGAGCATTCAGAATATCCCACGTTGGAAGTTACATCGGACGCCCACAATAACTAGTGGGTAGGTTTAGAAATACAGGGGAAAATCAGTTCCCGAATGCTTCCGTTGTCATACGTTTCGGTTCTCGAACGCTGAAAACCTAGAAGTAAATGCTTCCGTTTTCAAACGTTTTTTTGGAACCTGAACGTGAGACACGGCTTCCGTTGAGTGCAAGAAGCTCTTGCAACCAATGGGAAGCCACACCTCAGTTTTCAAATGTTTCGGAAGCCAAATGGGCTTCCGGAAGGGATTTTGTTTGAGAACCGAGGTACCACTGTATACCTTAAGGTATCTGTATCTGTAGAGATAAGGCAGTAGATGTCCTTGGCCATTATCTACTGTTCATATTCATGATCCCCCTACTTTTGTTTGCCTCCGGCTCCATTCACCACTGGCATTTGGCCCCCAAAAGGTTGCCCAGAGGGAAATGTGGCCCTCAAGCTGAAAAGGTTTCCTGATCCATGTGGTAAACCACAGTCAACAGCTTACTATGGACACACAAATGGCTCTCACTTCTCTTCCCCTTGTGAGGTGCAATCCATGATGTCTAGCAATATTTCTGAACAGAGAATTGTTGTTTGTTTAGCTCCAAAACAAGCCACAAGATGAAGTAATGGTTTGTTTTTGGTTTACTAATTGCGGTTTGTTTGAGTGAGAAACAACCAAACCATGATCTCTGCTCCAGGTATAATACTAAGCTGGGGATCATGATTTGCTGTTTCTACCCATGCTAAAAGAGAAGAAAAGCAGGAGTGAGCCCTGCGTTCACGGTTAACCATAAGCTGTGGCTTTCTGTGACTTGTGAACTAGGCCATTGGATGCACTGAATATATGGACCTCTTGCTAGAAAATTAAATATTTAGTTGCAGTTAAAAATGTTGACAGTAAAAGTGGCTTCATTTACTTTTTTCAATAATAAAACTGCACCCAAAGAAGTCTGGAAAGAGAAACATGATAAACTGCCAGTGATGTTTAAGGTTTTATTTTAATAGCTTGCTGTTTTATTGTTTTAGCAGTATATAAATATTATGAGCATCTTTTTATGACCAATTGATCTTTGACAATAAATTATCAAAAGGCTTACTTTTTAAAGACGATGTTTAAAAACTGAATGCACACAGGATTGCTGGGAAGCAGCTGGTGGGTTAGTGTAATAGTCATCTTCACAGTTTCATCTCTCCGGGTTACACAAGACAGTTCTGTAACCTAACCAGGGGTCAGTGAATATATGAGTTATGCGGTTTCTCTTCAGACTACATCTTCTCATTTCTAAATACAGTGGTACCTCGGGTTACAGACGCTTCAGGTTACAGTCGCTTCAGGTTACAGACTCCGCTAACCCAGAAATAGTACCTCGGGTTAATAACTTTGCTTCAGGATGAGAACAGAAATCATGCAGTGGCGGTGCAGCGGCAGCGGGAGGCCCCATTAGCTAAAGTAGTGCTTCAGCTGAAGAACAGTTCAGGTTAAGAACGGACCTCCGGAACGAATTAAGTTCTTAACCCGAGGTACCACTGTACTGCAAAAGGATTGTACTGAGAATATTGTAGACCCTGGGATGAGTTAGGAAACTAATGGCTGAAGTCTCATGCCTAGCTTGCTTTTCTTTGAAATGTGCATACGAAAGCCTCTGAGTTCTCTTCACAATAGAAAGCAAAGCAGATATCACACACCAGGCAGCTTCTACAACCAGTGAACAACAGGAAGTCTACAGATTGTCAAGGCCTGGTATAAATGTAGGTGCCTTATTCGGAGAGGATATGGCTAGCAATGGCTTCTAGGCATGAAGGCTATGCTACCTCCAGTATCAGAGATGCAAGTAGGGAGACTGCTCATGAACTGTTGCGGCATCTGGCTGGCCAATGTGAAAACACGATGCTGGACTAAATGGGCCTTTGGCCTGATGTAACAGGGCACTTCTTATGTTTTGTCATCGGGTAATTGCACCAATCAGGGAAATAAAATTATTGAATTTCATTACTTGAAATAAATGAATCTCGGGACAGGCAGTTAATTTTACTAACGAAATACTTTCCCAGAGTTTTATTGTTTTTGCAAGCCATTCATGGTTGGGGGGGGGCTAATAAAGTTTCCAGGGGGTTCACCAGCTGGTGCCTCTCACCAAGTCTTGGCATTCAGCTAGTCCATGACACCCTTGTTAGTGCAGTACAGCCTCCCTAATAGCTGGACATCCAACCATTGCTTAAAAATCTGTAAGCAATGGGAGTCCACCACCTTCTAAGGCAGTCTCTGTTCCATTGTCAGAGAAGCCCATACCATTAGGAAGTTCTTGTGATTTGAATCTACTGTTTTAGGGCCTATCCTCTGGAGCAACACAAAACGAATTTGTTCCACCATCATCAAGACAATTCTTACTATATTTGAAGGCTAACATATCGCCTCTTAAGCAACCCTTTCCCAAACAAAACATACCAGAATGTTGGCTCCTGCATATTTTAATGATGAACACGATCTTACCTTATTCTCCAGTTTCTCTGTTAGAAACAGAGATGCACCATCAAATACTTTGGTTTTCCCTTGGAATTCAGGATGGCTATACAACAGTGCAGTCCGCAAACGTCTCGACACCAGCTCTGGCATAAATTCTACATGATACTGGTAAAGCTGCCATTCCCTTGGCAAGCCTAAACTAAACAGGTTGGTAACAAGTTTCACAGGAATTCCACTTGAGCCTGAAATAGACAAACTTTATTAAAATTCACTTTGCATGAACAAATATGTATTCTTGATTCTTTTCAATGTGCTGCTAGCCTTGATTGGGTAAAACTTTTCTCCAGGCAAGGAAAGACCTAAACTACAAATCACTCCTACTGTACTAATGGAGATATACTTGCAGCTGCCATAACAATGTGCAGTGTTTAGCATACAGAGCCACACAACAGGAGCTAAATATGTGACTGCCTTTATAGATAAATTTAACTTAAGACTATAGGCCTGGTTCGCACATAACACTAATACATGACCAAGTCAATACATAAGCATGCAGGTACACACAGTAAAAATTATAGCAACTTTGTTCCGCCCCACCCTCCAGTCCTGCTGCTGTCATCCTACTCAGAGAAGCCATGGTTTCTCTTTGCGTCACAAGCAAACCTTGGTTTCTCTCCCCTGAACAAACAACAAATCTTGGCTACAGCTTATGGCTTGTCTGGAGCGAGACAAATGACACACCATGGATTACTGTGGGTAGTGCAGCAGCAGCAGAGCTGGTAGGGGGAGTGAAATGGACATGATTTTTACTGTGTCTGCATGTTTACGCTTAGCCATGGTGTGGCTTAGTGCTATATGCAAACTGGGACAAAGAGTGTATACAATGCCCATGCTATGTATTTGACATGCACTCAGTTGTGAAGACTGTATGAGATTGGCTCTGGTTCTCTTCAGTGTTGTGATGCCTGTAATGAGTATGAGTTACTCGTGCGTAAACTGGTGCCTCTCTAGGCTAATTTGCCTTGTTAAACCTTTCTGACTGCACAGCCCTTTCTGATCATGACTGTCTCAGTCACTAGCAGAATCCGTCAGTGGGTGTTTCTTGAATCTCTTCCAACATAAGAGTTGTTTGACACCCAATCTTCTCCGCCTCTCACTGCACGGGAGCCTTCTGCGCAGGGTGGGCGTGGGTAGCGGAGGACCTGTCCCCTCCTCACTGAGTTCCAGTGAAGAGTCCGTGAGCCCTCTCTCCGATTTTCCCATCTGCTCACTTTTGTTCCTGGTGTTGCGCTTAAATGCTTCCCCCTCCACTGAGTCGCCTCTCCCCCTGCTGCTGGGTCCTTCTCCAGCATCATCCAGGAGCCTCCCCTTCACCTCCCGCTCTGATGTCAGTTCCCTGACAATGCCCTTTCCACTTTCTTCCGTCTCCCCAGGCATGAATGTGCCAAATTAATTAACAACCCAAATCTTGATACTATAACACAATATAAAAAGTAGACACACCTGAACTAGGGATCACAGAAATCCTCTGAAAATGGACTTATCAAGCAGATTTCCTTCTGTCTCCTTGTTTACACACCACTTTGAGAGGGGCCATCTTTTGTATTTACGGTGCCACAAGATTGCTATTTTTACTACAAATGGGTTTTTTGTACATTCCTAATCTCAGTTTACTCAGCTGAATTTTAGCAATCATTTTGCCAAGGTACAAAGTCTCTGTTCAGGCTGTTTTATAAATTGGTCTAGCGCATGGATAGGCAACCAGTGGTCCACATAACTGATGTGGTTAAAGTCCCCCCACCCCAAGGGGCCTGCCAGCACCCAACACTTTTCTGGTGGCGGTGGTGGCTGCAGCGGCATCCCTTGGGGAAGATGTGTGCAGAGTCAAGCAGCCTTTGTCATGCCCTACAAATGAAGTGGCTTCAGTGTGGGTGCAACCAAGTTTGCTTGGAAAGAGCAATTCATATTTTTCAGTGTAAAGCAGACAGGAAGAGCCTGTGGCTGGACCATGAGACTTCACAAGAGAGAAAAAGAGAAAGAGCGAGCGAGCAAGATTGGTTATTTGGTGGCTTTGTGCCTTCTCTCTTTCTATAACTGAGCACACAACTCCAACATTTTCTTAAAACACACACACACTTCCCAATGGCAAGGCTATGCACAGGCAACCCTACTCTCTCCCATAACACGGCAATTGGAATATTGCTGCAGCTTGGCTGCTACAGTGCTAGTAAAGCTCAGGGCAAAGGCCATGTTGCTGTAGTAGGATGGCTACTTCCAGATGTAAATCCCTTTCCAGACAAAGATTACTATACCTGTTTTAGAATCTTTCACATGTTTTATTGTCTCCCTGGTATTTACTCCCATGTCTTGAAAGTTGCAACGGATCCTTCCCCCTCTGTCCATCACTTTATACCCAGAACTTCCGACAGAGAAGCCATCTAGAAGACAAAGCAAACATAAAATCAAAGAGAATGAGAAAAATTCACCGTAAACATCATTTAACTATCAACAAAATGTAAAAAATGAAGAAGCATGGTGAGCTTTTCCAGCAACAGCATATCACAATACAGGGGTTCTGTTATGCACGCTAATATATTGTTATTAGGGACGTGGGTGGCGCTGTGGGTTAAACCACAGAGCCTAGGGCTTGCCAATCAGAAGGTCAGCGGTTCGAATCCCCGTGACGGGGTGAGCTCCCGTTGCTCAGTCCCTGCTCCTGCCAACCTAGCAGTTGGAACGCACAAAGTGCAAGTAGATAAATAGGTACCGCTCCAGCGGGAAGGTAAATGGCGTTTCCGTGCGCTGCTCTAGTTCTCCAGAAGCGGCTTAGTCATGTTGGCCGCATGACCCAGAAGCTCCAGCTCCCTCGGCCAATAAAGCGAGATGAACGCCGAAACCCCAGAGTCGTCCGCGACTGGACCTAATGGTCAGGGGTACCTTTACCTATATTGTTATTGGATTGGGGGTGGGAGTCTAATGTCATATTTGGGTCCCCTGTGGTTTTATAACTGTGAGGTGTATTTTGTAATAGGGAAAAATGGCTTCATGAACCTCTGTGTCAAATTAATGGCACTGGCCAAGTCTGTTAAGTATGTCTTTGCATGACTAAAGAGTTGGCCAAACCCTGGTGCGTTACCATAAAAGTACTTCTTTCCAGAAGAAGTGAGGTCTTTCCACCCCTACCTGGTTGGAGGTGAGGCCATCCTGGGTAAAAGAGAACAATAGGTTAGGGATTGTATGGTGGGAGCTGGGAAGGCAGAGCAAGGCTTGACTTGCTCTCTGTTCTGAAACTGAAGTTACAGCTCTGGGAATCCCCCTAAAAAGCTAATGGGGGAGTAAGGTATGTTAGAGTGTCTATGTAGAGCCCCCTTCCCTCTTACGTTCAGCCTCTACATCTATATGTGAATAAAACTACATAATAATAATAATAATAATAATAATAATAATTTATTTATACCCCGCCCATCTGGCTGGGCTTCCCCAGCCACTCTGGGCGGTTTATCATGAAGGCACCACTATCTCCAGTAAACTTCATTCCAAGAAAACCAAATCTTGAATATGTACCTACACCCCTAAATCTCTGCTTCAAAATTGTAGTGTGTGCAACAATATTTTCCTTTGGAAAAGGATTGATCTTAGAGCAAAGCCTCTTCAGATGACCTGAAGGGTGAAGTGGTCTGTGTGGAAGAGGGTGCTGTCTCAGATATGCCATGTAAAGTTTTAAAAGCAAAAGTTTTATGTTGTGAACTACCCTGTGATGTACAGATGGAGGGTGGTATACAAATTTAATTTAAAAACCCTCAAATAATTACCAGCATTTTGAACACCTTATCATGCTCTGGAGAGAAAGATGAGTTAACAATAGTCACTTATTAAATAGTGATTTAAGCCAAACACTTACATTTAGGGGGGCTGTTCCCAGAACTTGTATTATAATTTTCTTTCTGCAAAGCAAAAGAATCCCCACTCCCGGAGCAACTCTGTGAAGTAGAAATGGCAGAAGAGACAGTGGCACAAAGGTAGTAAATATCATTTTAAAATACTATGCACAAAAGTAATTTATTTTAAAGAAAAACAAACCATTCCCTATTGACACGTGGTAGAATAGAAGTGTAGAGATGTTTGTTCATCAAAACAATTGAATGCTTCAATGGGGACCACTTGTGGCCCGCCAGATATTGCTGTACCCCAACTCCCATCAGCCCCAGCCAGCATGGTCCATGGTCAGGCATGATGGGAGCTGTAGCCCAGCATCTAGAGAGGCAGATTCCCTACCCCGGGTTTAATGCAACCAACAAGTAAAGAACAGACCCCTTTAAATATATAGTATAATACAATTCATGTTATGAGGCTCTATATCCTGAGAAGTGGGCTGGAACAGACCTACAACAGACCTGTTAAGGCAGGTCTGGGTCACTTTCTGCATATTGCAGATGGGAGGCTGAGAGAATTGAACAGATTACCGAAGCCTTAAGGCTTCCTCTTGAGTTGACGGAACTTGATGACAGAAGCAACAATTGGAAGATTAGAAATAAATATACTGCACAATATGTGGTTAGGTATTCTGGGGTGTACCTAATGGTATAGCCCAGGCCCATCACCTGATTCATTTGTTTGTTTCACCTTGTAATCTTTATAGCGAGTTCTGTGTTTTAATTTGTATATTGTTTGCTTGTTTTGGAAGCCTAACATTGGTTTCCCTATTTAGCAATAACCATTGGTTACAAGATGACGAACAATAATGACTAAGGTTTGGGAGCAATAGCCCACCACTTTCCCTCAAAAGATCAGAACTTGTGGAGATGGTCCAAGACATTTTGGTGCCTAAAACAGAAAGTTATACGGTTGTTGGCATCCATCTGTCTCAGGAGACAATGGAGGAGTGTGCCTTTGGGGCAGTGGTTGCAGCACATGCTATGGCTGCAGAGACTGACAGAGGAGAGACAAGTTTTGTTGCAGCTGGGGCAGATGAAGGCATCCGGTTGTGCTGCTGCAGATGCACTATGACCTTTCTTCTCTCTGCAGTTGGTCCCTTACCTTTCCCTCCCCGACCTGGCCACAGTGATCCATGTGACGGTCACCTCCAGACTTGACTACTGTAATTCGCTCTACGCGGGGCTGCCCTTGAAGCTGTCCCAGAAACTCCAGCGGGTGCAGAATGCAGCAGCGAGGCTCTTCACAGGGTCCCTGCCATGGGAGCACCCAGTGCTTTTCCAGCTGCACTGGCTCCCAGTGGAGTACAGGGTCAGATTTAAGGTGCTGGTTTTGACCTTTAAAGCCCTTCATGGCCTAGGACCCTCGTACCTGCGGGACCGCCTCTCCTGGTATGCCCCACAGAGAGCCTCAAGGTCCATAAATAGCAACACCCTAGTGGTCCCGGGCCCTAAGTAAGTTAGATTAGCCTCAACCAGAGCCAGGGCCTTTTCAACACTGGCTCTGGCCTGGTGGAACGCTCTGTCTCATGAGACCAGGGCCCTGCAGGATCTGATTTCTTTCCGCAGGGCCTGTAAGACAGAGTTGTTCTGCCTGGCCTTTGGCTTGGAGCCAATTTGATTCCCTCCCCCTCTTTCTTTTTTCTTTTTCCTTTCTCCTCCTGTGATGAGGCTGCATTTTAATATTTTAATGCTTCAATATTTTAATTGTTGTATTTTAATCTTGTTTTTAAGTTGTATTCATTCAACTTGTTTTTATTATTGCTTGCTAGCCGCCCTGAGCCCAGCCTTGGCTGGGGAGGGCGGGGTATAAATAAAAATTATTATTATTATTATTATTATTACTCCTCCCAGCCATCATTCCTTCTCTGGACACTGCTATGGATGCACAACCTGACTCTGTCTCCAGGCACTGTGGTTGTCTGCAAGGGATTCCCAAACGGTGGGGATAACGTTGCCGACCTTCAGGTGAAATAACTGGCAAATTTGCTTGCATTGACTAGGACCCCAAAATCTGCTGCATGTGGTGAGCCTCCACACCCTGCTTAAGTAGGGACATTTCTGAGACTTGAGTGAACACTCTCCCCCTCCCCATAAAAACAACAAATCAGTCACAGAATCCACCTACATACCGGTTGCAGGGAGCCAGGTTGTCCAAACGTAGGTTCTTCTTCAGAAAGGATTTGCCCTCTGGCTTTTACTCGAGCCCGCCCAGTCATCACTGCAGATTTAAGCTGCTGAAATAAAGAAAATGATACAGAGAAATCCAGACATTTGAAATGAATGCTATCCAACCAGGTCAAGTTTGAGCAATATAGGTACTACTGTAGAATGCACAAGAAAGAGGGGACTGTGAATCCTACAACAGCTGGAACATGTCTGGGAGGAGAGTGACCAAGATGATAAACGGTCTGGAAACCAAGCCTTATGAGGAATGGTTGAGGGAATCTGGTATGCTTAGCATGGTAAAAAGTAGACTGAGAGGAGATAGAATAGCCATCTTAAAATATCTCAAGGGCTGTCACATTGAGGATGGAGCAAGCTTGTTTTCTCCTGCTCTGGAGGCTAGGACCCAAACCAATGGATTCAAGTTACAAGACAGGAGAATCTAACTAAACATCAGGAAGAACCTTCTGACAGTAAGAGCTATTTGGCAGTGAAACGGACTCCCTCAGAAAGTGGTGTACTTTCCTTTACTGAAGGTCTTTATGCAGAGGTTGGATGGCTACCTGTCATGTATGATCTAGTTGAGATTTCTGCATTGCCGGGAATTGGACTAGATGGCCCCCGGGATTCCTTCCAACTCTACAGTTCTATGATTCTAATTGACTTCCCCTGTATGAAACTACCCGTGTGCTGAAGTCATTTTAAGAGGTTTCGCCCATATTCCCCAACTCTCAGAGGTGCTGTGAGTGGGTGGTTATATGGGACAGGGCTATTTCTTTATTTATTGCATTTATATCCCATATTTTTTTCCAAAGAGATCAAGGTAAAGTACAGTGGTACCTTGGTTTTCAAACATAATCCTTTCCAGAAGACCGACTTCCGAAACATTAAAAAACCGAAGCATGCATTTCCGGAAGCATTTATGTCCTGAAAACTCAATACACAAGCCGCGTGGCACGTTTGGCTTCCAAAAGGCGTTTGAAAACTGAAGCAGTTACTTCGGGGTTTTTAGTGTTCGAAAGCTGAAACCTTCACCTTTTGAGACGTTCGAAAACCAAGGTACCACTGTACATGGTTCTCCCTTTCCTTGTTTAACCCTCACAACAATCCTGTGAGGTAGGTTCCACTGAGAGGCAACAACTGGCCCAAGGCGAGTTTCACGGCTATGGGGATTTTAATCCTGGTCTCATAGGTTCTAGTCTGACACTCTAACCACTTATTCTCACTGGCTTTTGGTAATGGCATGATTTTAGAACCCCCTCCTAAGACCACAAAAATCCACTCCTAGTTTCTCCCCACAAAGCTTCTTTGTTTCAGCATCTTAATTTAGTTGTTGGTATTTGTAGTAGTAGTAGTAATAATAATAATAATAATAATAATAATAATAATTTATTAATACCCTGCCCATCTGGCTGGGTTTCCCCAGCCACTCTGAGGCTCACAACATATCTAAAAACATCAATGCTGAAAAACTTCCCTATTTCTGCACAGGAATTTTGTGGTGTGTACAGCAGCCCTTAAACCACGGTTCTGAGAGTTTGCAGATGTTCCTTATTTGAAACACTGACCTCCTCCCTACTGTGGATTCAGACAAATTCAAATAATTTAACCTGTGCTTGCTGTTTTGGAGTGGCATTTTCCTATTGTTGCAAATTCTCATTTGGCAATTCTAAGTAATTTTAAGAAAATGTGGAGGAGGCGTCAGCATGGGATTTGCTGGGAGCAGTAGTGTCCTTGTAAATTTTTAAAAGCTGGAGCTCATCAAAACAGCTCCCCTAGATGAATACAAAAAAAGCAGGCAGCAGGGCTTTCTCCATTATTATTATTATTATTATTATTGCTATTTTTGTTGTATGTGTGTAAAAAACAGCAAAGAACAGCTGCACAAATACAGTATAAATATCCTGTCTTAAAATCAGTGGGACTGCAATTCACTGTGTTTTCATGACAGTAATAATGAATGAATTCGTATTTGCTCTCCTTGATTTATGCGAACATATCACAAACATAAAAGCCTTGTTATCACCTCATTCACTTGCCAGAGCAAGGGAGATGTGTCAGTACCCCTGGGGCTCCAGGAGATGGCATAATCACTCCTGGGTTCCCAGTCCACTGTACCACCATGCATCATATGAGCAGATTGCTTCTAGACACAGATTGTGCATGGATAAATATTATATTTGTAATGCATTTATAACAATTATGACTTGTTAATTATTGTACACTTGTTGGAAAAGTAGCATTATTCATACCCTTATTTGTAGGGATGCGGGTGGCGCTGTGGGTTAAACCACAGAGCCTAGGACTTGCTGATCAGAAGGTTGGCAGTTCGAATCCCCGCGACAGGGTAAGCTCCCGTTGCTCGGTCCCTGCTCCTGCCAACCTAGCAATTCAAAAGCACGTCAAAGTGCAAGTAGATAAATAGGTACTGCTATGGCGGGAAGGTAAATGGCATTTCCGTGCGCTGCTCTGGTTCGCCAGAAGCGGCTTAGTCATGCTGGCCACATGACCCGGAAGCTGTACGCCAACTCCCTCGGCCAATAAAGCGAGATGAGCGCCGCAACCCCAGAGTCGGCCACGACTGGACCGAATGGTCAGGGGTCCCTTTACCTTTACCTATACTGAATTGTACTACAGTTTCAAGCACTTTTTCTTTGGGTTTCCCCCCCATTTTGTTCACTTTATTTGCACAATGAAAAAAAATTCAATAGGTTTTTTTTTAAAAAACAAACAAACCAAAACATTGGGAAAGGAGAAATGTAGCAGAAGGTTTCTAGACAGCTGGAATATGTGTAATGCAAGTGTACAAGGGCAGTGAAGAGAAATGATGGAGGAATAGGCATGAGCAATGATGGATTAGAAATAAAAGACACAGGGGCAGAGGAAGGGGGCTGCGGTAGGGGCAGGCCGCCCCGGGTGTCACCACTGAGGGGCCCGCAGCGCGCCCGAGCCACAGGTCTCTCCATACATATGCTACGTTACTGTTTTTGTTAAATAAATTGTTTAAATTGTTATTAAGGAAATGATTATTTTTCTCCTTCCAATAAAGCACAGCAGAAAAGTTGTCCAGATATAGAGTTAACTTATTAAACCTCACAATAATTTCATAATTATCTGTCTATGTATTTCTAATACTATAACCAAATCAGTAATGTTTGATATAATGGTAAAAACTACTCTGAAAATTTATTTTTCCAATAGTGAAACCTTCATCTGGTTGTAAATATTAAGATTATACCAGCAGGAATGTCTTTCGGTAAAAAAACTGATTTACTGACTAGTGATTTAAATAGATTTGATTTAAATCAAATCCACCCTGGAGCACACTCGTCCCCATTTGTGGGCAGATTTTACACTAGAGAAGGATGTCCTAAAAGAGCCAGAGAAGTATACTATATTATACAATTTAAAAATAGATAAAATATACAAAGTATAGTAGCGGTCAAATTGTCAGTGTTTCATCCAGCTCATTTGATGACCTTAGGCCAGTCAGTCTCTCATTCCAAACTGAAAGGGGTTGTTGCAAAGTTTAAAATTGGTCTGGATGATTGGTAAGAACCAAGGGTAACGTCGGGATCCGCTTGGAGTCAGTAAAGGCAGGAGAAAAAGGCAGTAATACCTGGAGCAGTATCTTTATGAAATTGCAGCCATGGATTGGACAGGGAATGGATGTTGGGGAGACAGAAATGTGATCTCCCTCTCCCCATCCACCCCAATGGTTGGGCATGTAAAGAGGTTATAAAAGGTAAAGGGACCCCTGACCATTCGGTCCAGTCGTGGCCGACTCTGGGGTTGCGGCGCTCATCTCGCTTTATTGGCCGAGGGAGCCGGCATACAGCTTCCGGGTCATGTGGCCAGCATGACTAAGCCACTTCTGGCGAACCAGAGCAGCACATGGAAACACCATTTACCTTCCCGCCGGAGCGGTACCTATTTATCTACTTGCACTTTGACGTGCTTTCGAACTGCTAGGTTGGCAGGAGCAGGGACCGAGCAACGGGAGCTCACCCCGTTTCGGGGATTCGAACCGCCGACCTTCTGATCGGCAAGTCCTAGGCTCTGTGGTTTAAAAAGAGGTTATAGCCCTTCCTTAAAATTTACTACGTTCTTATACCGCCCTTCATCCAGGACGGTGTAAAATACAGCATTATAGATAACGAAAGTAGCTAAAAAACACTAAATGCAACATCAGCAACAAAACTAAAAGACAAAAATAAAAATAAAAATTACAAAGTAGACTGAGGGATTGCACAGATTAAAATGTCTGGATATTGTGGTGGTTTTTTTAAAAAACCCCATTATTTAGCTGCTTGAAAACAAAGATTATGGCGGGGGGGGGGGAGGAAAAAAAGCCAAGATTTGGGGAAACCGAGCCTTGGAGCCGGCGGGAGTCTGCATTAGGGTTGGGGGGGGGAAGGCGACGCAACGGCTTAGGAGACGCGGGTTCAAATCGCCCCTTTGCCAGCTCCTTAAATGAACGGCTTTTTTTTTTTCAAAAAAACAACCACCACCCTAATATAAAATACGTGAGGGTATATTCTTATTCTTCTTATTTGCTTAAACCAGTACTGACCCCTGGGGGGGATGACACTTGGCAGCGGGAGCTCAGAGCCTCCTCTCGCCTCCCTTCCCGCCTCGCACTGAAAGCGGAGCTGCTTCGCCCCGCAACCCCCGCTCCCCTCCCTGCGCACGTGCCTCGGCGCGAAGCCTCGCGGCCGCCAACGCCGAGCCCTCAACCGCTGCCAGAGAGGCTCTGCTGCCGGCGTCCTGGCGCACGCGCCGCCGTTGACGCCCTCGGCGCGCCGCTCCTCTTCCTCGCCCGCCGTTGCAGTTCGTCGTTTCTGCCGGCAGGGGGCGGTGCGGGGAGGGGAAGGAAGCGAGCGTGCACCGTATATTCCGAATAATTTAATTTTCCGTGGCTGGAAATTGTGGGTAGGATATGCAGGGGTGGTGGGGCAGGAGATTTTATTTTATTTTATTTTATTTTATTTTATTTTATTTTATTTTGCAATCCGATGGTTTCCTCGGGTGATAAAAAGGTAATTTGCAATGAGCACAAGCGCGCGCAAAAATCCCGTTGTGTTTTTCCTCCTCTGCCCGAGGCCGTCGCTGGGAGTAACGCGCGCAAATCCCCGACGGTTTGCAAATAAGTTTTTGCTCTGCTCCAGTTCATCTGCGTCTGTTCATCCAGTTCATAAACCGTGTCACGCTTATGATAATCTTTTATTCTCTTGTTAATTATGCTGTTTTAAATGTGCACTTTATATTTGACTTCACTTAGCAATGTTTTCTTTTGATTTTTTTGTTAACTTTATGTATTCCGTAGTTAACCTCCTTTGTGATGTTTTATTTTGAAATCTTTATGATAATATTTTAGTTTTAATTACATTGCTTTGACTGTTTATACAGTGGACGCTCTGGTTGTGGACGTGATCCGTGCGGGAGGCACGTTCGCAACCTGCAGCGCCGCATCTGCGCACACGCAGGTCATGATTAGGCGCTTATGCGCAAAGCGCAATTTAGCACCTCTGTGCATGCGCAAGCGCTGAAACCTGGAAGTAACCCATTCCGGTACTTCCGGGTTTGGCGCAGTGTGCAGCCTGAAAACACGCAACCTGAAGCGTCTGTAACATAGCTGTCAACGTTTGCCTTTTTTAAAGGGAAATTCCCTTATTCCAAATAGGATTCCTCTCAAGAAAAGGGGAAAGTTGACAGCTAAGGTCTGTAACCCAAGGTATTTGACTTTCTTCGGATGGTTTTATCTAGATTTTATTGATTTAGTATGCTGTAAACCACTTTGAGATTTTTCTTAAAAATATAAAGTGGTATAGAAGTTAGATGAATAAAACAAAAATAAAATCTGGGTTTTGTGTGTGCAGGCTTCCCCCCCCCCCCAATAAAATGTGTATAAGACTTGATTTTTTTTTTTAAAGCACTTTAAAAGCCCTTGAAGCATTTTGCAAAAATAAAAAAAAGATAAAATAATCCGGGGGGGGGGGACGACAATTAAAACCAAGTATTTGGAAAATTCAAAAAAATAATTAAAACCCACGATAAACTTAAAACACATGTCCGTATTGCATGCGTCTGGTTAGGCTTGCCTAAGCAAGAGTGTTTTTAAGCAGCCACTGGAAAACGCATCAATAAAATAAACAGGAACAGTTGTGATAACAATTCATTCAGATCCTTTGCAGGGCAGGATTTAGGTTTGATAAGGCCCCAACCTACTGAAGGTAATGGGGCCCTTTATATGTCCAGCTGTCCTGTGCCAACAACAAATCGCCACTGTTTTTTGTGTTGAACATATGCTATATCAGAGGTAGGCAACCTAAGGCCTGGGGACCAGATGCAGCCCAATCACTTCAATCCGGCCCGTGGACGGTCCAGGAATCAGCATGTTTTTACATGAGTAGAATGTGTCCTTTTATTTAAAATGCATCTGGGTTATTTGTGGGGCCTGCCTGGTGTTTTTGCATGAGTATTTATTTTATTTTTATTTTATTTCTGTACCGCTTTATATTTTTAAGAAAAATCTCAAAGCGGTTTACAGCATACTAAATCAATAAAACCTAAATAAAACCATCTGAAGAAAGTAGAATGTGTGCTTTTATTTAAAATGCATCTCTGGGCTATTTGTGGGGCATAGGAATATGTTCATTCCCCCCCCCCCAAAAAAAAGTTGGCTCACCACATGGTCTGAGGGACAGTGGACTGGCCCACGGCTGAAAAAAGGTTGCTGACCCCTGTGCTATATAGTAATTTATGTACCTAATAGGTATCTAAAGCCATTTGCACATAACAAAATATGTTTTTTTATCAAAGTAATTGTTGAACCTATATTTTGGAAATATACATCCATTTTCTTTTCCCTTTCATTTTTTGGGGGGCCCCCAAGAGAGTGGGGCCCCAAGCTATAGCTTGTTTAGCTTATACGTAAATCCGGCACTGATCCTTTGCAGAGGCCAGTTGAAGCAGGCTGAGAGCTAGTTGATTCCTCCTCTCGGGTCATTTTATTGATGCACAATGCTGAGCTCCCTTGTTTTCAGTGCAAATCTTCACTCACCCACTTCTTCCCTGGTGGGTGGGTGTGTACATTTTGTGGTTCGCCTCGGGTGCCAGAATGTCTTGGGCCGACCCTTGGGCTAACCACAAGCTGTAACTGCACTGTCTCCTATGGTTTGCAGCTTGCGGTTTAGATATCACCCCATATAGGCAGATAGACAGATGATACGTGATTCATTAAAACAGTGGCACTGTGCAGTTGAGGTTCACTTTCCACATTCAGCTGAAACACAAAGCATCCACTCTTTTGCTGCATTTGTATTTTCCTATCGCATCTGTTATAATGTAGTGGATTTATCTGACTATTCTTGATCACTCCAGCAGGTAGCAGATGGGCACAACAGATCGCGTGGGTGTGATTTGTGAGGATTACAGAGGAACAAATGATCTGAAATGCCGTCAGGCCTGATTCTGGAATATTGGCTGGCACCCAAGAACATCCCTCTGAAAGCGACACGTGGAGAATAATCTTCCCAAGGTGAAGAATACGTGGCACATCGCTCCAGCAGTCAGAGGGCACAATGCTCAGCCTGATTGTTGTTGTTGTTTAGTCATTTAGTCGTGTCCGACTCTTTGTGACCCCATGGACCAGAGCACGCCAGGCACTCCTGTCTTCCACTGCCTCCCGCAGTTTGGTCAAACTCATGCTGGTAGCTTCGAGAACACTGTCCAACCATCTCGTCCTCTGTCGTCCCTTTCTCCTTGTGCCCTCCATCTTTCCCAACATCAGCGTCTTTTCCAGGGAGTCTTCTCTTCTCACGAGGTGGCCAAAGTATTGGAGCCTCAGCTTCAGGATCTGTCCTCCCAGTGAGCACTCAGGGATGATTTCCTTCAGAATGGATCGGTTTGATCTTCTTGCAGTCCATGGGACTCTCAAGAGTCTCCTCCAGCACCATAATTCAAAAGCATCAATTCTTCGGCGATCAGCCTTCTTTATGGTCCAGCTCTCACTTTCATCATCACTACTGGGAAAACCAGTATGCATGCACCGTTCTAGAAGCAGAAAACTCTGACAAACTGGAGCATGCAAACAATAGCTGGGTCAGGGAGAAAAGGTTAATGGAAGCCACTTACATCTGTTCATTCCCACTTACATCTGTGTACGATGTATTAACAATTTAAGAAAACACCCACCTGCATTGTATATTTAATCTGCAACTGCAAGTACAGTACACTAAGTAAAAGTAATTTGTTCTTTAAACTTTAAACACAGAGTTTTTATAGGAGGGAACTAATTAAAGGGTCCCGCAACCCAGGGCTCTCTTCCTCAAAGCTCTGCAAATGGGAACTAGAGTCTTAATTCCCACCAAAAAAAAACAAAGCTGGAAAGAGAAAGTTTGATGTAGAGATCCTAGAAATTAAAAGAAAGACGACGAAAGAGGAAGAATAGAGCAATTTTAAAATACAATATTAAAACTAATTACAGTTGGTAGAATAGGGTGGGTCCTAAAATATCTGAGGTGTCAAATAATAATAATTTTATTATTTATACCCTGCCGGATAAAGAGGTAGATCTTCAGCATATGCCAGAAACTATGTAATGAAGGTAACAGACACATCTCTGTGGGAAGGGAATTCCACAATTTAGGACTTGCCACAGAGAGTGCCTGCCTACATTTTTAAAGACACCTGCTAAAAATGTGCTTTTATTGCAGCAAGCTTTCTCGGACATGGAATTGACTTGTACCGATTTCATCTCTGCTTTATTTATAGGGGCAAGTTTGCTGAGTGGGATTGCGGCTTGAAGTCTACCGATATCCATGGTCCGAAGCTGGCTGAAGTCTATAGTGATGGACTTAATGGAAACTGGCAGGGGCTGGCGGGTGAAAGCTGGTGGAGCTTGCATTTGGAAGCCGGCAGATGTTTCAAGGCTGGTGTTTGTTGATGTCAGCTGGTTGAAACTCACCTTCGGAAGCCAGTCAACAGAAGCCGGTGGATATTTGTGGACTGAAGCAGGACGCAGACATAAACGAATGGGGAGTAAATTATGACCGATTGTATCTGCCAGTGTTCATCGTGGCTGCTGGCTGGCGTACGCTTGTGTGCAGGAAGGGGAGGTCTCAAAAACAGGTCAGGGCGAAATGGTACATGTATGTGAGCAAATGGGGTGGGATTTGTGGAAATGTTCATGATTAGATGGAACCTGTGGAAGCTGGAAGGCTGAAAGTTAGCATATAAAGTCACCAGGCAGAAGTCGGTGGAAATGCCTGGATGATGCTGCCATATGGTAGCTGTCCCATTTGTGGTTCCATGGATGTCTGAAGCCAGTGAGGTGTCCTCAAGGCCACCCATGAAAGCAGTGAAGAGAACTGCAGGGCTTAAGCAAGGCAGCTTATATTTCATTTGAAGAAACGCCTTTCTAAACACATCCACCTGCAGTAGCTATTCTATCTTTTTATTCAAAGTCACATAATGGGCTATCACACACCTGACTTGGTATCGTTACACAGGAAAGGTGTGCTGGGTGAGAAATAAATAAGAAATAAGCAAACCCCTGTGGAGGTGCCTCCAAAATCGTCAGGCCACGGGAGGTTGTGCTGATGCTATTGGCTGTGGACTGCCTGTGATGTCACGAAAGAACATGGTGGCTGAGGGAGACATGACAGTTATCAGAAGAGGGAAGAGGTTCAGGTAAAGGAGGCTCTGGAGAAGTTGGGTCAGGGCCAGCTGGAGGCAGAGAAGGGAAATCTGGTTTAGCTTCATCCTGTCTATTGGAGTTGCCTGTTGCCCTGTGCCTCACCTACGTAGCTGTCAAAAAAGTCACAACTGATTTTTGTCACAGAGAATCCAGCAGCCCACCATAAACTTTTAAGGATCCTCAGTGTTTGAAAAGCTTCCTTTTAGCTGAAACATCACCGTTAGGTCTAGTAAGGTACTTCAGGATGCGGATTTTAAAGAGGAAAGAACCCCAGTCAAATGTAGGGGTTCAGAGTGTGAGCTATGATGAACCACAAAGACCCGGAATTGAATCTCACTGCTGCCCTCAATAAAAAATCCCAAAGAGGGGAAAATGTGTCTCTCTCCCCCCCCCCCCCATCCTTCCTTCTTCCCTGCCCCACATATTTACAAGGTAGTCTTCCTGGGCCCTTTTTGTCTGAGATCGTTTCAGCTGGCAATGCTGAGGATTAAGACTGGGCCCTTATGCACAAAATGTAGGATGCTGCCTTATACCCAATCAACCCCTTGGTTCATCAACATGGTGCCCATCCCATAACCACTTTCTGCACCTCACTGGTTGTGGTCAGTGGATATCAGCTTTATATACAAGAACCAAGTTGATCCCGGAAGCCTGAAGTCTACCCATGATTGTTAGAATGGATGCATTTCTTGCAGCCAAGGAAGGGGACTGGTGATTCTACAGCTGCAGCTCACAGGGTGTATTTGAAAGATAATTATAAACACATTCAAATTGTTGGCATCAAACACTTAATCAGATGGAAATTTGATATCTCTTGGCAGTTGGGACAACTCTCTTAGCAAGAGATACTTTGAAGAACACAGCTAGAGGAATCGATACAGGTAAATCAGCACGAATGCAGTTAGCCTGTGGGTTTAATTTTCTATAGCATTCTTTACAAAACACTTCCAGTGGAATATTGGTTATTCAGCTGAATGATGCACTAGAAAAGCTTAACCATCTATTTATGAAGTGTCCGTTGTTATTATTATTATTATTATTATTATACTGCTCTATACCCTATACTCATTAGCATGAGATATAAGATATTTGCTTTCTCCTGTTGACTTCTAGAGTGACCAATTATGCAGTGCTAAAAGGCGCATTTTGAAATATATTTGCAGAAAGGACAAACATTACACAGAAAACTCAACTCTCTTCCACCCCTCCACTGTTCTGGCAGGTGTGTGTGTGTTTGCCAACCCCACAAGAGTCAATGGAGTGGGGGGGCATGGGGCACTAGTGCAATTATTTCAATCCGAGACAGAAATTAGAAATATAATATATTGCAGTGTAAGAAAAAGATACAAGGGCAAGTTGCTGGTGTTGCATTCAGAGTTTTCTTGCCTCAAAAAAACTGCTTGTGTGCTAGAAATCTGATAATCCATAATCATTTCTAGAACCCATGCTATTTTTCAAAAATAATACCTATATCATGATGCCACATAATCTTGTAATCCTAATCTTATTCTATAATATTAATATTTTGCCAGCAAAGAAAGGTAATCCAGTCAGCATGGTTTCAGACATCCATTTTTTTTTAAAAAAATAATTGTTTAATTCTTAGCTAAGGAAAATCCTTATTTGAAGGGAACAGCTCGCATCAGGAAACCTATTACACATGGGTTAACGCCAAAGTCTAGGGGTTGCGTTGTACAGGAGTGTCTTACAGGGAAATTCTCAGGCAGAGCCTAATTGTCACGGTCCAGTCTACGGGCGATCAAAGTCCCGGCTGAGGACGTCGGGACCAGGGGCAAGATGGTGGGGTGGGAGCAGGAACAAGAGTCAGGAAGCAGGGAATCACAGGTCCGAGGGTCAAGAAGCAAGGAGTCAAGAAGCTGAGGTCCGAGGGTCAGGAAGCAAGAAGCCAAACGCAGCAAGGCAGAAAACGTGTTGCTGTGGCAAAGAGCTGAAAGGAAATGCTGACCTTATATCCCTTCCTGGCTCTTGCCACCACGTGCAGTGAGCTACCAAGCGGCCTCACCTGTGCGGCCACGCCTTGCCTCTCCAGAACAAACTTAGGAAGGCTCCAGTCCTGCGAAGCCCAACTGGTCACAGGGCCTGGCTCCTGCACGCACTCCTGACACTAATCTGTCATGGTCTGCTATACACTCTGCAGATGGAAAACACCAGGACCCTTGACTCCCCCTCCTTGGAATTCCTTAAACTCAACTTGGTCCAGGCATCACTTCAAATAGAAGACTCCTCTAAGTGCCTTTCAAACAGGTACTTCAAGTAGGACACATAGTCACTCTCTTGACTTGGGTGAGAGAAAGTAGAGGTTGCTACTGGGGCGTAGTTGATGCAGCTGACAATGGAATTCTTTCTTTGCAGAGGTGGCTTGAATTTGGAGGCACAGCCTGGCTTGAGTTCAAGCCACGGCTGCAAAGGAACAACGAGAACGTCCTTAGGGTGTGCTCTCAGTTCTATGACGTTGAGTCACCTGGCATCATTGTAATGTCAGGAGACTGGCTGGTGGGTGGCCTGTAGGGAGGGAAGCAGCTGCTCAGATCCTGTTCCCTATTCCCATTTAATCCTGTGATCCTAGCCACGTGCAACCTGTTTTGCAAAGAAATGCAAATATTGGAAAACACCAATAAGCCTTCAGTTTTCAAATAAAACCAACCCTTGGAAGCTGTCCATAGGTGCCAACGCCCTGGGTGCCCGAGCACCCACAAAATTCCCCATGAAGGGGATGGGCAGCCACAGATTTCAGCACCAGGGCCATGCACCAACCCTGGGCACCCACAGTCACAGTGCCAAGCTGGCACTCCTGAACCTGTCACCATTTGGAGAAGTGGGGGGAGCAAAACACTTTAGAACCCGTTTTTTTATTGAAAGGCTTCAGTGGGAGTCTGCGGAAGCTTTTTTTCCATGGATTCCATGCAGAATCTTCTGCTAAAAGCAGAGAATGAAGGACTTCGGATTTCTAATTTGCATTTACTGCCTGGTGGCATGGCTTTTTCTCAGGGGGGCCCCCGTGACGTTTTGCTGCTGTAGGGAAAATGCCATGCCCCACCCCTGATTCGGGCCCCTTTCCTGCCCCTGCTATCAGTCCGCGCTGACACCGGCTCCCTCACTGCAACTGCCATAATGCAGTGACAGCATCACAAGTGCAGTATTAGCAGTGAAGGCAGGGGCACTGTGGGCTGCAGTGATCTGGGCAAAGGCAGTGGGGCAACAGGGCAGATAGTGGTGCTACAAGGGGGAGGAGAGTCGGATCTGCCACCTGAAGCAAATTGCTTCACCCTGCCTCATGCACGCACCAGTCTTAGTTTTTCTGGTGCCACGTAAGCTATGACTCGGCTGCCTATCGAATTTACTAGGGAAAGTATTCGAGGTTAGAACAAACTTTCCCCCGTTTGATTTACTTTACTGCCCCTTTACTGCCCCATGTTTGCTCAGAAAACAAACTTTAAAGTACATTACCCAGATCGTAATGCGTAAATCCGGGTAGGTAATTAACAGTCTTATCTCACTCCAAATTACTGATTCCAAAACGAAAGGCAGAATACAGGTGTTTCCAGGGCGGCAGGTGTGGAACAGTGCAAGTGCAGCCGCAAAGGGAAAATTGTGAACTCCAGAGCACGCACCCAATTGTTAGAATCAGAATTGTAAAGCTGGAAGGGACCCCAAGGGTCATCTAGTCCAACCTCCTGCAATGCAGGAATGTCAGGTAAAGCATCCCTGACAGACGGCCATACAACCTCTGCCTAAGAACCTTCAAGAACGGAGCATCCACAACCTCCTGAGGGAGACCGCTCTGCTGTCAAACAGCTCTTACTGTCAGAAGGTTCTTCCTGATATTTAGTTCGAATCTCCTTTCTTGTAACTTGAAGCCATTGGTTCGGATCCTACCCTCCGGAGCAGGAGAGAACAAGTTTGCTCCATCTTCCATGTGACAGCCCTTGAGATATTTAAAGATGGCCAGCCCGTATCCTCTCAGCCTCCTCTTTTCCAGGCTAAACATACCCAGCTCCTTCAACTGTTCCTCATAGCAATGAACCACTTTTTAAAAAACCAAATGTGCAGCTATTTACTTTTGACACCCCCCCCCACCGTCTATTCTCCATCTAGACCAGGGGTAGGCAACCTAAGGCCCGGGGGCCGGATGCGGCCCAATCGCCCTCTCAATACGGCCCGCGGACAATCAGCGTGTTTTTACATGAGTAGAATGTGTGCTTTTATTTAAAATGCATCTCTAGGTGTTTTGTGGGGCCTGCCTGGTGTTTTTACATGAGTAGAATGTGTGCTTTTACAGTGGTACCTCGGGTTACAGACGCTTCAGGTTACAGACACTTCAGGTTACAGACTCTGCTAACCCAGAAATATTACCTCAGGTTAAGAAATTTGCTTTGGATGAGAACAGAAATTGCGCGGCGGCAGCGGGAGGCCCCATTAGCTAAAGTGGTACCTCAGGTTAAGAACAGTTTCAGGTTATGAATGGGCCTCCAGAACGAATTAAGTTCTTAACCCGAGGTACCACGGTATTTAAAATGCATCTCTGGGTTATTTGTGGGGCATAGGAATTCGTTCATTTCACACACATACCCCCCCCCCAAATATAGTCCGGCTCACCACATGGTCTGAGGGATGGTGGACCAGCCCATGGCTGAAAAAGGATGCTGACCCCTGATCTAGACAACCCAGAGCTATTGTCAGAGTTTAAGCACACAGTCCAGCGGGGGGGGGGGGAATTATAGGGTGGGAAACAGGACGTGTGTGGTATGGGTTGTAGAGACAGGGGCTGTGGCTTAAGAATTCCAACAATCAGATAAAGGGACTGAATTGGAAGGATTTCATGTGCAGCAGGAGCAGGTGGGAACATGGCAACAAACCTTTTATTGGCCCACGATTTCCCTTTTAAACCCACCTTTATGAGGCTGTATTTTCGCCCCCCCCCCTCCACTCTTCCCGGTGGAGCTCTCTAACCAAAGTCCTTCTCACTTCCGCTTTCTCTCTTCATTGCACACAGTCCTCATTCACGGATTAAATTTAAGGAGCGACAACGAAAGGAATTTATTAGAAGTCCAAAAATCGAGGGTGAGAACAGGCTTGCTTTTGATAAGGCAGGGGCAATCAAAAGTTGCCGCCACCGGTGTTGAGCAAAGACGGTGGTGCTTCTCTCAGAAGCGGATGCTTAAATAATGCCTCCTTCAAACTTTCTGAAGTCTGGTTGATGAAAAAACCCATCACAGGCCATGACAGCTCAATGAAGCAGTATTCAAGCTGTATGCATTGGACAGAGGAAAGGGGCGTCAGAGAGCACCCTTCCCACTCACCGGTTGAATAATAACTAAAAAAAAGACTTCCAAACCCATCGCAAATGTTTAAGGAAAACGAACAAAAATGAGAGAAAGGGAACACACATCTTAATATGCTTCGTTTAACTTATTTTATTGTCACCTTATCAGAAATAGGTCTGCAAATATAAAAATAATCTGTTTTCAAATTGGGATCAGAATGACAGCAAATATAAAATTACCTGAGTTACATGCATCAGAAATGCATTTTTTTAAAAAAAAAATACAGGACCATATAAATTTGTCTCTCAGTTGGTCCAGATAACTGAGACGCCTCACTTGATTTTTTAAATATTTTTTTTAAAAGAACCACTCCCATACTACTTTAAGACATACACGTCAGAAATAAACAAGAGGTCTTCCGAGCAGGTCATTTTGCAAGCAAGTCAGAACAGAAAGAAATAAGGTTTTACAGAAGGACGCCGTACAGCAGAACTCTATGCACCTAATTATAACCACTTATAATTGCATCTCCTGATGTTGCATGGAATATATACTGATTCAGCAAAGGGAATCTGTGCACATAAGCAGACTTCCTTCAGGTGCCAATGTACATTAGAATGCACTTTTCAACATGAATGCTAGGATGATGCACTGAGTGTACATCACCATCCAACTTCCTGATGGCAGATAACATAAGCATGACTAAATAGCACCTTCTTTATAGGTGAATGGCTGGCAGAGTCAACGACAACACGTCACATTGCAACACTTTGTTTTAGCTCTGGCTTATTTATCCTTAATTCAATGTGCCAGGGCGGGGGAATCTTAACAGACTGCACTAAATGCTTAGCCACTGGGATTTTGCCTCTCTTTAACCACTTAGAAAATTGGTCTGTAGCTGGTGAAATTCCTACAGGTGATGCAAAAGGTACTCCCTCACTCCCTCATGACCTGATTGCATTTCTGGAGAAAATTATACCGGTAGGTCTTTTTAAATCCCATTGATTTCAGTGGAAAGAGATTTAAGCTTTTCCTATTGGAACCAAGCAACTTCCAAGTGATGGATTGAGGTTGGACTTTGTACAAGGTGGTGAAGCAACACTTTATTTTCTCTCTAAATAAATTATGTCTTCGGTCTGCTATTATTAAAACATTGCCCAAGTCTAATAGGTAGCAATATCGTTTTCATTTCCTTCAGTAAAGGTAAAGGGACCCCTGACCATTAGGTCCAGTTGTGACCGACTCTGGAGTTGCGGCGCTCATCTCGCTTTATTGGCCGAGGGAGCCAGCGTACAGCTTCCGGGTCATGTGGCCAGCATGACTAAGCCGCTTCTGGCGAACCAGAGCAGCGCACGGAAACACAGTTTACCTTCCCGCCAGAGCGGTACCTATTTATCTACTTGCACTTTGACGTGCTTTCGAACTGCTAGGTAGGCAGGAGCAGGGACCGAGCAACGGGAGCTCACCCCATCGTGGGGATTCGAACCGCTGACCTTCTGATCGGCAAGCCCTAGGCTCTGTGGTTTAGACCACAGCGCCACCCACGTCCCTTCTGTACAAACCACAAAAAAGATCATTCAAAACTGTTAATCTTCTGATAAGGACAGGGGTCAGCAAACTTTTTCAGCAGGGGGCCGGTCCACTGTCCCTCACACCTTGTGGGGGGCCAGACTATATTTATATTTTAGACAGGAGTCTAAAGTAGAATCCAGCAACCAGAGAAAAAGCCCATGCTTCTGAGTCTGGTCACATTTACAATTACTAGCTATCAAGCTTATTGAGAAGGGAAAAGTAAACACACATCTTCAGTTTCTGCTAAAACTGGCAGAAAAGAAGTATTTTGTTATTATGGGGAGTCTGTTGGTCAAGAGGTGGCAATTCTTCACTCGGCCTCTGGCTCCCTGCCTTTAAAAACAAATATACATTCATACTTTTTTCTCTTCTCAGCCCCACAGAACAATTCCCCTAAAAATCCACATTCTCCATTTGCAGATAGGCAAAGTTCATCATGAATATAAATTGGGAACTTCCCTGACTTGCATAGCACCTGTCAATCAGGGTATTTTGAGTTTTGCAGATTAATCATTGCACAATACAGGCTCATGATACTAAAATAAAAATATAAAAAGTTCTGATGAAGTCACAGATCAAGTCAAATTTTCCCCTCTTATGAGAACATGGGGAAAATTACACAAATGCCTGTAAACAAACACAAAACTCCCAACTCAGGCGCCGAAGACATTTTAAATTGTTTCTTCCTGTTTTGGCTCTCTTCATTTTTCTCTCTGGGCACAACTAGTTATTTTTAGTGAAAGAAATACTTTATACTCTAAAGGGCTGGCTGTTTGTTTGTCCTGACACCCACACCTTTTTGTGTGCTTGTGCGTGTGTCTGTGCAATTCTTGCCTGCTGGGATTTCTCTGAGGGTTCACAGAGAAAGGCTTATTGCTATTAAAACCATCTTTAGGAGTGTGATTCAAGTTTTAACACCTAGGAAAAAAGTTGCCAACACAGATTTGTCTGTGTGTGTAATAATCACAGCAGCTCAGACACGAATCCATGAAAACACAAACAAAGCTACCAAGTCAGATAGCTGGTTAATCTACCGGTAATTCATTATTGTCAACATATACTGTCAATCAGTATTATTGTCAACATATATTGTCAACATATATTGTCAATATATACTGTCAATCACTGCCTTCCTGCTCCTTTCTAAAACTGGAGATATATCATGGATTGAACCTGAGATGTTCTGCATGTGTTCAGTCACTGAGCTATGCGCTCCTCTCTCCATACCTGCAGGGCACGGCTGGGCTCCGCCAACGAACTAAATATGGAGACAGACAAGATACTTGACTTGTAAACCAGCAGATCTACTTTGAAAGCACCCTTCCTTTCAGTACGCCATGTACCTTGCGCTCTCAAGGTCTTTGCGGTAGGAAGAAACAGCTCCACAAATTTGCAGAAGAAGGCATGCTGTGGTGCAATACACTTCTTCCATTTCAGAGCATTAATATATATATATATATATATAATGGATGAACATAGAAACATGAATTTGGCACTTAATATTTTTAAATTCAAAACATAGCCCTCCAAAAACTTGGGAATGGGGGGCTGGGGAAGGCTGATGGCTCAGCCAGTGTTTGATTCACAGGTATCGGAAAGTTGAAAAGCCAAGTGAGATTTCTGTATTATGATGTCTGTCTTCACCATAAGAGTGTGCCTGAACACACACATACCACGCCAGCATATTATAGAAGATCGGTAGTAGTGGATAAGCTAGTCCCCACCCCATAAACTTGCCCACTGTTGTTGAATTTCTCTCCAAGGAATCTCTCACAAGCTTCAAAGGAATCTGAATTCCCAGCAACACAAGATGAAAACAAATGCTATTGAGCCTGGATAGCTGTTGGTTAGACTGTGGTGCTGATAACACCAAAGTTGCAGGTTCGATCCCCATATAGGACAGCTGCATGTTCCTGCATTGCAGGGGGCTGTAGGCTCCCCATTCCAGGTTGAGGTAAGCCTTAAGTACAGTGGAGGCCATCAATCCAAAAGAGCTATCATGGCGGGAAAGGATGGTTACAGAAACAAATATTTAAGTCCTCAGCACCGTGTGCTTGGTCTGTGCAGAGTCTATGGATTCAGCTACGGAAGACCATGATGGGATGGATTTAGGTGAACATTGGTTCTGAAGCAGCACTGGGCCTATCAGCGCCCAATGATGCGATTTAATTTAGCTGCACTTATAAGACCATCTTTGAAAACCCATGTCAAGGTAAGTTCACATATTTCAATGTCCTGAATCTGCAATTACCATTTGGTAATAGGTAAGATAGTATCACTGGTCTTCTGTTATGCAATCATTTACCTGCGGTGCATACATGGTGAGATTACATTCTGACATTACCGGGGAATTTAGTCACGATGGTTAGGCTCGTGGAACCATCAATCAGCGATCGACCATCGTGGGGCACGGTGAAATGGAAAAGCTTAAAAATATGGGCAGAGCCTGGAGCTGGCAAGTCACCATCCCAAACTGGCTGGCCATGCTCAAAATCAGGCATCATCATGCCACAAGTCCACTTGTGAGAAGTCACCACCTCAAAAACACCCTGCAAAATCACTGTTGAGCTACATGTTTGGCAAAATTATTTGGCAGAGTCCTGGGGCTATTAGTTTTGCAATTCAGGTGTGTGTGTCTAGATAGAGGAATTGCATTTATGGGTAACTATAATTAAACAATGATACAGTAATACATCAGCAAGAACTAAAGTGCTAGCTTTCAAAGTGCTGGGGGAATTGCATACAGAATCATTAAAATGCTGTTCTCCTATCTAGACCCAACATCCTTTCCGACTCTCCATGAGGCAAGCAACCCAAACTTGCAAATTTGCCTTTAGACAAAACTCCAAGGATTTCCCTTTTTTTGGTGTAGACATCTATACAAGAACCTGCCACCCCAGACCCTTAACCCGTCACATACTCCCCTTAATTACACCAAGAAGAAACCCCAGCTAACCCCACACGGGGTCAACTCTCAAACCAGTTGGCTAGATTCTGGATGGTCTTGGGTTGCTTGCCCGCAGCCCTGACTGCGTCGCAAACCCTGCAGCCGTGTTCCACCCAGAAGAACATCGTCTGCACGTCGTACTGCTTCCTCCAGGCAAAATACCTCCGGTACTGGCTCTTGTTTTTATCTAGGAATTTCAGGTAAAGGGCCAGCTGCCTGGGACTGGCAAAGTCGTCGATATGGATGAAAGAATCGGGGGGAATGAAACGCTCATAGTTGGACCTCGCGGGGCCAAGCACGACGGGCACTGCCCAGGATGTGAAGGCGTTCCTCCAGAGCTTCTCAGTGATGTAGTCTGGATGCTGGGAGTTCTCGAAGGCCAAGTAGAACTTGTACTCAGAGACCGTCTTGACCACACTGTTGTTCTTCAGCTTTAGGCCGTGGGCACCGTAGATGTCGATGGGGAGGTGGTCCTTCAGCTGGCGGTAATAGCGTACCCGGGCCTGCTCTTCCTTCCAGTTGCTGATGACCCAGGCCACCAGCTTGGTCTTCCTGGGCATGGAGAGGTGCGGGGCGGGTGTCTGGCTGGGGCGGAGATACCCGTAGGGCACGAAGATGTCCGAGTCCACCTTGTAGGACATGGTCCAGTTGAAGATGCCCGCCAGGTCCCGGAGGCCTCGGGTATGCGTGGGTGACTCCAAGTTCATCCACACCCAGCGCTGCCCAGGGGGCCTAACCCGGGGCAGGTTCTTGGGGCCACTGCTCATGAGCTCCCAGTTGTGGAAGACGACAGCCTGCGCCTCCAGCTGGCGCCCCCGGTCGGTGATGAGGTTGCAATCGCGGATGCCGAAGCGGCGCTCGCAGGCGTCCAAGGGCTGTTTGCGCCCGAAGGGCACCCACCACATGAGGACGGTCGTCGCTGTCCGTCGCTCGTCGCCCCCGTCGCTGCCGCGGCCCCACACGGGCGGCGGATCCCGCAGGCTGCTGGCGGCGTACAAGACCAGCACGGTGCAACAGCACAGCCCGGCCGCCAGCAGACGCCGCTTAAGCGCCGGCGCCCCGGGGCAGGAGAAGCCGTGGCACAGCCAGGGCGCAAGGCGCGCAAGCCGGCCTCGCAGCCGACACAACAGGCCCGGCTCCGGAGGCGCCATCGCGGGCCGTCGCTGACCGAGGGGATGAAGAAAGCGCCGAGAGCGCATCGTGGTCCTTTGGCGGCCTTTGCCACCGCCTCCTGCCCGGCCCCGCCTGCCAGGGCGCCGAGTGGCGCATCCCGATGGGTCCCGGGTTGCAGGCCCGCCTTCCCCAGAGGGGGCCGCGGCTCTCCGGCCTCCTCCAAGCCCTGCTTCTAAGTGGAAGGGTGGCCGCTCCAAGGATCCGAACTCCTTGGAGAGCTGCCGGACAGGACCCGGTTGCTCCTCGTCCCTTTGTTTGTCTGTTTGTTTGTCTATGCCGATTTCCTTGGGGCGGGCAGAGATTCAGCCGCGGGTGAAGGGATGGCAGAGCTGCGCCTGTTGGATTTCTGCCTGCTGTAAGAGGTGGAAGGGGGTGTGAGCCCGCGCAATCGGATGGCTTCTGCTGTGGCGTTGCTCTCTGCCTGCTCGGAGATGCAGTGATTTAGTTGGGAGCTGGAACGGCTTTAGCTGGAGTTGGAACGGCGAGGGAGGGAAATGCCCAAAGCTTTAACAGCGCACTCCTAAGCAGAGCGTACTTAGAAGTTAGCCTCTGGTTGAGTTAACCTGCTGCGGTGTTGCAGCCCGAAGCACCGAGAGGTGCGACGCAAGTTGTGATCACGATGCAAGAACGAAATGCATGCTGCACATGGGAAACGGGTAAAAGGTGGATCCAGCTGATTTTAAACGGATCCTCATGAATTCATATGATTTTTTTCATTCAAATTAAATAAAACTGCCATGATACTGTAGACCATGTCTTAGTCTGTAGGCTGCATCAAAAAAATCACGCTCCCACTGTTTCGTGGGGCCGCGCAATGGCGCAAAAACATGGTTAAAAAACACGGATCCTCATGGATCCTCATGATTTTTGCACTAGATCAGCCCGAAGTCACCATCAGATCAAACATCATGGCCATGGGCACAGCATGCACCACAAAAATCACGGATCCACAGCTTCCTGGCGACACTGTGGCCCTAAAACGTAGTTTTGAAGCATAGATCCTCATGGATCCTCACACTTTTTGCATTGGACCAACCCTAACTCACTGTCAAATCACACATCATAGCCAGGGGCACAGCCTGCACCACAAAAAACTTGGATCCACGGCTTCCTGGTAATAAAGGTAATGGTAAAGGTACCCCTGACCATTAGGACCAGTCATGACCAACTCTGGGGTTGTGGTGTTCATCTCGCTTTATTGGCCGAGGGAGCCGGCGTACAATTTCCGGGTCATGTGGCCAGTATGACAAAGCCGCTTCTGGCGAACCAGAGCAGCGCACGGAAACGCTGTTTACCTTCCCGCCGTAGCGGTACCTATTTATCTACTTGCACTTTGACGTGCTTTCAAACTGCTAGGTTGGCAGGAGCAGGGACCGAACTGATGACTACACTTTTTGCATTGGGCCACCCCTAACTCACTGCCAAATCACACATCATGTCCAGGGACACAGCCTGCACCACAAAAAACTCGGATCCACGGCTCCCTGGAAACTCCATGGCCCAAAAAACATGGTTCTGAAGCACGGATCCCCATGGATCCTCATGCTTTTTGTCTCTACTTTCCAGGGAGAGTCCTGGATTTACAGAAGCCATTCTGGTTTCTGATTTGATCCCAGAAAGTCCTGCTTTTCCTTAGGACGCCCCTATTTCCATCGGAGAAATGTTGGAGGGTGTGGTATGATGTTCCTGAGACAAATGTTGTGAGGGCATGGAGTCATGCGATCCTGGAGCCAAGAAGATCAAGTAACTATGCAACCTTTAGAAGGCAGCTGAAGGCAGCCCTGTATAGGGAAGTGCGTAATGTTTTCTTATGTTTTTATGAATGTTGGAAGCCTCCCAGAGTGGCTCCGGCAGCCTTAGTCAGATGGGTGGGGTATAAATAAAATAATAATTATCATTGTGCTGCTGGTGGCATATTCAGGGAAAGGCTATCATGGGATGCATGTAATAGGCAGAATATGTGGTCCTGGTCCACAGCATCTTAAAAAGTAGACACATCACCTTGCCAACAAAGGTCCGTATAGTAAAAGCTATGGTTTTCCCAGTAGTGATGTATGGAAGTGAAAGCTGGACCATAAAGAAGGCTGATCGCCGAAGAATTGATGCTTTTGAATTATGGTGCTGGAGGAGACTCTTGAGAGTCCCATGGACTGCAAGAAGATCAAACCTATCCATTCTTAAAGAAATCAGCCCTGAGTGCTCACTGGAAGGACAGATCGTGAAGCTGAGGCTCCAATACTTTGGCCACCTCATGAGAAGAGAAGATTCCTGGAAAAGACCCTGATGCTGGGAAAGATGGAGGGCACAAGGAGAAGGGGACGACAGGACGAGATGGTTGGACAGTGTTCGCGAAGCTACCAGCATGAGTTTGGCCAAACTGCGGGAGGCAGTGGAAGACAGAAGTGCCTGGCGTGCTCTGGTCCATGGGGTCACAAAGAGTCGGACACGACTAAACGACTAAACAACAACAACGTGGTCCTGGTCTAATGATAGGTGAGAACAGTGAACAGACCCTCCGTAGTTCTACACTTGAGGGCTTCAGCAGCAAAATGGATTTCAAAAATGTGTATTTTCAGCTGTGTTGCAGGTGTTTCTAAATTGATTGTGGACATTTCCTCCCACTTTTGGTGAGCCAGGGTGGCTCAGCAACGCAACTGGTTGTCTCCAGTGGAGGCGAGCTCCTCTTTCTCCTTCACGGAGCTGCCATCCCTCCAGGCGATGAGAGTCTGAGTCCAACCTTGGCAGGCATGTCCAAAGTCTGTTTTGCGGACCTAATCTGGCCTGTCGGTTGGTTGAATCCACCCCCTGTGGCAATTTATTCCGTGGGGTTAAATCCTAAAAAAACCTCAGCTTCAACCCTGAAAAAAACTCCACAACTTCAATCCTAAAAAAAGGTCAACAACTTTGGTTTTTGCTTGGTCGGCCCTCACAGCCCTTCACCCTTCACTTCATCAAATCTGGCCCTCTTTGAAAAATGTTTGGGATTCTCTGAAAGGCTCTCAGCTTCCCCTCAATCCATGAACCTGGCTCGTTTCCCTCCCATTCTGCGTCCTGCAGCAGACAACTCTGATAGGTTCAAGGATCTCTCTCTGAGTTGTTTCTTTTTCCTGTCGCCAGATCTAGCCTCACCAATGCCTCTCTGGAGAAGAGTGTTAAAAGCAAGGGGATCCATTCTGTAGTCTGTGTGATGGGAAGGTAAGCTGGATTACAGGGTAGGAAGAGGAATCTGACCTGGAAAGGATCAGGGGAAGATTGGGTCAGGGAGGACCAGGAAGGGAAGGAGTCAGGAAGGAAGGAAACCCTATCCCCATGGGGTCAAGAGCTTCAAAGCAGACAGCCTCCCTCAGAAAGCAAGGCTCCCAGGGATCAATCTGCATCCTTGTGGGCAGTGCTTTTTTCTAAAAATATGTGGAGGGGTACTCTCCTTTTCCTACTCATATTGAAATATGAGCCCCCTCCATGAGGCCAAACTTAGATTCACAAAATGTTTAGGGGTATGCGTCCCCCCAGAAAAAAGCACTGCTTGTTGGGCAAGGACAGCATTGGCCTTCACTTTGTCCGGGCAAATTGGACTGAACTGAGGAGACAGGCTAACTTTTCAACGAAAAATGAGAAATTCCTTGCTAGAGAGAAAGGAGGGGGGGAATGGGACTTGTTGTGCCCCTTCCTTTGCCTTCTCCCACCAACCCTGTGATCACTGTGTTTGTGTTTGTGTACGCGCGCACGCACACACACACACACACACACACACACAGACAGACATTCAACCTCAATAAAGCCAGGCAGTCCCCAATCAATAAAGTGCTGACTGGCCACCTGCCTCAGTGGGTGTTTGGAGCTCACAGTATCACTCACACTAAGCAGACCAAACTGCTATATCAGGAAAAATAAAGGAACCAACCCTCTTGCACCCAGCAAGCTGGAACATTAGGACCATGTGTTCTGGCTTGCTGCAAGTCAGCAACTCACAGAAGATGAACATCATTGACCATGAGCTGAAAAAACGCAACATTGACATTGCTGCTCTACAGGGGACAAGACTTGCTTCGAATGGCAGCCTCAGAGAGAACTACACCCTTTGTGGCAAGGAGGGCATCCCGAAGATTCACGGCATAAGATTTTTGCAGCGAGGGACTCCCTTCTGTCTGTGATAGAACTGCCAGCTGAGGGCTCAGAATGCTTGCCTTCTCTCCATCTCTCATCTACCTCCATTCTGGTTAACATATTGAGTACACTCTGCGTGTGCTCTGATATGCAGATCAAGAACAAGTTCTGCAAGGAACTAGACCAGCAGGTCAGCAGCCTTCTCGGTAGTGGCGCCTGCCCTGTGGAACACCTTCCCAGCAGATGTCAAAGAAATAAACAACTCTCTCACTTTTAGAAGACATCTGAAGGCAGCCCTGTTTGAAGTTTTATTCTGTTTTTAGTGTTCTGCTGGGAGCTGCCCAGAGTGGCAGGGGTATAAATAATAAAATTATTATTACTATTAATATTCCTGCTGGGAGAGTTCATCACAGCTGGGATAACCGCAGAGGCCCCCTTGGTATCAGGAGCCTGAACAAGAACGGACAAAGGCTACCTGAACTGTGCTCATACCACAGCCTCAGCGTCATGAACATGGTGTGCTCTACCAAGGCAACACACTCAGTGTCCTGGAGACATCTTAGATCTCATCTTAGATCTGGCGCCAGCTGGACTGGATTGACACCAGCGATTGCACTGAACTGTGTTAATGCCACACGGAGCTACCACAGCACTGACTGCGACGCGGTCACACCCTGATGGCGGGCAAAGAGGACATCTAAGGTTCTGCACTTTGGCAGGAAGAACCAGCTGCACCAATATAAGATGAGGGACACTGGTTTGCTGGTAGGGAAAAGGATCTAGGGATCTTAGGGGACCACAAGCTTAACATGGTCAACCTGAGAGTGATGCGGCAGCAGCAAAAAATGCTAATGCTATTTCAGGCTGCAACAACAAAAGTGTCCAATGGAAGACAATAGGTAGAGATAAAGGTAAAGGGACCCCTGACCATTAGGTCCAGTCGTGACCGATTCTGGGCTTGCGGCGCTCATCTTGCTTTATTGGCCAAGGGAGCCGGCGTACAGCTTCCGGGTCATGTGGCCAGTATGACTAAGCCACTTCTGGAGAACCAGAGCAGCACACGGAAACGCCGTTTACCTTCCCGCCGTAGCGGTACCTATTTATCTACTTGCACTTTGATGTGCTTTCAAACTGCTAGATGGCAGGAGCAGGGACCGATCTGATCGGCAAGCCCTAGGCTCTGTGGTTTAACCCACAGCGCCACCCGCGTCCCAGAAGACAATAACACAATGAAATTCAAAACAATAAGAATTTATTGAGCATTTATTCAAAATCCATTAAAAAATATTTATTTTTATTCCATTCTCTTCCAGTTCTTTTTCTTCTTGGCACGTGGAGTTACACAGGGAGTAGATTCTATATCCTAAGGAACGGAAAAACCCAAAATTCAGTGAGATCTTTTGGGGCAAAATAATGTTAACAATTTTCAGATCTCTCTCTCTGTCCCCTCCCCTGCCCTGTCTTTTGCCAAAACGAAGGGGTCCGCCCTGTGCCCAGATCCACACACCCCCGGCCTCCCTGATGTGGTCCAGAGGAAAGAAGAGCAAGGCATAAGGCACCAGCTTGGCTGCAGGAGTTGCCAGAAGGAGGCCTACAAAATGCCACCCAACCATCTTAGGGACTCCACTCTGCATCTGTGTAGGGTTTACTCTGGAGCCTTTTCTTCTCCCGAAGCCATCCCACGAGGCAGCAGAGGTTTAGAATCAGAGTTCTCCTTGATGGGCTCCCTTCCGGAGGGAAGAGCTCCATCGGCCCCTCACTTCCCTTCACAGCACGTGCACAAACAGCTTCCTCTGGATCTCGTCCGCTCCATCTGCCGGAGCCTGTCTTCTGACACAGGGGAAAGTCCCTCACTCACGAGGGTTTGAGACCCATTGGCTCCCCTCCCCTGGTTCCTCAGCCTCTTCTCCCTCTGACTGCTCCTCCTTGTCCCCCCTCCACTCCCTGGGCTCTGAGACGTCTTCCCTTCCTGGTTCTTGCTTCCTCCCACCATTCCTCTGTGCCCAACCAGTCCATGACATTGTTCCACCCTTGGCCTCTGTCCCCACAAGGCAGCTTCCCCCTACCTGATCTGGTCCCACAGCCACTGCTTCCCTTCTGCCGCCATGAAAAGATGGAGAAGGAGGTCTTGCTGGCATCGTTCTGTCACCTGCAAGAGAAAAAAGGTAAGCAGGATGCCAGGAGTGCCTGCTTCTCTCCTAGATGAAACAGGGCATCTCTAACTACAGATGGGCTTTTGAGAAAGTCTTACCTGCTGAATGCATTTGGATGTTGGCCTCTCTCTGGCGTCCAGTGGAGCCCGAGGTCCGCACTACCTATAAATCCTCAATGATGATGTCATCTGGATGGAAGAGAATGAGAATGAGAAGAGAATGAAAATGAAAATGAGATTTCCCCACAGGCCTTTAGTCAAAGGTCACTGTCTCCAAGGTGTGGGGGCTTACCTTCTTTCGGGTTCAGGCGGAAGCAAGCCAGGTCCAGCCGAACTACTGTCGTCTGCAGACGAAAGAAAAATCGGGGTCAGATGGGAGCAAGAGAGCACAGAAGCAGTGCCAAGTCAGGAAGGATGGGTCTCCCTCTGTCTTGGGCCCAATCCCTTGTTCCGGAGGACCTCCCTGGGCCCTGCAGCCTCCTGGGCAGAGGTGGAAGGGCAGCAGCAGGAAAGGGGGCAGGAAAAGCCTCTGGCCTCATCCTGGCTCCCAGGGACACACCCCACATCATCTGTGCTAAAGATCACTTGGGGATGTGATCTTGGGGGGATGGAAGTAACCAAAGAAATGACTAGAAGAAGGCAAGGGACTTACTCTGAGGTTGGGGTATTTCCGGGTGTGGCGTTTGCCTCCTAGGATGGGTCAAGGAAAGGGTTAAAATGGGTGTGATGTGATTGGCCAGTGAGAATGCAAGGGGGGGAGTAAAAGATAGAGTGGGAGGTTTTGAAAGTCAGTTGAGGTTTGTCAGTTGGGAGTTGAGGCTTGGGTGTTGGAGAAGGAAGAGGGAGGATTAGGTGTGGGTTGGTAGAGTTGTATTGTGAGAAAGTGAGAGAAATTGTTAGGTTGAGTTAGATAGACAGTGGGGAATAATTCAGTTTGGAGTTGCTAGGAACTAAGATTAGGAAACTGACAAGAGACAAATAAACTGCAACCATACGCTTGTTCCTGCATTTAAAAATAAACTTGATTATTTGTTTATGTTAACAACTGTCTGGACTCCGTGTGTCCCCGTGAGAAGCGGGGTGGTGGCAGCAAAGAAAGCTATCGCAGTGGTGGCACAGGGTCAATAGACCGTGAAACGTCCAGGGGCCCTGTGTGATCGCCACACCGGGCAACGGCCAGCAGCAAGGAAATGAGCCTTGAGCCTCCCCACTTTCCCCCAGGGCGTATCCTCGGAAGTCCTGCAGCAGGAAAGAGCGTCTCAGAGTCAGGGGCCAGTCTGGGCCAAAGCAGCCCCCACTGCCCCCACCACGGAGTCCCTGGCACTTCTGGACCATGAGGGTTTGCCAGCTTTGGTCTTGGACCAAATTGGGGGCCAAACAGGCTCTGTGCCCCAGAAATGGGGCAGTCCATTGGGTAAGGGATGGGGGGACAGGACAACCTTAAAACCTCCCCTGATGCCATCGGGACACTTACACTGAGAAGGTGGAGGAGGGTGCCAGGGTTGGGGGCTTCCATAAGGAGACTCCCCAGCAGGAGCCGGAAGTGCCTCTTCAGTTCCTGCGGGAAAAGAGAGAAGAGAGTTTGAATGCTGGGTTCGATTCTGCAAGTGCGTGATGAAAAAGAAGAAAGAGCCATGAAGCGAAGTCAAAACCAAGGACATACTTCTTCTCTCTCCTCCTCATCGGCCCCTTTCAGCACGGCCTCCGACGTCCTGTGCAGGATGGCACTGATCATATCGCAGCTGAATTTGGGCCTCCTCGTACTGCAGAGATGAAAGGGAGAGGGTTAGAGTCTCCCTTGCCCCCTTCTCCCTCCCGCCTGCTCTTTCCCCCTAGAGTTCTGCCCCCCACCCACAACCCCATCCACGCCAAAGACCCCACTCCCCTGAGCTGGAGGAGGGCCTCCAAGGCAAGGGCCAGGGTCAGGGGGCGATCCCTGAAGTGCTCCAAGGGCCACAAGATGTCCTGGAAGAGAACAGAGGAGGAAAATCAGCTCCGACCTCAAACACCAGGCTTGGCTTTGCAGGGGAATGGCAACCCCATGCCCTAAGCTGGCAGGGTCCTCCTCTCCGCAGATGCACAGCCCCTTCCCCCCCCCACCCCCCATCACTCACCAAAATGGCTTGGGCCGTCTCCTGCTTGGAGTACTTCAGGGATCAGAGCCCCCTGAGCTCAGCTGCCTGGCAGCTCTGGATGACCCCCAGGAGGTATTTCTGTTCATCCTCCAGCAGCTGAAATGCAAAAGTCAGACTGTCAGTTCCTCGTGAGGGGAGGGCTTCTCCGCATCTGAGAGTGCAGAGTGGGGAGCAGAGAGCCCGGGCAGTGGGGGGCAGGTCTGAGGGATCCAGTCCCTGCTCTTGTTTTCTCCAATACTCACCCCTGGGGCTGGGATGCGGAACCGCAGCAGAACTGCAAACAGAAGGACATGGGAAGAGGTGAGTCCTCTTTCGCATCCTTGGACTAGTTGCCCCCATGCCCATTCCTGCCCTCCTCTGTCCAAAAAAGAAGGGCCACTGGCTCACCTGGCGCCATGGGCTGGTCTGGGTCTTGCTGGGGGGCCACCCTGTGGCAGCGCCTGAACAGGCGCCTTAAGCACCTGATCCTAGAAGAGATGAGCAGAGAGAGAGACTCAGATGCCGGCAGCCCCAATTCTTGAGGGGTGTTTGTGTGTGAGGAGGGGCGTCTGGAGAAAACAGTGAACCACTGCCAAACTGGCAGAACAGAAATACATATGTGGAGCCTAATCGATCCTTGCCGGCTCATCATGACCAATTCCTTCCATCTCTCTGCAGTTCAGTGACCTGAAGGGGCATCATCAGAGCCTGAAAGAGGCAGCCCAGAGCATGAAGGGCTGGCAGGGAGAGAAAGGAGGTCCCAAGTGCTCTGGGTTCAAGAGCTACGGCCATGTCAGAACCCAGAGAACCTGGTCCCCTCATTCATGCAGTCAAGCAGTGTATAAATTTCATGAAGCAAATGAAATGAATAGGGAGAGGGGAGAGCTTTGGGTCATTCTTAACATGGTTACCGGATTTTTTTGGAAAGGGTGGCGGGGGTTTCCCCCTCCAGCAGGCACCATACCCCCCTCCAACTGTACCCCAAATCAACACCTTCACTTCTGCAAATTTCCCCACAAAACACATCCTGACACAATCCTTTCCTTTTTCTATCCCAAAGGCTCCCATAAATAAGGGTAGAACATTTGCCCTAATGAAGACTGAGCCTTTCACTCACAAGGCGCTCAACCAATCCGCTCAGACTATCCAAAGAACTGTCCAAGAGCAACCAGTGAGCACTACAAAACAGCACCCTCTACAACAAAGCACTGAGGGCACAAGGAGAAGGGGATGACAGAGGACGAGGTGGTTGGACAGTGTTCTCGATGCTACCAACATGAGTTGGACCAAACTGCAGGAGGCAGTGGAAGACAGGAGGGCCTGGCGTGCTCTGATCCATGGGGTCACGAAGAGTCGGACACGACTAAGCGACTAAACAACAACAACAACAGAACAAAGCACACAGGCACTGCAGCTGCCGACCAGCCATGGCCTCTGCTCTACAAATAGGAATTCCCACTGGGAAAAGGGGAAAGTCAGAACCAGCCATGAAAACCATTCTTGGTCCATTGAAACTAGTCTTTTAAGTTTCAGTCTAGGCTCTTGCACTATCAACCCAGCTGTACGCTTGTGAAACATGGACCACTTATAAACGCCATCTCCAACTCCTTGAAAGATTCCATCAATGGTGTCTCTGAAAATTTTTTACACATCACTTAGGAAGACAGGCAAACTAATGCCAGTGTACTGGAAGAAGCAAAGATCACCAGTGTGGAAGCAATGATTCTTCAACATCAACTTCGTTGGACTGGTCATGTCCAATGGCTGGGAAACACTGGCCTGCGAGGGCTCCAATAGAAGAACAGCCTTTACCAATGGTGTCATGGGCTTTGAAGACACTTGAACTCAGGACGCAAGGAAGAAACAAGCTAAGAGGAAAGCACTCTTGGCAAACCCTCACTGTGATCAACTCCTGCCCAGAAAACTATGTCCGCACTGTGGAAGGACGTGTGGATCCAGAACTGGCCTCCACAATCACTTATGGACTCACGATTAAAACTCACTGTTCATGGAAGTCAATCTTACTCGGCTATGAGTGATAGAAGAAGAAGAAGAAGAAGAAGAAGAAGAAGAAGAAGAAGAAGAAAAGATATCTGGTCGTAGCACTCGCCTACTCTTGCAGCGGAAAAGCCTTCAAATATTCATATAAAAGCAATCCAACATCAGATTGACACCGTTCCAATGCTGTTCTGCTCAGAAGGAAGATGGCTACCAGAGGAGGCACTTGGGACATGGCTAGGGGCAGCCATCATCCCTGAAGCATGAGACCACGTACACAGCAACCCTTCTGCTTGGGTGATAATCACTGCCCTCCTGGTCTCTGAGTGCCAGACATGTAGCCATCTCAAGGACAAGAGTGGATCCAACCTACATGGATTGGGGACTTGGCCAGGACAACTTGGCTGGGAAACAGACTCACCCCACCCCCCGGAAATGAAGAGAAAGCGATGCTACTTACAGCCTGCCCATGTCGTCCACAAAAGATCCCACCCTCCTATCTAAGGTAACTATCTGAAATGCCCACCCAAGCTTAAATCTGACCCCAACCCCAACCCCAACCCCTGCCCTAAGTCTATACCTAACCCCCACCCTAACCCTACACTTAACCCTAACTACTCCTCTATGTAAAAAATAAAAATATACAGAATATATACAGAATATGCACAGATGTGCACAAAAAACAAAAATATTAAAACAAAGAACAAAAGATAAAATAAATAAAAGTGGTAAAAGAAAAGAATAAAGGAAAATAAAAAGAAATCAAATCAAATAAATCAAATAAAAGTAATAAATGAAATCAAAATCAAAATAAGAACACGAAAAAAGAACAATTCACAAATCCTCCGCCTACTCTCCACCAACCGCCACCACCTCCTCTCTTCTCTAACCTCTCCTCACTAACCCACAATGGCCGCCTGCAAGTCAGTGGCTTTTAAAGGAGAAGCAAGAGATGTCACAAAGGAGGGCGGGTCCTTGTTGTGGGATGTGAAACACAAGAGCAGTCAAGTACAACATTCCTAGAGTGAACATGTTTACACATGGGGAGGAATGTTTGTCCAGCCAGCTGGTAAACTTCCTGTTTCCTTCCGGGCTGGGGCAGACTTCCTCTGCATGTGACTAGAGGTGGGTGTGGCCTCACTTGTGCAGGTAACGACAAAAGCACAGGGTAGGGCAGCCATCTCTCTCTCTTTGACTACATGCATCGAAGAAGCAACATCTGCTTAGCCAAAGATGCCCTCTTGGCTCTAGCCAAGAGAGGACAAAGGGACTGCCTTCTTATGGAATAGTTTCCAAGTGTATGTTATTTTTCTAAGCTAAGTCTGCCTTCTGGGATCCGATTGTGAACAGAATGATATATTAATAAACCTTTTTATACTTTTGTAGAAGACTGTGTCGTGTCTTATATTTTATGAGGGAATAGCGGGGAAATATCAGAACAGTTATTTTAGAGGTTTTAGCGAGCCTGAGCAAACGCATCCGCTGTAGGTTTAAAAGGGGGGATGTTACTCTGCTAAAATTGTAAACTTGTTAACACAAGTTGGAAAGGGTATTATCAGACAATATATCCTTTCCTGCATCCCTGAACATTCCCACACTTGCCACCGTGGCAACCCCCCCCCCCCCAAGGACCTGGCCACTCCTGAGTGGTGATGCACTCGGAGGCACCTGCTGTTCTGGCTGCAGCTGGGCTCCATCTTCACTTCACATCCCTCTTCCTGCAGCCCCATTCCCAAAGGGAGACCAGCCCCACACCCTTCCAGGCAGCTTAGGCATCTCCATAGCGCAAGATTGGACCATCTGCTTGGCATGCAGGTTTTCCGTCCTGGGCAACATCTCGGGGGGGGGGGGGAGATTGGGAATGTCCCCCCCTCCGAAACCCTGGAGAGCTGCTGCTGCTCAGTGCAGGTGAGTTGAAGAAAGATATTGAGCAGCTGGAAAGTGAGCAGAGGAGGATGACCAGGATGCTGAAAGGTCTGGAAACCAAGCCTTATGAGGAACGGTTGAGGCAGTTAGAAACCAAGGCTGATCAATATTATAGATATGGAAGATAACATTAAACAGAACTGTGCGTGTAAAAAAAAAAATGGAAAAGGGAGGGAAACACTATTTTGCAAAAGGTTTACGATGGAGACTTAGAGCTGACTCTTCCCCATCCTTTATTATTTATGGAGTGAATACTGCAGTTGTTATATAAGGGATTGTTTTTTTTGACTGCAATGTAATTGAAATTCGTAAGATTTTGGAACGCAGAAATAAAATAATCAGCCATCAATTCTAGCACATGGGAGGCCACCTAAATTATATAATTTTGTATTTGAACAATAGATGTTAGTAATTGTATTACAGTTTGGTATCATTATAATGAGGCTATTATTGGATTGAAATCGAAAATTAATAAAAATATTATTGAATATGTTAGTCCCTTTTGGGATGGCCCAATGCAAAAAGCGTGAGGATCCATGAGAGCCAGTGTGGTGTAGTGGTTAAGAGCTGTAGTCTCATAATCTGGGGAACCGGGTTTGCGTCTCCGCTCCTCCACGTGCAGCTGCTGGGTGACCTTGGGCTAGTCACCCTTCTCTGAAGTCTCTCAGCCCCACTCACCTCAAAGAGTGTTTGAAGTAGTGATAAAGTGGGGTATCAAATCCAAACTCCTCCTCCTCCTCCTCCTTCTCCTCCTCCTCCTCCTCCTCCTCTTCTTCTTCTTTGAAACCATGTTTTGGGGCCATGGAGTTGCCAGGAAGCTGTGGATCCATGATTTTTGTGGTGCAGGCTGTGTCCCTGGCTATGATGTGTGATTTGACAGTGAGTTTGAGTTGGCCCAATGCAAAAAGCATCAGGATCCATGAGGATCCGTGCTTCAAAACCACATTTTTGGGCCATGGCGTTGCCATGAAGCCGTGAATCCGAGTTTTTTGTGGTGCAGGCTGTGCCCCTGGCTATGATGTGGGTTTGGGGTGGCCCAACGCATAAAGCGTGAGGATCCATGCTTCAAAACCACTTTTTAGGCCACGGTGTCGCCAGGAAGCTGTGTATCCGTGATTTCTGTGGTGCAGGCTGTGCCCATGGCCATGATATTTGATCTGATGCTGACTTTGGGCTGATCTAGTGCAAAAATCATGAGGATCCATGAGGATCCTTTTTTTAACCATGTTTTTGTGCCATTGCAGTACCATGAAACGGTGGATGTGTGATTTTTTTGGTTCTGCCTACAGACAAATACGTAGTGTAGAGTATCATGGTGTTTTTATTTTGTTTCAATATAAAAATCATATGAATTCATGAGGGTCCATGTTTTTGTGGTGCTGCAGCGTGGCTAAGTGTTGGATCCACGTTTTTTATAGTCCAGTCTGTATGTGTGCCTTCCAGATGTGATTTGACACTGGATTTGTTGGAGTTATTTTTTAAAAAGTGGAGGATCCATGAGGATCCTTGTAGATCCGCCTTTAACTCAGACCCCTGTACATGCTCTCTTTTAAAAAAAAAAAATTTAAATTAAATTTCTGTTTTAAATTTTAGAATATTCACCTTAAAATATCAGTGACTTCCCTTCCTCTCTTTCTATGGTTCATTTTGCACAACATAAATCCATGCATATTTTATAAAAACTAAACCGTTCAGCTTTCCATTATTACATCAGTAAAAACCTATTTACTCTGTTGAATTTATCTTAATGCTGCCCACATTTTCAATTTTCCTCCATATATTCAATAAACATTTTCCAATCTTTTTAAAATGTATGTTCTTCTTGTTCTCTTACTCCAGTCAATTCCAAATGCATACCATACATGAGCAAAGGCATTGTATTGATCAGGCATAGGAAAACTCAGCCCTCCAGATGCTTTGGGACTACAACTCCCATCATCCCTAGCTAACAGGACCAGTGGTCAGGGATGATGGGAATTACAACAATCCAATAATAGCCTCATTATACTGTAATAATGCCAAATTATAATACAATTAACAATCCCAATCATTGAGATGCCAAATTATACAATTTAGTTGGCCTCTCGTGTGCTAGAATTGATGGTTTAACAATTTACTTTATTTCTGCGTTCCAAAATCTTATAAATTCCAATTTGTTGGTCTGATCTAGACCAAGTGCTTACATTCCTATTTGACTATTTTTTGGCCCATTAATTGTATTGGCAGGAGATAAGAATGCCAGAGTGTAGATATCTGTACGAGGTATTGCAACCCTAAGCACAGATAAGTGCGATGCAAGTTGTGATAACGATGCAAGAAGGAATTGCATACTGAACATGCTCAAAGGCAGAGCATGTCATTACCAAGGAAGCAGATTTAGTCACTGTTTGAGGACTATCCCTGCCTCCAGGTCTGGTCTTGACCGGATGGATACCTGAATCAGCAAGGGAGACCCACATGTCCTGAAGGTGCTGCTGTGCAATGCCAGGTCAATAATTAATAAGACCACTGCCATCCATGACTTGATCGTGGATTGAGGATTTGACCTGGCATGTGTAACAGAGACTTGGTTGGATGAAGCAGATGGGCCTGTTCTTGCCGCTGCTTGTCCACCAGGTTTCTCTTACGCACAGCAACCCAGGTCATGTGGGCGGGGAGGGGTTGCAGTGATTTTTAGGAAGTCATTAGCTTGCACCAGGCGTCCGATGGGGAAGACCCAGTTCTCTGAGTGCATGTTCTGGAAGTTGGGCAATAGGGGCAGTACAGGATTCCTTTTGGTGTACTCCCCGCTGCACTAAGGATTCCCTGCCCGAGCTGCTTCAGGTCATGGCGGATGTACTCCTGGAGACACCTAGTTTGGTTGTCCTGGGGGATTTTAACATCCACACCAACACGACCTTACAAGGGGCCACTCGGGACTTTGTGGAAAGCATGGCCTCCACGGGGCTGTCCCTGAATAAGTTTGGCCCAACTCATAGTCGTCGACATGCCTTAGACCTAGTGTTCACCTCTATGGATGTGGTGATCTGACACTAAATAAAAGTGAAACAAAGAAGTGCCAGGGTCTGATCACTTATTGGTGCAACTGGACTTCTCCGCTGGAAACCAGCTGGAAATCTTTCATTTACACAGACCTGTTCCTCTTTTTCCTCTTGCCACCCAAGCCACTGAGAAGCCTTTTATTACAATCAATCAATCAAAGAAGTTTCATTAAATCAACAAAGAAGTCACATAGGCAAAAGCCCTTTGCTTAATCACACCCCAGGCCTCTCCTCCTCTGTTTGGAATTTTCATCTTTTTCAGCAGGATATGCAGAATTCATCATGCGAAAGGCTGGGCTGGATGAATCCCTATCCGGAATTAAGATTGCCGGAAGAAATCTCAACAACCTCAGATATGCAGATGACACAACATTGATGGCAGAAAGTGAGGAGGAATTAAAGAACCTTTTAATGAGGGTGAAAGAGGAAAGGGCAAAATATGGTTTGAAGCTCAACATCAAAAAAATGAAGATCATGGCCACTGGTCCAATCACCTCCTGGCAAATAGAAGGGGAAGAAATGGAGGCAGTGAGAGGTTTTACTTTCTTGGGGTCCATGATCACTGCAGATAGTGACAGCGGCCACGAAATTAAAAGATGCCTGCTTCTTGGGAGAAAAGCAATGACAAACCTAGACAGCATCTTAAAAAGCAGAGACATCACCTTGCCAACAAAGGTCCGTATAGTTAAAGCCATGGTTTTCCCAGTAGTGATGTATGGAAGTGAGAGCTGGACCATAAAGAAGGCTGATCGCCGAAGAATGGATGCTTTTGAATTATGGTGCTGGAGGAGACTCTTGAGAGTCCCATGGACTGCAAGAAGATCAAACCTTTCCATTCTGAAGGAAATCAGCCCTGAGTGCTCACTGGAGGGACAGATCCTGAAGCTGAGGCTCCAATACTTTGGCCACCTCATGAGAAGAGAAGACTCCCTGGAAAAGACCCTGATGTTGGGAAAGATGGAGGGCACAAGGAGAAGGAGACGACAGAGGATGAGATGGTTGAGCAGTGTTCTCGAAGCTACCAGCATGAGTTTGGCCAAACTGCGGGAGGAAGTGGAAGACAGAAGTGCCTGGCGTGCTCTGGTCCATGGGTCACGAAGAGTCGGACACGACTAAACAACAACAACAGTTCCAGAAAAGCTTTTGCTCCCCCCACTTAATTTTTAGAAATTGAGCTTTGCGCATACTTCCTTTCCCGGAGAAGACACCATCCTTTCTCCCCTGCACCCCAGTCAAATTAGGACATGGGATCACCGCCCTGTTCTGGGAACTTGCAGTTTGATTGCTTCATTAAACTGTACCGGTAAACAGTGGATATAGACTGCTGAGGTGGCTTGGGATGTGGGTGGCTGAGTGGGAAAGAGGCGGGGGGGGGGAATGTAGGCAAGCCCACTGGTACAAGAAGTTGCAGGGCCGAGCTGTGCTGCAAACACATGTACCCCTGGAAAACATAAGGAGAGATTGCTGGATCAGGCCAATGGTCCATCTAATCCAGCATTCCTAGTGTCACAGTGGTTACTCAGATCATGGAATCAAAGAGTTGAAAGGGACCCCCAACTGTCATCTAGTCTAACCCCCTGCAATGCAGGAATCCTGCTCACAGCCATCCCTAAAGGTAAAGGTAAAGGGACCCCTGACAGTTAAGTCCAGTCATGAATGACTCTGGGGTTGCGGCACTCATCTCGCTTTACAGGCTGAGGGAGCAGGCGTTTGTCCACTTCTGCAGACAGTTTTTCTGGGACATGTGGCCAGCATGACTAAGCCGCTTCTGGCGAACCAGAGCAGCGCACGGAAACGCCGTTTACCTTCCCGCCATAGTGGTACCTATTTATCTACTTGCACTTTGACGTGCTTTCGAACTGCTAGGTTGGCAGGAGCAGGGACCGAGCAACGGGAGCTCACCCCGTCGCGGGGATTTGAACCGCTGACCTTCTGATTGGCAAGCCCAAGGCTCAGTGGTTTAGACCACAGCGCTACCCGCTCAAACCAGCTCAACCTTCTGGTTAACAGCTACATGCACTGAGCCACCGTAATGACACTGAGAAGCACTCAGCCAGGATGCAAGCACAAGGGCAATCTCCCCACCTGCAGTTTCCAGCAACTAGGATTCAGAAACATTTCTGCCTCCAGCTGTGAAGGTGGTTCCACCTACACTAGGGAATGGGATGGGGACCTTGTGACCTTTCCAGATGTTGTTAGGCTCTGGTGATGGGAGCTGGCTTCCTGCAACATCTAGAGAACTTCCACCCTTTCCAAACCAGGTATTTTCCGTTCTCCTGCAAGAGTCTACAGATATATTCTCCACAGATGAAGGTCCATGACTCAGAGAGTGTTTGCAGCGCAGGGGAGCTTCACAGCTCTTTCTCCCCTGCTGTCCACATCAGCATGGCTTTTTTGGTGTCAGATTCATCTCTATATGTGAGGGCTCTCTTGGGGTTAATAATAATAATAAATAATAACATCCCCGGAGTTTCATGCCCCCAAACTGGCTGAAAAATCAATTTCAGCGCTCCTCTATGCGGACGACGCGGTTCTCTTATCACGAACTAAAGTAGGCCTCAAAAGGCTACTAAGAGAATTCTCAGCCTACTGTAGGAGAGATCAACCGGTGGTTAATCACCAAAAAACCAAAGTCATGGTCTTCGCTAGCAGACACAGACATCACAGATGGGAGATGGACAATCAGCCAATAGAACAGGTCAAAATTTTCAAATACCTCGGAGTAGTTTTCCAGTCATCTGGGACCTGGGAGGCCCATCATAAATATGCTAGGGAAAAAGCATCTCAAAGCGCCAAAATACTGTCTCGCTTTTACTTTACGAACGGGGGCAGACATATCCCAGCAGCTCTGGAGGTCTTCCAAGCAAAACCCTTGGCGCAATTACTCTACGGGGCCCAAATCTGGACGGGAAATCATTGCCGCAGACTTGAAACGGTCCAGTCTAAATTCTTAAGACAGATTCTAGCCGTTCCACCAAATGCGCACCAAATACGGCCCGACGGCCTCCCCTCCGTTGAAACCCGATCCTGGTTAAGAACATTCAACTATTGGCTTCGCCTAAATTTAAACCCATCCGGACTACTACCTCTAGTAGCACGAGATGCTCATAGAAGTCGGTGGTCCAAACTAGCGCATCAAAAACTACTTACATGTGGCCTCCAAGCACAGCATCTCCTGAAAATGGGTCTCCCCAAGGCAAAAACCATTATTGACCAGCGCATAAAGGATATTGAGCAGCAGAATAATCTGGTTTATATTAAGAAATTTAGTGCTTGGTACACTTATTTGCCCCCCTCCCACTTTGATTTTCGGGCACCTTATTTGTCTACCTTAACCATTCCAAAACTCAGACGGGCCTTTACATTGGCCAGACTAAATATGTTACCCTCAGCTGTTCTTGAAGGTAGATATCAAAAAATTTCATTCGAGAACCGGCTCTGCCCCTGTGGAACTGGCTACGTAGAGACTGTGTCACACGTTCTCCTGTCTTGTTCCCTATATAAAGATCTCAGGGACGAGACCATCACGCCACTCCTATCTGCCATCCTGGGCCACTCTTGTGAAGCCAAATTGTTCTCACTCCTAGCTGACCAGAACAGCTCGACAACAGAGAAGGTTGCTAAATTTATCGAGAGAGCAATGAGACTGAGAGCTGCCATCTGAATGCCATCAGTGTCGTCATTCGGATTTCTCGCTTAGGATCTTATCATTATTATCATTATGTTTTATTATTAGTATTTTATTATCTCTGCCAAGTTTTAAGTACTGAGAGTATTAACTTATCTGCATCTGGTTGTTATTATTATCTCTCTCCCTACCCTGACCATTTATATTTATAATCTTTCAATTTGGCTGGTCTATTTACCCCTGCCGCTGAATCTAGCGCACGGCAGGGGTGGAAGTGAGAATGGGAGGCTTTTGGTTACCCAGCTGGGGGCAAGCCACTTTCACGTGCCCTGGTTTTTTTACACAAAAAACACAGTCCAGAGTTTGGGGACAATTTAGTACGTTCCCCACCTGCTACAGCAGAGTCTTTTGCAGGCGTCAGGAAACCTTTGCTTTGTTCTTTAATGGGGGGAGCAGACTTTCCCATCGAAGCTGCTGGTTTGTACGCATTCCTTGGTCCCTTGTTGGTCAAATGGGAGCGGTTAAGCCTAAAAGACTCAGCAAAGGCGGTGGCTTCCGTTAGGGTTTGTGGCTTTTGGTCCGCAACCAGACTAGCAATTTCAGAGGGCAGGGAACGCATCAGTTGCTCAATTAATATAAGCTGTTTGAACCCTTCAAAGTCCTCCACCCCCTCGGCTGCAAGCCACAGTTCAAAGTTTTAAGCCATTTTTGCTGAGAAAACAGCAATATTGTCATTGAGCCCCGACTTCTCTACTTTTCGAAAAGCCTTTCGATAATTCTCGGGGTGCAATCCATGCCTCTGCATGACTAACTTTTTGAAGCTTTCATAGTCATTGAGTTCGGATGAGGGGAGATGACCCATAAGCTCTGCCAGGTCGCCACAAACTAGGGGACGCAGAACGGCCATATACAGTGTCGGAGCAATTCCCATGTCTTTGCAAGTTACTTCAAAAAGAGTCAGATAACTCAGAACGTCAGTGGGGGGCTGATATTTTGGGAATACCCTCCAATTAAGAGTACTCAAAGTCAGTCCTGGAGGGGACTGTTGGCGGTGGTTTCCCCCCCTCACGGGAACAAGTTCATACCTCGGCGCAGGGTTTTGAGGCATCTGCCCCTCCGGGCATAACGGTTCAGCTGCCGTTGCGTATCCACGCTTGGGTCGCTGAAAAAACTCCTCCTCTTCCTCTGCCACATACCGTCGCACCGGCACGCGCACCTCTTGAGCTCTGACTGGCAAGTAGACTCTACCCGGACTGAGCAAACGCTGTCTCACCATCCGGCGGACGTCGGGCGCGCACGCTTCCCGGCGGCAGTCTCCCACAGTCACCTCCTGCAGCTGGTGCGGCAGGTCTTGGTAGTCATACGCCATCCGGCTGACTCTCGGCCCCATCAGGATGGATTGGCCCATCTTTGGATGTTTCTCTCGGCAACGGAATCCACCATTCACCGGATCTCGCATCCACTCCACATCATAACCCTCTGAGAAGTCCATCTCTTTAGGCTCTGTGTAAACAAGATAATTCCCCCTAGGACGTGTGGAGGCCATCCCAGCATCCACTTCCTCACTAGGTGATAGGGGTTGGGTAACTGGCGTGCCCCTTGCTCTTTCCACAATACAGGACTCTCGCCGACCCTTCCGGACAGTACTTAACTCGCTGGCATCCACCAGCTCCCCCTCTGAATCAGGGTCTTCCGAAAACCAGGAGGCGGATTCCGCTCTGGGACTTAAAGCTTGGGGGGGATTGGTCTCCACAGGAAGGGAACTGCCTTCTCCCACCAATCCCCACTGCTCTAACGTCTTCATTGTGTATTCCTGCGAAGTCGCAGCCTCCTCCATCTCCTAACTATCTCTATCCAAAAAAACAAACCACCTGTAACCCACAAAAGATACGTGCCACTTTTAAAAAATCAAAGTGCCTTTCCGCAGGGAAGCTCGATCCCACCGCTGCCACCATGTGGTAAACTTCGCCCCCAGCCACTCGCTCCTCCCTCACCTGTCTTTGCTCTCCGGCCAGATCAGGTTTCTTGAGCAGGGCTGGCAGGCAAGTTTACATTTTACAGAAACAGGACAAAATAACACCGGTAAGGCTGCCACCACTCCCTCTGGTCCGGGGAACCTAGAGCCACAACCCAGGGAGAAGGCTGTGCCCCGTTATTGCTGGTTATCCCCACTCCACAAATTGTATCCACAGACTTGCAGACAGAAATTCTACGGTAGAGCGTAACCAAACGTAAGGCTAGGAATTAGCTTTTCCCCCGGAAAGGCACACAAACCAAAACAGTTTCTTCTTTAAAATTTATTTTAAAAGAACATAAGAAAACATGCTAAAATAGCAGGCACATCTTTAGTAAGTTGCAGGCAAGAAAATAAAGACATTATAAAATCTAACTGACTTACATACTCACAACTAAGACATAAATAGGATAGTTAGAGTCCTTCCAAGGTTCCGCATTTCAGAGGCTTTCGCAGTTCTCCATCACAAAGGACGTAAGGACAGCTACTTAGATGGAACATCAGCAGCCGGGCGATTTGCGGATTGCAGAGTGCGCTTTCTCAGCCATTTCCCAGATCTTTTATCCCTGATTTGCACGTGGCGTCGGAACCCCCGAAACCAATCATAACTCTTGATTATTTTTAAATTCTCCAATGACCGGCTTGCGGGCTAATCAATCTAACTTCTGGCAGCTGGGCCAATTAAGAACCCAGAGCCTAAATCAAAGGGGTTTCCTCCCTTCCGTGGAACCTATGCAGATGCAAATTCCCAGGCAATGAAGGCCAGATAACATCACTGAGGGAATGCACATAACTTCGGACCCAGGTGTCAAACCTTCCATTAAATCAGGGGTTTCCTTTCCCATAATAAACCTTTCACACCCTGGGTGCCTGTTAGTCTGGGGTTAAAGGGACAGAACTTATTTACCATGGTTCTTGTGGCTTGTTGGATACCCACAAGGCCTCACTCTCATTGCTTGACCAAGGAACAGCTTCTAAATACACTAACTTTACTACAGCCGGGCTCAGGGCGGCTAACAACAATAAAATAATACAACATTCTAAAATCATTTCATTAAAAAATTACTTCAAATCAAATTGATGGCAACCATTGGGCTAGAGTTCTGTGAAGATTGCCGAGGGAGGGAGTCAGGCTGTGCCCTGGCCAAAGTCTTGGTGGAACAGCTGTCTTGCAGGCCCAGCGGAAAGATGTCAAGTCCCGCAGGGCCCTAATCTCTTGTGGCAGAGCGTTCCACCAGGTCGGAGCCACAGCCAAAAAAGCCCTGGCTCTGGTTGAGGCCAGCCTAACCTCCCTGTGGCCTGGGACCTCCAAGATGTTTTTGTTTGAAGATCGTAAGTTCCTCTGTGGGACATACCAGGAGAGGCGGTCCCTGAGCAGTGGTGCACCCAGAGAGCTTCAAGGCTGAGGGGAATTCAAACCCAAGCCCTACTCCAGCCCTCTAAACACTATCCACACTTTCCTCAGACAACGTCGCCTTTCCCCCTCTCTTGTTCTGATCTGGTAGGACTCATGTTTTTCAACTCTAGAGGGCTGCTGCCAGTCAGTGTAGACAATGGCCAATGGCCTCACTCGGTATCAGACACGTTCCAATGATTCTTTCTCCACACAATTTACGAAAGATATATATATGCATATTATTTGTATACCATCCTACATCCATAGACCTGAGGACGGTGTGTAACATAAAATACCGTAATGGTTTCTGCAGCAGCACCGAGTCCTCTTCTTCCTGAACGCCATTCTCTCTTGCTTCCAGTGAGTTTTGCTGGTTGACATGGCACTTAAGAGAAGTGAGGGAGGGAGCGACCTTGTGATTTATAGTCAAGCTTTAGGCTTAACACGTTTGATTGCTTCATTAAGCTGTACCTGTAAATGCTGGCTCTGCAGTCTGCAAACAGGTCTCACCTTTTCTTCCCAAACACATGAGGAAATCGTCACCCCTTGCAAATATCATTTCCCTTTTGCTTAGTCTGGCATCCTGTGTCATTCCTACTTCACAGGATAGTTGTGAAGATATAATGGAAGTATGGTGCAGGAGGGAACCATGCGCACTGATTTGATCTTTCGTTTCACAACACGGAAAGCAGAGGACAGACCGAGAAAAAGAATGCAAGGATCAATTTCATCCAATAGCTTGTTGGAGGGCCCAGGATTTAGTCTGGCATTCTGCAACAATACAGTGGTACCTCAGGTTAAGTACTTAATTCGTTCCGGAGGTCCGTACTTAACCTGAAACTGTTCTTAACCTGAAGCACCACTTTAGCTAATGGGGCCTTCGCCGCCGCTGCACGATTTCTGTTCTCATCCTGAAGCAAAGTTCTTAACCTGAAGCACTATTTCTGGGTTAGTGGAGTCTGTAACCTGAAGATTATGTAACCGGAAGCTTATGTAACCTGAGGTACCACTGTAGTTCTCAAAATAGGCTGCTTCAAGGGACTCAAATATAGGACTCAAAATAGGTTACTGCACACCTTGGTGTTACCCTGAGTGGTGGTGCAGTTCTACCATTTTAGATTCTGGACATAAGGTTCTCAAAAGGAAAGAAACCCTCTTTAGAAAACTACTTTAAAACACGAATTCTGCTCCTTCAACTGAGTGGTGCCCTGGAGGAAGAAGACTGCATAAGCAAATCCAATTTAATAAAGGTCTAATAGCTGCTGATAGACCTACACTTCTTCAACATCTCTATTCCTCTTTATTAAAACGCCACCTAAGCTTCCCTTTAATACTTCCTTCAGTCGGTTTGTGTCATGCCTGCTTTCTCCCCTGCCCCTCCACTTATATCAAAAACCAACATGATTAAGGCTGTAATCCTATATACAAATTTACAGGGGAATAACTCCAACTGAACTTCCTGGTGCTTACTTCTGATATAGAATCATGGCATCATAGAATTGTAGAGTTCGAAGGACCCCGATGGTCATTTAGTCCAACCCTCTGCAATGAAGAAATCTCAACTAGTGCATGCGTACATGGCAGATATGCCATCCCATCCTCCAAGGAAGGAGAGTCCACCACCTCTTGTGGAAGTCTGTTCCACTCTCAAAAAACTCTGTCAGAAAGTTGTTCCTGATGTTTAGTCAGAATCTCCTTTCTTGTAACTTGAATCCATTGGTTCGAGTCCTACTCTCTGGAGCAGGAGAATACAAGCTTTCTCCATCCTCCATGGGACAGCCTTTTAGATATTTGAAGATGGCTATCATACTAAAAAGCAGAGACATCACCTTGCCAACAAAGGTCCGTATAGTTAACGCTATGGTTTTCCCAGTACTGATGTAGGGAAGTGAGAGCTGGACCATAAAGAAGGCTGAAGAATTGATGCTTTTGAATTCTGGTGCTGGAGGAGACTCTTGAGAGTCCCATGGACTGCAAGAAGATCAAACCTCTCCATTCTTAAGGAAATCAGCCCTGAGTGCTCACTGGAAGGACAGATCCTGAAGCTGAGGCTCCAGTACTTTGGCCACCTCGTGAGAAGAGAAGACTCCTTGGAAAAGACCCTGATGTTGGGAAAGATGGAGGGCACAAGGAGAAGGGGACGACAGAGGATGAGATGGTTGGACAGTGTTCTCGAAGCTACCAGCATGAGTTTGACTAAACTGCAGGAGGCAGTGGAAGACAGGAGTGCCTAGCATGGGGTCACGAAGAGTCGGACACGACTAAACGAGTAAACAACAACATGGGGGACTTGATTTGGGGACTTAGCCCTGGGTCAAGGACAAAGGAGGAGCATGGTGCAACCATTTAAGAGTCTCCTATGCTCTTCAAAGGGACGCAGGTGGCGCTGTGGGTTAAACCACAGAGCCTAGGACTTGCCGATCAGAAGGTTGGCGGTTTGAATCCCTGCAACGGGGTGAGCTCCCGTTGCTTGGTCCCTGCTCCTGCCAACCTAGCAGTTTGAAAGCACGTCAAAGTGCAAGTAGATAAATAGGTACCACTCCAGCGGGAAGGTAAACGGCATTTCCGTGCGCTGCTCTGGTTCATCAGAAGCAGCTTAGTCATGCTGGCCACATGACCCGGAAGCTGTACGCCGGCTCCCTCGGCCAATAAAGCGAGATGAGCGCCGCAACCCCAGAGTCGGTCAGGACTGGACCTAATGCTCAGGGGTCCCTTTACCTTTATCCTCTTCAAAATGGCGCTACACCATTACAAACATGCAAACATTTGTAGAGATCTTACATACCTGCTGCTGTTTTTAAACATGAGTGGCATTAACAGTTGCACAAAAACAACAGGATTCCCACTTCTTCCTCCAGCTCGCACACCCTATATTGTTCCCAGATCTGCTCCGGGGAGTTGGGAGTACCCCCAGAACAGATTTACAGAGCTGCGGGCAGCGGGGGGGGGGGGGGAGAGGAGAATATTCTGCTGTACACGGATCAAGGCGCTGGTGGAATGTTTTGCTTAGCTCAGTGTTGAATACAGCTGTTCATCACTGCTTGTACAATATATGAGCCCACTTTTACAAGCCTGCATTTCTGTGCTGTTTGCAGAAAAAGGGGCCAATGAACTAGTAAAAGAACAATCTTCTACCAAACAGGCAGGTGCTGTGCAGGTAATAAAAATTTAGAGAGGTGAACATTTTATAGCTAAACAGAAGATCAACACAGACACACTGACTGATGCATGGTTGAAAAGTTTATTTTACATTCTATGATACAAGTTCTAGAATATAGTACTCAGCATTTGAATAAAAATAGCAGCTGTGAATTTGCCTAGTTCCTGTCACTTCCATCAACACTGCTTTTCACAGGGGCTATCCTGCAGGAGGGGGAAAGGATGAAAACAGAGATTAGTAAATGTTTTATTGGTGAGGCATTTCCACTTATATGTACTTTTATTTATTCATTTTGTTAGCCACCTAACACAGGGCAGTCTCCAATCAAGTTTTCTTTCTTTTTGTTAATAAAAAGGTGTCATGAACTATATATGCAATTTTTTTTATATAACATGACCTCACTGAGTGTGAGGAAGCAGACAATTATTTTTAAAATGGGGGTGGAAACTTACCTGAGGTGCCTCTCAGCTACAGAAGTTGAATCCATTCAGTTGGAGAGGGGCACAAATTATTTAACATTTTTAATCGACAAGGGTAAAAACAGCTTGAAGTGTGCAAATGTGTGCGAAATCTTGTGCACTCAAACAAATGAAGTTGTAGGTTCACAAGTTTAAGGAAAATTGCAGATGTTTATGGAAGGTAGGATTCTTTGGCGGGGGGGGGGGAAATGAGAAAGCTAATATAAAAACAACCTAAACTACCTCACAGGGTTGTTGCGAGGATATTAAATGTGGAAGATAATGAAGTGTGCTGGCCTGAGCTGCTTGGGAGAAGAGCAGAATATCTGGATTGCCGGTATGCTGCCTTGAGCGATAGAAGGAAGGTGGGATGTATATGTAAGGAAATAAATATGGCCATTTATTTTGGAGTAATCTTGTTGACTTTATTGGTGGTATACTCTTAACCAGGAGTTGAGATTGTAATTGCAAGTTCCCAAAGCAGGGCGGTGCTGCCCGTGGCCCTGTTAAGTTATTCTTTTACATTTGAAAATTTTATTTGCCCTCAGGAGTATTTTAATTGTCCCTGCAAGAGTTTCTAGGCTGCATTTTATTGGCTTGATACTGGGGATGGGTGCACTTTCTCCTGCTGCAGCAACAGCCATCTCTTCTGTGAGCCTGGACAGCTAGACTCCATCCCCCTAATGCTCCGCAGTTGTGTGAGAACCAAAAACAAACCCCTGTGTTGCAGTAAGAACCAACCACAACAATACAAACACAACACGTAGGCTAACAGTTAGTAGAGAATATATAATAGAATAATGATATTATTCAAATTGTAAGAATAAGCCAATCAAAGTTCATATGTACAATATAAGAGTGGTAGCGAGGACTGTCAAGTCGTGTGTTCAAAACAGATGTCTAAGGACAGTCTCACAATAGTCTTTCAAAAGTTTCAACAGAAGATGTCTCAAAAGTTTCAAAAGGACAGAGTCTCCGGAATGATACTACTGTTTCAGTAGTAGACATCTGTTTTGAACACACGGCTTGGCAGTCCTCGCTACCACTCTGTTATATTGTACATATGAACTTTGATTGGCTTATTCCTACAATCTGAATGATATCATTATTCTATTATATATTCTCTACTAACTATTAGCCTATGTGTTGTGTTTGTAGAGTTGTGCAAGAACCGGCAGCCCTACTTATACACTACGATAATTTTCCCTTGCAAAGTGCATGAACTGAACTAGCACCTCAGCAACTGCCCATCCCTGATCTCAAGGAGCAAAACCAGACTAAAAACACTGCAAGCCACATTGCAAGTCAGGAGTAGCAATCTTAAAGCAGAGTTGCAAATCTGAAGATCTAAAGAGCAACTAGTATGGTGTCTAACGGGCAGAGCGCTACCCTACCACAACCATACAATCCTAGGTTTCACGCAGCCGTGAAGTTTTACAAGATAGCCTTGGGGGATGTTTTCTTGCTTTCGCTCTCTCTCAGCCTAGTCTACTTCACAAGATTGCTCTGAGGATAAAATGGGGGGGAAACATACAGCGCCTTGAAGGAAAGGTGAAGAACAAACAGGATGCTGGTATTTTTCTTTCCTTAAAAAATTTTTTATGTGACTTTTCAAAAGCTGATGGATGCTGGGATTCACACACCAAGACGGACAATCCCAGGTGAATGTTTTGAAAGTCAGAGTTGTTTACTGATGCACGATGCAGCCCCCAGATATTTCATTCTTACTTCTTATTACGGCATGTCTGGAGTAGTACTTGGGCTGTGAAAGCAAGCTACTTGGATTCTGTGATGCCGGCTTGAAGCCTCCCACTGGGAAATTCCTTTTCAAGCTCCAAATTCCTTCCAGAGCCGCTGTTCAAAATATATGAAGAGCATTATTGTCAGTTGGGTTCCAAGCTGACCTTCTATATTTTTAGGTAGGAGGGAAAGCAATTAATACCCACGGACCGAAATATTTGTACAAACCACTGGCTGACGAAACATAATCGTGCAACTGTAGGTCTGGAAGGAACCTTGCATTATTGATTCGATTCCATTTATGGGTGGCTTGCCATAAAATATCTCCGAGCAGTTTCATAATAAAAACAAGTCCATATGTAAAAAACAAGTTAATATACCCAAACAATTTAAAAAAACCACAACTCTGTATGTAAAAATGCTTACAAAGCATCCCATATATATAATAAATTTCCAATCCAATACAGATACACACTGGGATAAAAAACACACCCTCCACTTGTTGTAAAAGGAAGATCTTCAGTAGGTCCTGAAAAGACAACAGAGCTGACGCCTGTCTAGTGTGCAGTGGGAGATAGCTCCAAAGGGTAGCTTCCACCTTCCTAAATGCTGTTCCTATATTGCAGGCATGTACAACAGGTTGATCGGGATCGACTGGTAGATCCTGGGCTAGATTATGGTCGATCGCAGGTCAACTGCTGCGCTCCTGGGGGGGACAGGACAGAGATGCTGCCCTGCCAGCTCTCAGGACAGCTGGCCTGTGTGTGTGTGTGTGTGTGTGTGTGTGTTTGCCTGTCCTCCTTCCTGCTGCATTCCTGGGGGGATGTGAAAGGGATGCTGCCCTGGCGGCCTCCAAGGGAGAAACTGGCTGCTCTGCCAGCTCCCAGGAAGAGCTGGGCTGTGTTTGTGTGTACGTGTGTGCGAAGATGAGGTGCGTGGGCTCTGCATGGGCTGCAGCTGTGGAGGCACCCAGTCAGGGAGCTGAGGGAAGGGTGGCACGTGAGAGAGACAATGACATCCCCCTCCCTTCCCCCCCTCCTGCCAGTTCCCATGGAAAGAAAACACCCTCTCCCTCCTAGCTCTGGATGGGTGCTGATACCCCGCCCATCTGGCTGGGTTTCCCCAGCCAAATATAATATGTTTAAGTTTAAGAATGACAATGGGAGAGTGTGGTAGATCACTGCCAGTTTTTGATACTGGATGGTAGATTGCAACCTTATGGATGTTGGACGTGCCTGCTAAATTGTATGGAATGGACCTCCATATAGATGGAATCTGCAGGAGACCCTCTGCAGCAGAGCAGAGTGATCAATTTGGGTATATTGCATATTATTGCAAGGCCTGTGATAGATGCAAATATTAAGCCACTCATCATGCATTTTTGCAGTGGTATGACATGGTGGATAACTCTGAGGACTTAACAACTATAGAGCTTACACTAGTGGCTTTCAAACTGGCTTCCCAGGAACCTTGGGGTTCCTTTACAGCCTTCAAGGGTTCCTAAATGAATTTGGTAATGGCTGTGCAGCTTTTCAGAAAGACAGCTTGCTCAATCTGCTGATGTTCTCCTGTAATGGGGAGCAGCAGGAATTGTGTTGTAAGGTTCATGCTGGGTGAATTGTGAGGCCAGTGTCCCACATATACCGAACTTGCCACAGGATCCTCTGCAGTGTTCAAAGTTCCACCACAAGCCATACGGATTCCCAGCTACGGAAAACATTCCTTCAAGGCAGCATCTTTGAAAACCACCGGCTAAGGCAAATTCATGAAGTAGCAAAATACACATAGATGTCAATCAAAGTGGATGAGGGATGTCTTAACAGAGAATCAGTATGGAATAGTCAATTGCGTATTGGCCTTAGGCTTCGTTTCAACCCCTTAATCAGCCATAAAGTTTACTAGGTGGTCAAGTCCCACCCCACCCATCTTTCTCTCAGTTTAATCTACCTTGCAGGGTTATTGTGAGAATAAAAAGAATAAACTTGTGCGGTGCTTTCCCCCCCTAAAAAAACGTTTAGGGGTACTCTCATTTTGACTCAAGAAAATCACCATTTTATAGTTCATATCGGGGAAAATAAATACAGTAAATGGACAAAAGTACAAAGATTCACAAAATGTTTAGTGGTATGCGTGTCCCTGTGAACCCCCAGAAAAAAGCACTACTGAACTTGTGTATTTTGATTTGAGTTTCTTGATAAAAAGGCGGAATACAAATGATGACATGCCAAGGTGACTGTATTTATAGGGTCTGGCCCTCTTCTTCTATAAGTTGTCCAAAGCCAGCTTGCAACTACCACCTGCTGTTTTGGATTTCTCTGTTGAGGCTTCCCTAAACTTTAAATGAGCTGTTGTGGAGAATGTGGTTAAAGAACTGCCATTCTGAAAGATAAATGAAATACTTAATATGAAAAGGGGGGGGGGAGAAGCCCACTCTGTGATTCTTACTTGGTTGGGTTACTAAATGAGGTCAATGGGGCAAGCCAATGTACTGGCTTTTGCTAGAGTTTGCTCTTGTATTGAGCCTCTGAATTTATTGTATGTTGTAACCTACCCTGGGACCTTAAGGTGAAAGGCAGGTAAGATATATTGGGAGCTCTCCAATGAAGTGCTTCCGCTAGCACCACGACTTCTGATGTGCAACAGAAATTATTTCCTCTACCCGTGCATCCTCTAAATCTGCTCTGGGTCCCCCCCCCCCAACCCTCTGAAAAAGGATTGGTGGAGGACACAGAGTAGCATGAGGACAGGGAAAGGAACTTCCATTGTCCAAGCAGAAATCTTTGTGCTGGTGGATATCACACTTATATATAATATGACATGCACCATTCTGAATGCCTGGAAAAATTGTAAGATACAAATATGATAAATAAATAGAACTTTGTTTTACCCGTAACATCTGACTTTATATATTTCCTCAAGTTAAGCAGTATTTACAGCAGATTTTCACAACTTATTATCCACTAAACATTTCAGATTTTTCTTCCCTTAATCATTTTATTTTTATTTTATACCTTTGCCGGCCACAGAGCTTACCTTCTGAAGGGTGTTTAATTCTGCATTCATCCCTCCGAAAATAAAGCTCTTCTTCCAGCACTTCCTTAACTCTCCTAGGTGGTTCGACATATACAAACTTCTTCCCTGTTTTGTTAAAGACAATTTACAGGGATAAGGAATCCCATATGATACGCACCTTATTTCACTTAACTGTGTATCAGAATTAACTAATTTGACATAATAAAATTTAAAATCATTCTCATTTGTAATATAAAGTTCAAAAATACAAACAAAATGTTTAAAAAATGTGATATTAAAAATATCAGTCATGTTTTATTTAAGTCACTGATGCACCCATAGCTTAAATATTCTTTTCTGGTACTCTGTTCTCAGGTGCAAGATATAGCAGATATGGAAATAATACTGAGAAGTGCAATAATCTTCCATGCAATCACTAACTATTTTATATTTTCCCATGACACACCAGTGAAGACAGTAACTCAGACCACTGGTTCATCTAGATCAGTATTCTACATTGCCTCAATATGGTTTCAGACAGGTTTTTCCCAGTCCTACCTGGGGATATTGTGGGTTGAAAATGGAGCACTATGTGCACAAATCATGAGCTCTGTCACTGAGCTATGGCCCTCTCCCAATGTGTGCATCACCACACATTAATTCCATAATTAAAGACTCATAAGAATCCAAAGCCGTTACATTGACTGACTGATGAGGTTTCCCATTGTATGATTTACAACAAGCAGAAGTGATGCTTCTCTGAACTCTGGGGCATAGTAACAAATGTTGCAATCCTAACCCCACTTACTTGGGAGTAAGCCCAAATGAGTTCAGTGGGACTTACTTCTGAGTAGGCTGGTTAAGACTGTGCTGGAAGCATCATGCTTCCAATTTTAATTGAAGGTTGTTGTTCTTCGGTAACAGACAGAAGAGTCACTTATAAGGATTCATAACCATATAGGAATCAGTGTATTCCTATGTATGTACTGTACTGTATAATATAGCGGATTGTTTGGGAAAGGGACCTTATCTTCACTTTTTGGGCACTAGAGGGCACTGTATAAAATTATATTATACAGTATATGCAACAGGTTTTTGAAACAAACTAAATGCTTTTTAACTGCATACACTATTCATCTGAACTGCTACATAGAGCGATAATCAGGTAATATGCGTATACTGCCATGCTGTGGGAGTGGCGGAAAGGTGCAGAATATGAAAATGGTCCCAGAATTCAGAGAACAGTGGCTCTTAATTTGTTTTCCCAAAGCTTGGTGACCTTTTAAGGTTGTAAAGTTATGCTTCAGAAGGAAACAATTCCTGCTGAAATCTCAGGAGCCAAAGGGGTGCTTGAATAGTCTGTCCAATGTTTGGAGGAATGGCGTAGCGGGGGAGGGGGGAGCTGCCCCCCCATCAAGTAAAATAATAGAAATACTTAACAAATCACATTGGTTCTGCCTCCCCGCCCCCCAAATCCTGGCTACTCCCATGTTTGGAGGTGAAGTTTCAATTCCACTGCAACTTGTTGCCCCTCCCCAAGATTAGTGTAATCAGTTAATCTGGGAGGGGGCAGGTAAGAGAGTTTCCCCACCCCTGCACTAGAGGAACTCACCATAAGTCTCCTTGTAATAGGATGTCCAAGTGTGGCATGAAACTGCTTAAATGTAGTTAAACTTTGCAAATGCTAACCTATAGTTTTGTGAGCCATTTGGGCCCAATAGCTCACTGGCAGCCGCGCTTTCAGGTGTAAAATTAACCCATCTCACTGCCCCACATATCGTATAGGCACCCAGCCAGTTGCTGCTTCCAGTTCAGTGACATTTCACTGTATTCTATATATGGTGTACCCAAACTAAGGAACCAAAAGCAAATCATGACTATCAGGCATGTGTATATATCTATAAAATGGAATACACATGCATGAAGCCCTCAAAGGTGATTATGTGTAGATGATTTTCTGTAAATGAAGTGTTTGTTAAGTTGTCCTTTGGTGAGTTAAAACGCCTGCGTATGAATGCTTCCATAGCTGATGGATTGAAAGCTTGCTGGGTTAGGCAACTCTCCCAGTAGAAATGGCGGTCAGCGATGCTGCAACAGATCTCAAAGTGGTCTGTGTTCATCACAGTGAGAAAATTTCCCCATGGGATAAACCAAACCTCCAGCATGTTTGGAAAAACTGCATTGAAGGAGATGGGGTGTATAGCATTGGGATGGGATGTCTCCAATGGAATTGACTATAATTGGGAATTGAATGTTGATTCTTGGTGGTGAGCAGAGGAAAGGGGAGGAAACCAGCCCTTCTAGAATGGAACTGAAAAGAGTTCCTCATAGTGATGTATTTGTCAAGTGGAATAAACCCTTGTGGGGTGTGCAATGCCCCCATGGAAGGGAGACTGATACGTGCACAAGGAAGGCGAAAAAACACAGTAAGTGAAAACCTTCCTCTTAAACCGGGCATTTGGTCGATTAACTTCCTATGGCTTTTAAAATGCGTTTATGGGAAGGGGGGCGTTGTTGGTTTGCTTTTGCTTTATTATTATTATCATTTATTCTTGATTTCATTTCTTACCGTACCGCTTTGTATTTTTAAGAAAAATCTCAAAGTGGTTTACAGCACATTAAAAGGTCAATAGAACAACCCGGAATGAAACACTACTGAAGAAAGTCAAACATAAAAGTACACAGCCAAAGCAACCTAATTAACGGGAAAACGAAAATAGCATCTTAAAAGATTTCAAAATAAAACATTACAAAGGAGGTCGACTGCAGAATTTTATTATGCCTTTTGTACTCTCGTTTTTGTATTTCTCTGCTGTGAACCGCCCTGGGATCTTCAGATGGAAGACGGTATACAAATGAAATTAATAATAATAATACTGGAACAGACAGGATTCTCTGCGCTGGGGGAAGAGGGTGGGCGGTCCCTTTGGGAGGCAAGGGAGGTGGGTTCTCTATGGGGAAATGAACAATGGCATCACATCATGGGCAAGGGGCATTGGAGCGGAGGGGGTCCAATGGTGCCAGGCAGTCCCTAATGCAAAAGGGTGGGGTGCCCTTTCCCTCTAATGGGGGTGGGTGGAGGGGAGAGGGCAGCACCCCAACATTTTGCACAAGAGAGGGGTAGCAGCAGCAGCAGCAGCGACAGCAATGCCCCCACCTACCCACTCCCCTTGGCTCGAGAGAGGTTGCCACGCTTTCCAGCCCTGGAGGGGACTACGCGGTTGTGTGTGTCCCCCCTCGGCGACCCCTCCCCACTCACAGGGCTGCCCCGCTTCATTGTACTCCGCGTAGCTCCGGCTGCTCCCCGGCTCCCCGGGACTCGGCTCCAGTTGCTCCCCGGCCGCCGCTCTCATGCCTCGCCGCCCGCCGCCGCCTCTTGCACCAGCCGCGCCCAGGCAAGTGGGAGACGCGCGGGCCCGTTGCCATAGGAGCCCGAGGCGGAGAAAGGAGGAGGAGGAAGAAGGGGGAGCCCGGAGCTCGCGACTCGCCTCCCCCGGGGAAGCTGAAGAAGGAGCCTGGGAGTTAAGTTTCCCGCTCCCCGGGGCCGGGGGAAAGCGCAGGAAGAGAGGCGGCCTAGAGTGAGACTAGGCCCGGGCCTCTTGGGCGTTGCCATGGCGACGGATGCTGCGCCAAGAAGCCCGGCGGGGATGGATGGTGGGTGAAGCGAGCAGAGGCGTCACAGTGCAAAAGCGCTGCTGTCGAAGGCTGTTGAGGCACCTGCAACTACTACTTCTTCTTCTTCGGCGATCACTCGTAGCCCAGTAAGATTGCCTTCCACAAACACGGTTTTCACAGTGAGTCCATAAGTTACTGTGGAGGCCAATTCTGGATCCACACGTCTTTCCACAGTGGGGACATAGGTTTCCCGGGAGAGTTGATTATGGTGAGGATTTGCCAAGCGTGCCTTCCTCTTAGCACGTTTCTCCCTTGCGTTCTGAGTTCGAGTGTCTTCAAAGCCCATGACACCTTTGGTAAAGGCTGTTCTCCAGTTGGAGCGCTCGCAGGCAAGTGTTTCCCAGTTGTCGGTGTTTATACTACATTTTTAAAAATTTGCTTTGAGAGAGTCTTTAAGCCTCTTTTGTTGACCACCAGCATTACGCTTTCCATTTTTAAGTTCGGAATAGAGTAGTTGCTTTGGAAGACGATAATCAGGCATCGGCACAACATGACCAGTCCAACGAAGTTGATGTTGAAGAATCATTGCTTCGACACTGGTGATCTGTGCTTCTTCCAGTACACTGGTATTAGTTCGCCTGCCTTCCCAAGTGGTGTGTACATTTTTTCAGAAACACCGTTGAGGGAATCTTTCGAGGAGTTGGAGATGGCTTTTATAAGTGGTCCATGTTTCACAGGCATACAGTAAGGTTGGTAGTACAATAGCTTTGTAAACAAGCATTTTGGTTTCCCTGTGAATGTCTCAGACACTCTGCACTTCAATTGGGAGAAAGCCGCACTTGCAGAGCTCAGAGCTCAGCTCTGCAACTTCTTGTACCAGTGTGCTTGCCTACATTCCCCACCCCCCGCCTTTCCCACTCAGCCACCCACATCCCAATCAGGGCTCCTGTGACCTGCCTTTCAGGCAGACATTCAACCGGAGCTCCCCCCCCCCCTGGAAATGGCCCCGCTGAAATCCATGCCTAGAACTAAATCGGATGTGGAGAACCTTTGGTCTATATGTTGCTAGACTCCCATCAGCCCCAAAGAGCACAGCCAGTGGCCAGGGAGTACATCTGGAGGACCAAAGGTTCCCCCTCGTCTGGCCTGAATACAACATGTTAGGCATGCTTTAAGCCCGTGGATTTGAACCGGCGCAAGAAGGACTATTGCGTTCGGGTCTTAGGCAAAGTGGAGCAGGTTATCTCCCAACTGTTGACTTCAAGGGGGGGGGCCCTTAAATGAAACACACAATTAAGAATATTGTAGCTCATGTAAACCCAACAAAACATGTCTTTCCCGTATCGCTCTCTACAGCTGCAACACGCGCTGTAACCTTCCAATACTTTGACTTCAGACCCCAAAGGCTCACTCCTCCATTGACTCCTGAGGCAGATGGATGCCAACCATTCCACCTTTCCTCCAAGGTCAAGAATGGTCAAACATGGTTCTCTCCCCCTGCTCCATTTTTAACACCATAATCATGGGAGGCAAGTTAGGCTGAGACGGTGACAAGCCCAAGTTCACCCACTGAACTTCATGGCTGAGGGGGGACTTTAACCCAGCTCCAGTACTCTAACCACTATGCCACACTTACTTACTTCCAAGCAAACCTGCATTGGGTAGGATTGTAAAATCATTTTTTAATAGAGGTAGGTAAACACACTGCATAGGAATGTAAGCTATGGCTTTCTAGCTGAATGAACATTTTGAGGTTAAGGCTTCAGAAATGCTACTATGGGGAATGCCAGCTACCAGATTCTCCATGTCTTTGTTCATGCTGTGTGCTTTCCGTGTGCTGGACTAGGCCTGGGAAAAGCATAGTTAAAATATGTATGGTCCCTGTGTGCTGCTACTTGCTTCTGAAGTGACATCACATAGAAGACATCCAACTATAATGCAAAATACATCTGATAAACTAAAATGGTATGTGGATTTTCTCTAAGCATACTTACAATCTTGGATATCTTGAGAATCACATAGGATAAGGTACAAACGACGCACTTTCCCACCAAACACACCGTGGTTTGGCAAATAGGCTTAGTTCCAGCAAAAACACAGCTTTCCAGATTTTGAAATTCGGCAGCTGGCCACACGGTATGAGAAGTCACAGTCCCACTGAGCATGAGAAAGGACCACAGCTCAGTTCCAATAACATGCTCTGAATGCAAAAGCTCCAGGCTCAATTTCTGGAATCTCTATTTAAAAGCATATTACTAATCAGCTGAGACAATGCTGAGCTAGACAGACTAGCAGTTCAATTCAGTAAAAAGCAGCTTCATATGATCATGTGCTGCTAATCACACAACACTCTGTATTGTGTTCCACCACAACCACAGGCAGTAGTGAGCCCCACACACTCTCTCAAAGAAATGCCAACATATGCATGCAATTAAATTTTAAAAAGGACAGTGTCAGTTTCCCTGAAAGTGCTCTAGCTTCTACACAATCCCTCAGTTACATACATACAATTACTCATTTCCCCTTAATACAGACCTTTAGATATTTAGCTGCACTGTATTTCTGAAAGCTGTTAGTATCCAGAGTGCTGTACTGCTCTTAATCAACCCACAAATCATTGCAATGAACATTGCAGCTGAAGACCTGATCACGTTTCACTGTGTTAAATATTTTATTTTTAAATAAGACTCACAGCAGAATTACAGTATACTGTATTTCAAGTGTTACCTGTATTAAGTTCAGTTACATTCCATTTCACTTTTCATGCGGTTTTCAAACATTAACAAGTACCTCACAAAAAATAAAAAAATCTTTAAAGTGAACTTTGATATCATCTGTATTTGTCGTTTCATACAATAATAAATACTCCAGTTCTCTCTGTTACAACATACTAGTGCTTTACAGCTTTCAGTTACAGTAGATCTTCGCAATTTTGCACTACTTAAAGACGTACTACAAAATGCCTTTTTCTACACTACACCTTTAAAATGGTTTCAGACCTGCTTATTAGTCACAGCTCCCAACCACAGAATGGCAATTGCAGTTTGAGATAAAACTGGCAATTATTTTCCAGTGAAGCCTCAGCACTGACAAAACTACAAGCCACGGTGTTCTTGTGGGAGAAATTGTCACATTTAAACTGGTTCCCAAGCAGTCTAAATTTGTAGTGCAACCTTAAGATGGTGATCTGCTAGCCACTTTAATTAGCATACTACTAACTTAAAATGGCTTGGATGTCAAATCTTGAAACATTTATTTAGAGGTGCCGTTAGAACAGCAGAATGTGTAGCCTAATGCTAAGCACCGGTAATCAGTTCAGAAAACTAAACCTGCCTATTACAATTACAATGAGGCTTACTTTCTAGTAAGTTAGGGAAATTATTTTACTGATTTTAGCAGGAACTATGTGATTATATGGAGCAAAGTCTGCTGATAAATGAACAGGATAACATACTAGTAATTTTCTGGTCAATTCAAGTAGTTTATAGACCACATTGGAGTGCTGCACACAGTGTCACATTTAGTCAAGAAGTTCAAGTTTGTAAGTAGTAATCAGAACTGGGTCTTTGGACTACAAAATTAAGGACTGTTGGCTTCAATACGCAAGCCACTTTGCTCCAGAGTTCCCTCGCTGATCTACCACTGATGATTGTTTGTCTATTTCAGAGTTAAGTGGATTTTAGCTTACAAGTTTTGGATTGTAGCCTTTAGGCCACTTATTCAAGAACAGCCTCAGTGAATCGAGTTATGAGGTAACATCACATTACCACCCAATGTCAGTGGGTCTGACTTTTAATTTAGGGCTAATTCACTCATTCAAAAGGAGCAAACACAGTGTTTACATGTATGTCAATTCATACATTACCCATTGACACTGTACATGAAACTGAGAACCTATTTGTACCAATTTCTCTCTGGTACAAGCCAATAAGATTTATAGGGGGGGGGGATTACATGTAGCTGTAGAGAGACAACACCTACTGTTTACATGAATTTTTTCAAACTTGTATTTTAAAAGTATTATGTGAACCAGTCCCAAGTATCTTTGGAATGGATAAAACCTGTGTGTGTGACAACAGGCTACTTCTCGTTCATGAATGACATCCAGCTCATCCCTGTCCATTATATGAAAATGTAACAAAGGAAGAAAGTACATGAATTACCAAGTTCTAAAATCCATAGTGCCACTTCCAGGTAATGTTTTCTGCTCCCAGGTTTGCTTTTGAAAAAATCTATCGCTGTTAAGCATCTATGGAGGGCAACAGTAAGCAAAGAATCCACGTAACTTTCAACAATTGAATCCATCAGTAGGATTGAATGAGGATTCAAATCTTGCTCACACAGCCATCAAATAAATGTCATCCCAGCATATTATTTCCATTCATTCATGTTATCCCTTTAAAAAGCAAAATCTGAGCACATAAAACGTTATGGTTTGAAGGTAGGCAGACAAGGTATATTATATATTGCACCAGACACTGAAATCTGACCATCACATTGCACTTTTTGATTTCAGGGTAGCTCAGTTTTTAATAGCTGAGAAAATATTTTCCTCTGTTGATGGGCAGCTGCTAACCTCATTACAACTGCCTGGAGGCTGTACGGGTTTCTTTCTGCTCAAGCACAGCCTCTGTAAGTCAGCAGAGAGGTCTCAGTAATTCTCAATGGTTTTAAAAGGAAAAAACAAAACACTCCAAATGTTTCAAACAATGCTGGTTCCCAACTCCTGTGTATTCCCATGCTTTGGGATACGAGATTGACGGATGGGAGTACTTCTGCCACGTTAAGTAGTCAATGTGGGAAACAGCCCCAAGATATTTAGGATTCCTCCAGAGCTTTTCAAGTAAAAGTGGAAATGTTTCACAAGTTTAAGGGTAGAGTGGTTTATAGTATAAAAATAACGACATCGTAACAAAACGAGACCTCATTTCAGCATCTCACAGAGTAAAGCTACACCAAAGAGGTGGGGTTGAAAGCACCGACTTTTGAGTGCAATTACAAAGAGAACTTCTTACAAAGGCGCTGGCAGTGTGTGTGTTTTGACATTCAAACGTATGCAACTTCTAAGAATCGGACGCAGAATTTGTGCAACTTTCGACAATCTCAAACAGGTAGTGATATATATCAGTCCTCCTGGCAATATCATACGCCGTCTCGTCCAAGTTGTTCTTGAGATTTGGCTTTAGGTAGCGATTCATGAGCAAGAGTTCGAGGGTTTCCTTGCTCTCCCGGTTCCCTGCTGCAAGGTGAAGTGGAGTCAGCAAGCCATTGGTCTGAGCATTGATATCTGCCCCATGCTGGAGCAAGAACGATGCTATCTTGGTGTTGTTCCACTTGCAGGCACTGTGCAGGGGAGTCCAGCTATCCACTGTCAAGGCATGGACATCCGCGCCGTGGGCAATCACTTCCCGTACAACTTCCAAGTGCCCGTTATAGGCAGCCCGGTGGAGAGGGGTATAGAAATCTTCATCCTGGACATTTACTGGAGCAAGGTTTTGAGACAGGAGCCTTTGCACCGTGCTGAGCTGCGGGGGTGAAGAGACAAATAAGTTTCAGCAAACCTGCAAGCTAGATGCATTGCTTTTACAGCAAGAGTAGTACTGAAGACATTGAACCAATACTTTGCTCAGCTATAAAAGCTCACGGAACTTCAGTCAAATTTATTCTATCTCAGCCTAATGATGCGACCTGTCCTGGACCATGTGTGATCACCTCCTGAGACCCTTTTTCGTGTGCCTCCCCCATGAGAGGGCCGCAGCAAGGCAACACAGAAAAGGCCTTTTCTGCAGTGGCTCCCCAGTTTGTGGGATGTTCTCCCCCACAAGACTCACCTGGCTCCTTTGTTACATATCTTTAGGCGCCAGAATGAAACGTTTTCTCTTCAACCAGGCGTTTGGCTCGCTAACATTCTATGGCTTTTAAAATGTGTTCCTTGGGAGGGATGTTATTGATTTGTTTGCTTCAGTTTTTATTATGCATTTCGTGTTTTCGTTTTGTATTATTATGTTGTGAATTGCCCTGTCATCTTCGGATGAAGGGTGGTATACAAAATTATTAAATAAACAGTAATAATGTTTATAATAATAATTAACTGTTAATAATAGTTGACTTAGATATGATGTTTTTGCCCCATCTCTCCTGGAAGTGCTTTGGAGTGATATACAGTGGTACCTCGGGTTACAGACACTTCGGGTTACATATGCTTCAGGTTACAGACTCCACTAACCCAGAAATAGTACCTTGGGTTAAGAACTTTGCTTCAGGATGAGAACAGAAATTGCGCAGCAGCAGCGGGGGGCCCCATTAGCTAAAGTGGTGCTTCAGGTTAAGAACAGTTTCAGGTTAAGAACGGACCTCCAGAACGAATTAAGTTCTTAACCTGAGGTACCACTGTACATGGGTCTTCCCTTCCTGTTTTTCCCCCCTTACAACTGAATATACTGAGAGAAAGAGTAATTGGCCCGAGATCACTGAACAAGGTTTATGGCAGAGTGGGGATTTGAACCTGGGTCTCTCTGTTCCTAGCCTGACACTCTATCCACCACATTCCACTGGATCTCTATTGTGCAAGAGCCGTTGCAGGGACAGAATGAAGTAACACTGAAACCTCTTAAGAGAATTGCTTTGATTATAGCACACAATAAACAAGGATGTTTATTGGCCTTGGCTTCTGTGCAAAACCACTTAAGAAGCATGGAGATGAAACATCAAATCCCACTTCGCAACTACAGTTTTTCTGCATAGCAGGAAGCGTGTCACAGTGCCCCAAATCTGACAATAATCCAGGGCCTCACTAAACTTTATTTATGAAGCTAGGAATGGGCACCAGGTCTGAGCAACCCTCAGTTCCCTCACTGCACCCTGGTTTTGATTAAATGTTCCTGGCTGGTATTCAGCCAACCCTAAGTACTGTGACTTAGGGTTAACAAATCAGGAAAATAGCTTAAAAGGATCCAGTTCTTGGATAATATTTAAGTTAGCATCCACTGTGGTGCTCATCTTTTAGTTGGGTGGGGGCCGAGGCAGGGAGGTAGGCCTATTGTACTCTTAGATGAGCTTTTTAGGAATTTTGTAATGTATATTGTTTGCTAGATCTTTGCCTTCTAGTTTACTTTATCTCTTGGTATTGTATCCAATTAAAGCATTTTGAGACTTTTTTTTGTACAAAGTGACTAACAAATGTAACGAATCATTCATTTGTGATAATAATAAATCCTCAACAACTTTGTGCCGAAGCCAGAACATGCTGAGAGGAGGGAGAACGGAAAGGAAGAGCGCTCAGCTTTGGCACTCATTATCAGCTTCATAAATCATGAAGCCTGGAATGATTGTCCACATCAGGTTGAAGAAATTTAGGTTTCTGGCACGACACACACAGCCCCAGTATGAATTTCCCAAATGTGATTAAGAAATGGCTTACTCTATTTTTTTCTGCTGCCCAAAGCAGAAGCTTATCTGGGTTGTTTTCCAGCTTCTTCTCTTGAGCCTGGTACCATTCCTCGGTTTTTTCTTCTTGGTCTTCATCGTCAGAATCTCCAGACCAAAGACTCTGTGTTCCTGTGGGGATCAGGTGCCGGTGGGTCTCCAACAATTCAAGCTGGTTAAAGCTCTCAGGAAAGTCTCTATAATCTTTTGCATCCTCCTCTATGTTCTTCTCTGAGGACTTCCCACTTTCATTCATTCTGCAGACTTGAGTTCTCAAGCCCCAATTTACACGTGAAATAGTTCCTCCTCCTCCCTCCTCTTCTAGCTCATTTCATTTCCTGATTGTTCATCAGCAGAATTTACAAGCACATAGAAACAGCTAGCAAAGGCTAGTGGCATAGATCGCATCAACATCATGGCAACCTTTAGAGAAAGAAAAATTAAGAAATTATTAATACAGTGACCAGTACACACAAAAAAGATATAAGTTCTTAGCATTTAACACTAAAAAAAAAGAATTGTGGCAGTGCAGGAGCAAAAAAAGAAATCCTTCTCTCAAATCCTGACTTATATCAGACCTTATGCCTCCTATGAAAGGTCAGCTAAAGTGAATAGGTATTGAATAAGAAGGCATTTTATGGCATCACACAAAGCTTAGTCATTTTGTTAGATATCTTCGAGAGCATTGTGTGGCAAGACTGTGGCAATTACTGTATTTTTCGCTCCATAAGACGCACCAGACCACAAGACTGGTTTTTGGAGGAGGAAAACAAGAAAAAAAATAGTCCCGAATCTCAGAAGCCAGAACAGCAAGAGGGATCGCTGCGCAGTGAAAGCAGCAATCCCTCTTGGTGTTCTGGCTTCTGTGATAGCTGCGCAGCCTGCATTCGCTCCAGGAGATGCACACACATTTCCCCTTACTTTTCAGGAGGGAAAAAGTGAGTCGTATATAGAGCAACAAATACGGTATGTCCAAACTTAGGCCAGTAAGATTTCCTCCCTGTCCTTCCCAATCTTATTATTACTATTACTGATTAATTTACACGCCACTATCTATTTTTAAGTAAACCAAACAAGGAGGCTTACAAACATCAAGACAGCTATATAATAAAATCAAGGGAAAAACTATGGTTCAAAATCACAACAAAATACAAACAAACTTGAAAGTGCTGCAAAATACATAGTCAAAACATTCCAAAAGCAGTAAGAGTCTTGTGGCAGTGTAAAGAGTAACCAATTTATTAGGGAACAAGTCTTAGTGAAATACAGTGCACTTCATCAGATGCACTAGGCATTATCCTGCATTATCCACAACAAGTGCGCTGTGAACAGCCAGTGTGATTAACAGTCTACTTGTTTTGCTCCCCTCCAATATCACTGTAGACAAACTCATAATACCATAATGCATTTGATGAAATGGGACTGCGGCTCATGAAAACCTATGGCGGCCTTCCCCAACCTGCTGCCCTTCTTTTTTTGTACTAATACTCCCATAATGCAATTAGCCATACAAGCTAATTGGAAGGGCGGGGGAATCTGACAGGCACCGATTGGGGGAAGGCTATCTCACATAATAGATCTGTCAGTGTTTACGATGCCACAAAGCTATTTATTATAATAAAATCAGACTCCTACAGAAGATTGCTTGAATAGAATAGTCACTGCCACCCGTCTAAGAAGCAGATCGTGAGGGGATCAGTTAAAATTCTCTTGGGATGCTGTTCCAAATCCTGGGCACCGCAGCCGACAAGGTCACCCATGTGCCTTCCCTCAGAGGCAGGACCTGAAGGAAGGCCTCTCAAGTAGAGCAAATATACAATCTCAACTTCAAGAATGTCCCAAAAAAAAATATTCCATTCCATTGGATCCCTTCCAGTTGGGATTCACTGAAACTGCCTTGGTCGCACTGTTTCATCATCTCCGGCAGGATAGGTTTAGAAGTACTGTTTTGGGGGAACAGGAAGCGGGCAGGTGTGGATGACTCCCTGGTCCTGAATGGGGTAACTGTGCCCCTGAAGGACCAGGTGTGCAGCCTGGGAGTCATTTTGGACTCACAGCTGTCCATGGAGGTGCAGGTCAATTCTGTGTCCTGGGCAGCTGTTTACCAGCTCCATTTGGTACGCAGGCTGAGACCCTACCTGCCTGTGGACTGTCTCACCAGAATCGTGCATGCTCTAGTTATCTCCCGCTTGGACTACTGCAATGCGCTCTACATGGGGCTAACTTTGAAGGTGACCCAAAAACAACAACTAATCCAGAATGCGGCAGCTAAACTGGTGACTGGGAGTGGCCGCTAAGACCATATAACACCAGGCTTGAAAAACCTACATTGGCTCCCAGTATGTTTACAGGCACAATTCAAAGTGTTGGTGCTGACCTTTAAAGCCCTAAACGGCCTCGGTCCAGTATATCTGAAGGAGCGTCTCCACCCCCATTGTTCTGCCCAGACACTGAGGTCCAGCGCCAAGGGCCTTCTGGTGGTTCTCTCGCTGCGAGAAGCCAAGTCACAGGGAACCAGGCAGAGGGCCTTCTTGGTAGCGGCACCCGCCCTGTGGAACGCCCTCCCACCAGATGTCAAAGAGAACAACAACTACCAGACTTCTGAAGACATCTGAAGGCAGCCCTGTTTAGGGAAACTTTTAATGTTTGATGAACTATTGTATTTTGATATTTTGCTGGAAGCTGCCCAGAGTGGCTGGGGAAACCCAGCCAGATGGGTGGGCTAGAAATAATAAATTATTATTATTATTATTATTATTATTATTACAAAAACCAATGCTGCAATGAAGAGATATAACAAAAGCATACAATACGATGAACTGGTAAGTGGAAATTATTGACCACATATTGGATTAGCACCAAATCATTGTTTTCAGTAGCTGGTCAGCAAACCAAGAACAGCAGAGAAGGAGTGGTACGGGAGCATGCAGACAGGCGGGCAGGCTCCTACTCACTCAAGAGTTACAGTGGAGAGGTGTGATTTTTGCACACACACACACTGTGCCTGCGCTCATGGCAACTTCCCATGTGGGATAAACTACTATCAGACTCAGTGGGAATCTCACTGAATGGGGTTTGCAGCCTTATGTGTGAGTAGCTCCTACTGAACTCAGCGGGTCTTACATCCAAGTAAGCATGCATAGGATCAGGCAAGAGAGGTCAGATGCAAAAGGACAGGGCCCCCTCACCTTTGGCAATTGTGTAGAAGAGGAATTTCAGCAGGTACAGCTTGTCACTCAAACTTCAAGCACTAAAATACCCTCTTCGGGTGGCGCTATGGGTTAAACCACCGAGCCTAGGACTTGCCGATCAGAAGGTCGGCGGTTCGAATCCCCGCAATGGGGTGAGCTCCCGTTTCTTGGTCCCAGCTCCTGACAACCTAGCAGCTCGAAAGCACGTCAAAGTGCAAGTAGATAAATAGGTACCGCTCCGGCGGGAAGGTAAACGGTGTTTCCGTGCGCTGCTCTGGTTTGCCAGAAGCGGCTTAGTCATGCTGGCCACATGACCCGGAAGCTGTACGCCGGCTCCCTCGGCCAATAAAGCGAGATGAGCACCACAACCCCAGAGTCGGTCACAACTGGACCTAACGGTCAGGGGTCCCTTTACGTTTACACACTGGAAGATGAATGGTCCTCTTTTGCAACTAGCTGCCCTAGCTCAGGCCACAAGAAGCCTGTACCTGCTTTGTAAACAAAAACTGTATTAAGCCTCAACAGGGCCGGCTTACCCATAGGCACTAGGGGTGTGTGGCACCCAGGCGCTGGGCTCTCAGGGGCGCCAGGCCAAGAGTCTGGGGATTGAAGAGCCAGGCCAGCCAACAGCCGTTGCTGGGCAGAGCAGAGCCTGTCAGAACACCACAGGCTTTTCTGCTGCTGGCATTGAGGCAGCCAGCTGGCTCCACCCTCCTGCGCACCTGGGATTGGTGGGCTGTCGAGAGGCCCACCCAGCGCATGCATGCTGCTCACACGAGGCGTGCAGCTTCCCTCCCAAGCCTCTGTGGGGATTGCTCTCCTCCCACAGCAGCATGGGAGAGAGTTGTGCGCCCAAGCCGCTGCGGGGGTTGTTCTCTTCCCTCCACCCGCAGTGGCATGGGAGAGATTTGTGTGCACCCCAAAAGCTCAACAACTTTGGCCTGCCCTCCCCCCAAACTGGGGGCGCTGGGCAGTTTTTTGCACCACAGCGCCACATATGCTAAAGATGGCCCTGAAACATGCAAAACAATCGTCTAAGAATTGCTCAAGGCTCTACCAGAAAGAAAGCTCTTTGGGTTGCAACCTTCACATTACAGTGGTACCTCAGGTTACATATGCTTACCCAGAAATAAGACCTCAGGTTAAGAACTTTGCTTTAGGATGAGAACAGAAATCGTGCTCCAGCGGCGCGGCAGCAGGGGGAGGCTCCATTAGCTAAAGTGGGGCTTCCGGTTAAGAACAGTTTCAGGTTAAGAACGGACCTCCGGAACAAATTAAGTTCTTAACCCGAGGTACCACTGTACTTATGCCAGAGCTAAAAACTACACTGTGCTCTTTTCGGTGCCTGCTAAATACACTGTTTACACACGCCGTCCCAGGTGCTCAGAAATGCTGATGTGAGTTTTGATCCGATTTAGCGTTCTAACTTTCTGCATGTTATAATGTACGGTAAGTGTTCTCCTGATTTTATGCTTTCCGTAAACCACTATGAGGTTTGTTACTTTGCTGGCAAAATCAAGCGGTGTATAAATTTTAGGAGATAAAATTAAAAATACCCAGCTGCATCCTGGTTTCCAAGGAAACTGACATTTGCGCTCCTCCGCTTGCAAAATCCCACTACTCGCTGCAGCAACTTACCTTGAGCAAGAAGTCCCATTGAACTCAGCGTTGCTTAGCAGACACATGCCGTGATTCTTTTTTTTTTTTTTTCAACAAGCTGCAGCGCTCCAGAACCAGAAGCATCAGGTTCCCAAAGGCTGGCAAAATAAAAAGCAATTCATTAACCCATCATATTTCAATAATAATTATAATTAATATCCCTTGCCTCCCCCCCTTTTTTTGCAAGCGGCGCCCGAAAGACTGGAGGACCCGGCTGGAACCTCCGCAGGGCTTTCGCAGCAGCCCGCCTCGGACGCGCCGCGGGGAAAACTCACCCCCGCCTCCAGCCCGGGGGAAGGGGCGGGGCCAAGGAATGACCGGCAGCAACCCCAGGCGCCAGGGGACTTCCGGCCTTCCTCGGGCCTTTCGTGTCACTCTTTCACCCTTGCTGCGGCTGCGCAGTGGGGATTGCCTGCAGTGCTTGGGGACCGGGTTTAGAAGAGGAGAGGGGGCGTGGCCTGAAGTGTGCATTGGGTACGAAGGGAAAGGAGGAGCTTAGCTCGGAGGCGGGGAGGGGGGCGGGGTTCAGGACGCTTGTCGCGAGATGGGCCTTGCCTTGCGCGTGCGCGCCCGGAAAGGGGCAGAGTTATTTCTCTCTCTCCCTCCCCGCTCCCAATAGCCGCGGCGCTATGGAAACTGGAGGCGTTGCGTCGTAGGCCGCGCGCCGGGAAGGAGGGTAAGAGCGCGGGAAGCGTGAGGCGCCGCGTGAGGCGGCATCAGGGGAGCTGGGTCTCCGGTAGAGGCTGCGGCCTAGTCCGCCCGTTCCCGCCCTCCGAGGGAGAAGTTTCGCTTTTGAAGTAGAATTCAGACGTCTTCCCCATCCCCCACCCACAAAATAGCCTGCGCCTCCAGGGAAAGAGAGGAAATAACTGGACCAAAAAAGGGTCTCTTCCCACGCGCAGAAGGCTACGTGTCTTGCGTAACACGCTTGTTCCATTGATCCCTCCCTCACGTCGAGGCTGCAGTACATTCCATAGAAGTGTAAGGGCCCACGGAAGTCATCTAGTCGAGCCGCCTGCAATGCAGGAATCTTTTGCCCAATACGGGGCTCGAACTCATGGCCCTGACAGATTTAAGAGCAGGCATAAGCAAACTCGGCCCTCCAGATGTTTTTGGCCTACAACTCCCATCTGGCAGACTGTCTCGCCAGAGTGGTGCATGCTCTAGTTATCTCCTGCTTGGACTACTGCAACGCGCTCTACGTGGGGCTACCTTTGAAGGTGACCTGGAAACTGCAATTAATCCAGAATGCGGCAGCTAGACTGGTGACGGAGTGGCCGCTGGGACCATATAACACCGGTCCTGAGAGATCTGCATTGGCTCCAAGTACGTTTCCGAGCACAATTTAAAGTGTTGCTGCTGACCTTTAAAGCCCTAAACGGCCTCGGCCCAGGATACCTGAAGGAGCGTCTCCACCCCCATTGTTCAGCCCGGACACTGAGATCCAGCGCCGAGGGCCTTCTGGCAGTTCCCTGACTGTGAGAAGTGAGGTTACAGGGAACCAGACAGAGGGCCTTCTGGGTAGTGGCACCCACCCTGTGGAACGCCCTCCCTTCAGATGTGAAGGAAATAAGCAGCTATCCTATCTTTAAAAGACATCTGAAGGCAGCCCTGTTTAAGGAAGTTTTAAATATTTAATGCTGTATTGTTTTTAACACTCGATTGGGAGCCGCCCAGAGTGGCTGGGGAAACTCGGGGTATAAATAATAAAATTATTATTATTATTATTATCATCATTCCTAGCTAACAGGACCAGTGGTCAGGGATGATGGGAATTGTAGTCTCAAAACATCTGGAGGGCCGAGTTTGCCTATGCCTGTTTAAGAGCCTCACCCTCTAGTACTGATGGAGCTACCCCAGAGAGTAGTTTTCTGCCCATAGAGGATGTTGCCTGCCGTGTGTCTCCATGAGTCTGTGCTTTGGCAAGTGCCTCTTTTCCAGGGGAAAAGCAGCAGGTGTTTCTATTTGGGTGTGATCAATCTGTCACCCCGGGACTTAAGCAGAAGAAGTTTGTTGGTTGCCTTCGTTAGCTTCCTTCCAGCAGAGTGGCCCAAAGTGGCTTGCCTGAAGGTTGGTTAAGAACATTTGATGGAAATCTAAAAGCGCAGCTGAATAGATAAAAGGCAGTACTAGAAGAGGTCACAGAGTGTGTATGGTGGGAGAAGAAACCACCACCCAGAAGGCCTGATTTTGTATTTGCATTTTCCTCACCTCATGTGGTGGTTGCCTGCTGTGCCTCTTCATGATACAGTGTTCTGGCTGTGCCGCTTCCTGAATAAGCCTCTGGCATCACATTGATCATTTGATCACCCTTCATGTTAAGATTAAAGTTGAATTAGCTGCCCATAGTGGAGGTTGCCTGCTGTGTATCTGTTAATCAAGTATCTGGAATTCCATGGGCTGTGGTCATTATACCACACCTCATGCCAACAGCTCAGCAGAATCATCTACCTACAGGAGAAGTTGCTTGCTGTGTCCATGCATGAGTGGATTATCAGTGGTGTTACCCCAGTTTTGATGTGCTGATCTTTTAGGGCCTGCTTTGTTGTCCTTTTGGTGCCAGGCAAAATGATTTTAAAAAGAAACTAACAGGCCTTTTGGACTTAATTTTAGCCCTGATTATTGTTATTAATCTGGATCTTACGATTTTGTTGCCTTTTTAGTCTGTCTGTTTTACAATCAGTTTTATTTGTTTTACCTATATTTTTATTGTTTGGGGTTTTTTTCTTTTATGTAAATAACTCTGGGAATTCCTTTTGAATGATGTTTTAGTTGTTGTTTTTATAATAAACAAGCAAGTAATGTTTCATTTGTTGGAGCAAAACTCAATAGATGTGCTTCCAAAATACTTAAGCAACACTTCACTTGCATTAGGTGTTTGCAAAACACTCCAGCATCACTTGAATTCAGCATTATGGAAAGGGAAAGAAGCTACCCAATTTGCTTCTTTCTCTTCCTGTTGTGTTTTTGCAGGATACAGTAGCGAGACACTGCTAGCATTTGCTGCAAAAGCTTGACTCAGCAGAAATAAAACACTTGTCCTTTTCCCCTCTGTAGAAGGAAATGAAGTACAGTAGTACCTTGGGTTAAGAACTTAATTACCTTATTTTTCACTCCATAAGGCGCACCTGACCATAAGGTGCACCTACTTTTTTTGGGGGGGGGATTTCAAGGGGAAAAAAATGCGGCTCTTGGGGGCTTTTGCGGGAGATGGGGGAAGTGAGAGAGCCTCACTCTGTCCCTTCCCTCACCTCCCGCAAAAGCCAGGGATAGCTGCGCAAATCCTCCCCAGGGCAGCGGGATGAAGGCTCCCCGCTGCCCAGCGGAGGCTTCACGGGTTACCCCAGAGCTGCTCGACCCAAAGAGCAGGTTGGGGAGCAGTGGAAAGGCTGCGTGCAGCCTTTCCACTGCTTGTCGGGGCTGGCGGTGGGGGAAGTGCGGCTTTTCCCCACTGCCAGCCCCACAAGCTCGGGGAGCAGCCTTTCCGCTGCTCCCCGACCTGCTCTTTGGGGAAAGCCACTGCCAGCCCCAAAGAGCAGGTTGGGGAGCAGCACAGACATTTCCCCTTAGATTTTAAGAGGAAGAAAGTGCGTCTTATGGAGCGAAAATACGGTAGTTCCGGAGGTCCGTTCTTAACCATAAACTGTTCTTAACCTGAGGTACCACTTTAGCTAATGGGGCATCCTGCTGCCGCCACGCCGCCGCCACGCTATTTCTGTTCTCATCCTGAAGCAAAGTTCTTTACCTCAGGTACTATTTCTGGGTTAGCAGAGTCTGTAACCTGAAGCGTCTGTAACCCAAGGTACCACTGTAGTTTTTATTCAGCATGAGATTTTTTCCTCAAAAAAGACCAGTAGTGTTTAGCTGCTGCTTCCTGCAAAGGCCCAATGGAAAGGGAGAAAAACAAATCTTTACTTCCATCCCCAAGTTCTCTGCGATAGAAGAAAACAACAAAAAACAATCTTACTGCCACTGTCAACCTCCACAGAGGATGGAGAAGAAAAGAATCAGTGTTTTCTCAAAAAGCAAGCATGATTTTTAGTGAATGCTTAGAGGTGCTTGTCACTGGTGAGGAGGCAGGTGCAGTTAAACTCTGCTTATGCATTGATCATTCCATTAGGTGTGATTGGATCATTCTGCCATTCTCTATGCCAGGATCCCAGAATGGAGGAGGCTTCCCGTTCTCACTGTATGATTCATAGTGCCTTTCAAATCTTTCTGGGGACAGGTAATTCTGCCTCAATCCATTCCAGAGGATGTGTTTGGATAGATAAGTTACTATAGATACCAAGATTGCAGTAGAATTGCATGATCTCAAAAACCAGTCAAAATTTTGAGTCACCACGCCAGGCTCAAGCCTTAGCTTGTCTTCCTCCATAGGTGGGGCTGTCACTTTTCTGTTCAAAGAAATGAACAGAAAAACCAGTAATTTCTTTATGACCAACAGAAAACCAACATTGTCACAAAGACCAAGTTTATGTGTTCTTAGGGCTGCAGGTTTTCTAAAGGAAACTTAGAGGGACTTTCTTTTGTGTGTAGACAACATGCATAGGCCATGCTGATTATGACTTTATGCTGTTATTGTAACAAATGTTAAAGAAGTTTCAATGCAAAGCAGTTGTATGCATGTTTACTCAGGAGAAAGTCCTACTGTTTCAGTGAAGCTAAGTGTCTTTAGAGCTGTAACCCGAGGTGTTTGTAACCTGAGGTACTACTGTATCAGTTTTATACTTTGCCTATAGATTGTCATTGAGTATTTTCCTCTTTTGGATGTTACTCTTAGGTCCTGACTCTGAATCTCCTTTTTTCAGTCTCTTACTGTTCAGTGGTGCAGCTGCACTGTTGAACTGTGAGGAGTCCCGTGGGTTTGGGGCGCTGGTATGATTGCAGAGATGAGGCCTTCTACTTCCACGTAAGTCCCCTGCTAATATTTTGTCTCCCCTTGTGTGAATCCTTTTATAGAATTGTGTCTGTATGGTTGTAGAATTCGGGGAGTGCAACTTCTGACTTTTGCAAAATGCTTCATTGTAGTATAATCGCATAGTAACAGTGTTATGTTTCCCCCCCATGTTTAGGGATGATGAAGAAAATGCTACATTTAAAATTTTAGTTGCTACCGACATTCATCTTGGGTACTTGGAGAAGGATGCGGCACGTGGAAATGATACGTTTGTAACATTTGATGAAATATTGAAACTTGCTCAAGATAATGAGGCAAGGCAGTTTTATAACACTTTGTAAGGTTAGCATCAAGGGACCAGTATTTTCTAGAAAGCAGTGTCATAATGTGCCAACAGCTCTGTGTGTACCATGTGTAGGCCATGGATGGGGAACTGTTGTCCCTTAGATGGTTGCTGAACTGCAGCTTCCCTCATCCCTCTGGGCCACCGGGCCACCTGACTGATGCTGAAGGGAGCTGGATTTAACACAGGTTCCTCATCCTGAGTGCCTTCAACCATAAGCAAGGATTGGAATAGTAATGAAGGGCTACATGTGGCAGGATATTTTACTTAAATGGCTTCAGAGATGTGACATGTTGCAGAAAAAATTGTTAAAATACAGATGGGGACATTATGGGAATAGTAATGTGGTTCTGCCAATGCATCAGTTTCTTGAAATTTCACTGTAACATATGATGTATTATAGCTGATTTTAAATAATGAATATATTACTTTTACAGAGTTACAAACTTAAAAATTTATTAAAGACTCAGTATAAATTCCTGGATAAATTTGCCCTTTTATGTACTGTTCTCTGTTTAATGACTTTTTGAAGCTAATCAATGCTGAAAGAGTAAGATTAATTTTGATTTTTAGATTTTGTTTGCACTTTAAATTGCTTTTAGGTAACCAAAAACTGCTCAGAGGAATTTAGCTGTTTAATATGATGTATATAATGTTATTATGAATAATAAATACAATAAGAATGTAATACTGCCAATTTATTTATTAATAATCTTTGCAAAGGTGCATGGTTTTACCAAACGGAAGTAAAAAATTATAAATGGAAATGGTTTTCAATATTTTAAAATAACTTTTCCCTTTCCTTTTTATAGGTGGATTTTCTTTTATTAGGAGGCGATCTCTTTCATGAAAACAAACCTTCCAGAAAAACATTACATACTTGCTTAGAATTATTAAGGAAATATTGTATGGGCGACCGTCCTATACAGTTTGAAATTCTGAGTGACCAGTCAGTTAATTTTGGTTTTAGCAAGTAGGTATCTTTATGATAAAACTGACTATCATAGTTGTAATGTTTTCTAAATAGAGTTTAATAAATGATAATAATTATTCTGTGGCCATTCATTTATGGCATGTTTCAGTGTAAAAAGTGATGACTTGAGCAGTGATATTTCTGTTTATAAATGAACTTAAACTTTGCTCTCCTGTTCAGGTTCCCTTGGGTGAACTACCAAGATGACAATCTCAACATTTCTATTCCAGTTTTTAGTATTCATGGCAACCATGATGATCCAACAGGGGTAAGAATGTTATACAAAAGTTGATAACTAGTAGGGTAAATGAATTATTGGATATGACAAACATTCAGAAGATTAGTAAAGAGTTTAAACATCAGAATCCAGCAAACATTTACGCATTGATGTCCTTACAGTACAGCCTTAATAATGTCTACTTAGAAGTAAGTCCTATAGAGGTCATTGGGGCTTCCAGGTAATTTGGGTTAGGATTGTAGCCTTAGTGAGATTGCAACATTGGTGCCTAGGTAAACTACTGTCTTAATTCTTGTATGAAACGGTTGTGGTGGCTTACATTGTAATTTTGAATAGTTGCATTGAGGTTTTTAAATGATTTATGCTTTTTAAGAAGGCATAAACTTGTAACATAAGGTGCTGAAAATGTGGTTGATGTGACTCTCTGTTTCCTTTGTTGGCCTGGGATAAAACATGCTTTTTAATGGCATAAACATGTACACTTACCGTGTAATCAATTCTAGTTTATCCTCTTAAGGTCCACAAATATATTAGTATTTAGCATTTTAAATATCGTTTGTGTCTACATATATCTCTGTTCATTGTTTGTGGCCTATTGATGGCCTGAAGAAGGAGGGAAAAGAATCAATTCCACTTTACAAAAGCTTTCTTACCCAGATGCCTAGCCCTAGAGGCTGTTACAGGCACCAGGCTAGTAGCTATTTATAAGCCTAGTTTAGCTGATCTGGAAAAGAACACAAGATTTTCCTCCCTTAAATGCTTTACATTGGTTGGGAAACCTGTGTTCCTCTGCTTGTTGCTGGACTACAACTATCATCCCTGGCTGGCTGTGGCTAATGGGAATTGTAGTCCAACATTTGCTGGACCACATTTTCCTCATCTGTACTTCATGTGTTTCTGGGCTAAATGGTGACCAAGCCAACCTTTGATAAACAAATGCTAATTGTAGATATTCCTTCATCTATCTTACAGGCAGATGCTCTTTGTGCTTTGGACATCTTAAGTTGTGCAGGACTTGTGAATCATTTTGGACGGTCACCATCTGTAGAGAAGATAGACATTAGTCCCGTTTTGCTTCAGAAGGGCAGTTCCAAAATTGCTCTTTATGGATTAGGTATGCTATTTTTTTTGGAATGGTGGCAAGGCTTTAATGAAACCATAACATCTTGGAGGAACATCAGGTCTGGCCTGAAGATGGTGAATTTTATTTATTAGAATTAGCTTTATGATCCTGGGGTGTAAGATTAGTGGAGTTTGATTTGGAAAACCTTAAGTCTGTTGACCAGCTTTTATGGTTTTCACCAAATGAGGGGAACCTAGGTTTGATGTCTCAAACGTTTGTAGTAGAGTAAATAGCTCTTTCCATTATACCTGTCAGTAAATCAAAGGGGGAAAAGATGGTAAGCAATGAGTGCATTAAAAGTGCTTTGCATTTAATAATTAAATTATTTGTGGATCATTGAAAACCCTATCCATTATTATTATTATTATTTAATTAAATACTGACTTTCCCCCTCTGTCTTCCTGGTTCATTAGTGCTGGTCTGCTTGCTGTCTCCTTCACCACATTTGCCTATTTCTTTCATTCTCCTACTTTTCTACAGAAACCTCAGTGCCCTTGCCATACTACTATGTGGAAGTCACACAAACACCTGTTTTTTTTAAATCAAGTGATGTATTTAAATTTTACTAAACAAATACAGTGGTACCTTGGTTTTCGAACATCTCCATTAACAAACATTTCTGTTTTCGAACACCGTAAACCCGGAAGTAAATGCTTCAGTTTTTGAACACGCCTTGGGAGTCAAACATGCCGCGCAGCTTCCACTGAGTGCAAGATCCTGAGGCCTAGCTGTTGGCTATTGAGTTTTCGGTTTCCGAAAGTTTCAGAACTCGAACGGTCTTCTGGAATGGATTGTGTCTGAAAAACGAGGTACCACTGTAAAAGGAAGTTCATGTAGATTGTAGATGTGAGGCAAATTGGCCTGAGCTGGTAGATAGCACAGTGTAGGAATACAGCAAGCTGGCTTATACTGAGATGGAACCATTGTTCCATCTAGAGCAGTATTGTCTACATTGACTGGCAGCAGCTGTTGAAGAATTCAGATAGGATTCTCTCGAACCAGGGACCTTCTGTGTGCAAAACAAATGCCTCACTTCCGAGCTACAGCACTTCCCCAAAACAGAACAATAAACTCTCGAGCACATGGTTCCGGAACCTATTTTCCCCAGATTTCTCTGCTGTTGCTTTGGCCTGCCAATTTCTCGTTAGCATGTTTTCCCTGCTTTGCTTCCATCCAGCACTTGTATTTCTTTTAGAAACTGTTCTGGGCGGGGGGGATCAGGTTTTAAATATTCTAGAAACCTAAACAGTTGAGATTGCTGCTCTCCTTTTAGTCAGGCTTAAAAATAAATACTTTGGCAGTAGGCAACCACTTCCTGCCCAACTCACCAAGCTCAGGGCTCCCTCCTTCACTGGATGCCATAGCTCATGGGTAGGCAAACTAAGGCCCAGGGGCCGGATCCGGCCTAATCGCCTTCTAAATCCGGCCCGCGGACGGTCCGGGTATCAGCGTGTTTTTACATGAGTAGAATGTGTCCTTTTATTTAAAATGCATCTCTGGGTTATTTGTGGGGCCTGCCTGGTGTTATTTACATGAGTAGAATGTGTCCTTTTATTTAAAATGCATCTCAGGGTTATTTGTGGGGCATAGGAATTCGTTCATTTCCCCCAGAATATAGTCCGGCCCCCACAAGGTCTGAGGGACAGTGGACTGGCCCCCTGCTGAAAAAGTTTGCTGACGCCTGCCATAGCTCCTTACTGCGTTTCTTTGACTAGGACACACAGCACTGGTCTGGGGGCTACCAGCCTTTCTTTTGTCATGAGTGCAGCCTTGGCAGTTCTGCTCTGTGTCATTTTTGGACAGGGAACTCAGTGCAGCAGCTTGGGGGGCAGCGATGACTGTGTAGGAGAGTGTCGGATGCCGCTTGGCTGCTGACCCAGGACATGCTACTTGCTGAAAGTGAATATGTAAGTGGCAAGTTGCAAGGCAGTTTTAGACATTTTCTAAACATTGGCAACTTTAATACAAACCATTGGGCTGGCAAGGATAATTTAGTCCAACCTCTTGCCAATGAAGGAAGTTTTTACTGCAGTACAGTATGTCATTTTCGCAGTATTTCATCACAAACAACTCACTACAAGGTAATTATTATGTCCGTTCCAGGATCTATTCCAGATGAGAGGCTTCACAGAATGTTTGTGAACAAGCAAGTGACTATGCTGAGACCAAAGGAAGATGAAGATAGTTGGTTTAATCTGTTTGTAATTCACCAGAACAGGTACTGATGTTGTGTTTTTGTATATTCTGTTGGCCCACAGGGGCTGGGGCAACCCAGTCACATGGGTGAGGTACAAATGATGATGATGAAATTTGTACCTTTCTCTCCCCCCTCCGCTCTGCTCAGCCTTGCTTTAAAGTTGTCATTTTGCTTGTTCTTTGATGACAGAAAAAAGATGGTGGACTACGATACCAGCTCTGCACAGCTGATGTGAATATAGAGTACTTTTCTGCTTTTGGAGGGACATAAATAATAATAATAGTAATAATAATAATAATAATAATAATAATAATAATTTTTTTTATTTATATCCCGCCCTCCCCAGCCGAAGCCGGGCTCAGGGCGGCTAACAACAATAAAACAGTACAAAAGTACAGCACAAACAACACTCTAAAATCATTCATTATAAAATTAATTAATATAATAACCTTAATAATAACCTTAGGCAACAGGTTTTAACTCTTTAATAGGGAAGGGACGCGGGTGGTGCTGCGGGTTAAACCACAGAGCCTAGGGCTTGCTGATCAGAAGGTCGGCAGTTCAAATCCCCGCGACGGGGTGAGTTCCCGTTGCTCGGTCCCTGCTCCTGCCAACCTAGCAGTTCGAAAGCATGTCATAGTGCAAGTAGATAAATAGGTACCGCTCTAGTGGGAAGGTAAACGGCGTTTCCGTGTGCTGCTCTGGTTCGCCAGAAGCGGCTTAGTCATGCTGGTCACATGACCTTGAAGCTGTACGCCGGCTCCCTCAGCCAGTAAAGCGAGATGAGCGCCGCAACCCTAGAGTCGTCCGTGACTGGACCTAATGGTCGGGGGTCCCTTTACCTTTAAAATACCGTAATCCTTAGGGTAAGGAATAGTTGCTCTTAGCAATTTGAAAAATAAACAACTTTTATTTATGTGGGACCCAAAGTTCTCATTTGAATGATCGCTTGCTCTTGTCAGGTGAGTAACCTTTTCTGTTACCTGTGTTTATAAATAACAATGGATAAATTTTGCTTTTCATTCTGGCTCCTTGGTGTGGATGGGTCACTTTTGATTATGCAGAAAACGAGGTTCAGTGGTGGTAGGATTGCATAAGGCTATGGGGGACTTGATCTGGGGACTTAGCAATAGGACCCAAGTGTCCTACTCTCTGAGTCAACAAAGCAGATTGCAGGTGGAAGGAGTTGCTGGGCTATATTCCTGTGCTTCAGTGCTACCCTTATAATGGCCTCTTACATTTGACCGTTGCTGATCTGTCTGCAACCTGAACTTCTGTCTGTCCTACAGCTTTAATTTAATTCGCCTTTCCTTACCTTTTGAAAATTGTACCTGATACACATGTTTTTGCAGTTGTTAAAGTGGAATTAAATATTTTATAAACACTTACTTTAACTGGAATATTTTAGTTTAATATCAGTGTAAAACCACCTCCTCAGTTTTGCAATTACGTTTGTATGTTTCCTTTTGTACAGGAGCAAACATGGTGCCACAAATTATATTCCGGAACAGTTTCTAGATGATTTTATTGATCTCGTAATTTGGGGTCATGAGCATGAATGTAAAATAGCTCCTGCCCGAAATGAACGACAACTTTTCTATGTGTCTCAGCCAGGAAGTTCAGTTGTCACATCTTTGTCACCAGGAGAAGCTGCCAAAAAGTATGTACTTAGGTTTTATTTATTATTTTGTCTGGTTTACTAAATGAGATCTTGCAAATTACCGTATTTTTCTGCCCGTAAGATGCCCCCACGTATAAGATGCCCCCTATTTTTGTGGCAACAACCAATCACCAGTCCACCCTCGGCACTATCCATGTATAAGGCACCCCCTAATTTTTGACATTTTTTAAAGGAAAAAAACCTAGTCTTATACAAGGAAAAATATGATATTCTTTGCTTGCTCTCACCCTTTCAGCTTGTTTATAAGGTGAAAGCAGGGGACTCTAATTTCTATTCCTGGTGAGGAATTAGAAGATCTCCCCATCCCTTAAGCCCTGCCCCTTAGTTTTAGCTGCTTGCTCCTACCTGAGTCCCATAATCTGCTGAGCTTCGAAAACGCTGTTCTAGAGAAGGCTTCAGGGCTCTCTCACTGACAGATGGCAATTCCTGTTGTCACAGTACTAGGACTGTCTTGCGCCTTCCTTCCTACAATTTCAGTGATTTAACAAAGGGTCCAGAACCTGACTTGACTTGTGGCTGCTGACTCCCCAGTTGTACTATCTGTTCTTGGTACAAGCATGCCATATACCATTCAGCTGAAATGTCTACAAGAAGGAGGAAGGCACTGAGCCTCTTTTCTGTGTCCCCTGTTTTCCCCCAGTGGTGGAACTGGACTGACATAAAGTGGCAGGTAGAGAGGGCTGGGCTAAGGAGAACAAGCTCTGCATTGTTCCAGTCCTGGCCAGGGAGGGCGGGGTATAAATATATTATTATTATTATTATTATTATTATTATTATTATTATTATTATTATTATTAAAGAACAAGCTCTGCATTGTTCCAGTCCTGGCCAGGGAGGGCGGGGTATAAATATATTATTATTATTATTATTATTATTATTATTATTATGGAGAACAAGCTCTGCATTGTTCCAGTCCTGGCCAGGGAGGGCGGGGTATAAATATATTATTATTATTATTATTATTATTTATTTGTGGACCCTTCCCTAATAGTGATCTTGTAAACTAGCAAATTGAACCATAACTGATTTCTTTGCTATGCTCCTTTGAAACAAACAAACAAACAAACACACATTCAGAATCTTAGTAGCAGAATAGTCTCCATGGGCACCAGCAACCTTTAATCCAAATGGCTATGGAGCAATTCACCCAGAGACATGGAGAACTGCACAGGAAATTTTTGCCATGCAAGGTGCAGAGTGGGAGAATCTGGCATTTCTTTCCTTAAGTAAAGGAAGGAAAGATGGGGGGCCAGTTATTATTGGAGGAGGCCCTGTTCTCTAGGGCTAAGAGGCAGTCTCTGGTATAACTTCTGGAGGAGACTGGACTGCCTTTGGCTCAAGTCCCAGTTCAACTTCCTTCTGACGAAAGACAGACCTCGAGGAGCTCATGCACTGGCATGAGAACCAAATTCTAATTAGAGAGAGAGAGAGAGAGAGAGAAGGAAAGAGCGTCTGTGTCATCCAAGATGCAGAGTGCAAGAATCTGCCATTGTTGTTCTCTTCTTAAGAGAAGATAATACAAGTAAATAGATTTCTGTAGCTTAGGTAATGTAGCCTTGTATTATCTCCGGAAGACAGAATTGCGATTGTAGATTTACTGACTACATTTTAGACTAAAAACTGCTTGCCTGGTGCTTGTAAGTTCCCAAACCATTTGCTGAGCTGCTGAGATACTTGAGGAGGAAGTTGTTGATAGTGAATGCAAGGAAAATGGAAGGTCATCTGGTCTTGGTGAAAGAAACCTGTGAAGGCAGGATAAGGTTCATGATGGGGTAGGGATTACAGATGGCAGGTTATTTCTGTTAAAAATGTAAGTCAGATCTTTAGCTGCAATGGTCTGCATTAAGCTAAGTACTCCATGCACTGCCCATTTGTATAAGGACCCAGATCCATTCTGATTATTCCCAGTGTGAACTTCTCCTAGCCATGGCCCTTGAACTCCCTGTCCACCTCTTAAGGCTCCTATAACAAGTAACAGCTTTCCATCATGTTGACAACTCTGTGAGCCTAACAGTGATCATGGCTGAAATAAATTCTCAGGGTATATGCCACACTCGATTTACCCGGCTTTGCTCAATGCATTCCAGACATGTTGGCTTGCTGCGCATCAAAGGCAAAAAAATGAATATGCAAAAGATTCCTCTCCAAACAGTACGGCCTTTCTACATCGAGGACATTGTTCTTGCTGACCATGCTGACATCTTTAATCCTGACAATCCTAAAGTAACACAAGCAATACAAGCTTTCTGCATGGAAAAGGTAGGAGCTGGAAAAGATAGGAATGGGGCACGAGTCCACTATGGTTTCGGATATTAGGAGTGCTATCTCACTGTGTATGTGGACACTTTGTATGTGGGTTGTAGTATTGTAGAATATGAATGGTTGATAGAGTTAATGTTTGAGGCTGTGAATAGTAGTAGTGTTGTCAAATGGATAGTGAGAGAGATTGGGTGAATAATTGCATGTTGTGGGGTTTGAAATACTTATGTCATACTGCCTTGTAGTTCTTTCAGCCAGATGGGCAGGGTAAAAAGAATAAAAATATTATGAATTATTATATTATATTATATTATATTATATTAGGATATTGCCTTTGTATTCTGTTATGTGAATAATTTGATGTGGTTTTTTGCACTTAATTCTGCATGTAAACTGCTTTGAGATCTTTTAGATGGTTGATAAATGGAAATAATAAATAAATAGCCAGGTATGTGGTTTTTCCCCTTTCCATTTTTAAAGGTTGAAGCCATGTTGGACAATTCAGAAAGAGACCGTCTTGACAACCCCAGACAACCAGATAAGCCTCTAATAAGATTACGAGTAAGATGGGGCTCCTAATACGGTTTTTTTTTTTTTAAATCAAAAAGCAATGTAGCAAACATATTGTTAAACACATTACTTATTTTAAAGTGCTCTTGTTCGGCATGCATTTTAGGGCCCCCCTCCCCCTTCGTGGAGTGGCAGTACGTGACTATCTTGTCTGCATTCCTTGAAGCAGTGGAACTGAGGCACTTGTGGAAAATAATAAGGGGTTTAAAAGGCATCTAGCTATTTAAAAAAGAGAGAACAAATGCGGTTTTTGATGTTTGAAACAATTTCTGTTTGCTTGTAAAAGCCTGCTGCTGAGATGAATTATTAAAGATGGTATCTTGAATGTTTTGCTGTATTGTAAACACCAGGATGGTTAGTTAGATATTCACAAGGGCATTAGTTTAAACTGATGAAAATTGAATCATTTTAGATGTTTGGTTGCAGAGCCCTATACCTTTAATGCTTATTTTCTTCTTTCTTTTTTTGAAGGTAGATTACAGCGGAGGCTTTGAACCATTCAACATTGTGCGTTTCAGCCAAAAGTTCATGGATAGGATAGCTAATCCCAAAGATATCATACATTTTTTCAGGCACCGGGAGCAAAAAGAGAAAAATGGTAAAAGAATGAACAATAATGTAGCTTCTACAGAGAATTATAACAAATATTGTTGATGGGGAAAAGAACATTATTCATGCAAGTACTTTGGTGTGGCAACAATGTATCTGAAGCATTGCAATGCTTCTATACAACAATAATGTAGCATTGTTCTGTAAGCAGAAATCCTTTGTTGACAGGATGTGTTAGTTTAATACCTCTCTGAGTATGATTTAAACATTGGGAACAAACCAATATATATCATAAAATATTAGTTACCACAGGTTAGCAATTGTTCTGTGTTAAGGTCAGATATTCACACACACACAGACTGTTCTTTTGAATTATTTCACCCTGCAGATATCCATTTTGCCTTATTGTAATGATAATTTAGGGTAGCAAACCATTTCTCTACATGGGCTAAAAATTGCATCATTTTTCTTTGTTTTAAAGATGAGATTAACTTTGGAAAACTGGTCCACAAGCCTGCATCAGAGACAACGACTTTGAGGGTAGAGGATCTTGTTAAACAATACTTCCAGACAGCTGAGAAGGTAAACTTATTATTCAGAATTTGAGGTGTTGTTTCCTTGTTATCTCAGGTTGAATTTCTGGTTTTAACGCTAATTCAACAGCAGGTGCATTTTATTTCTCAAAGCCTTATAGCTATTGATTTTTCATTCTAAGAGTCTGAAATTGTGTGGAAGGAAAAAATCTAGAAGAGGAATAATGTTAAGTTTTTTGAGCAAAAAATCAACAGAGGCTTGTGGCCTTCAAGAAAAAGAGATGATTCATATACAACAGCAAACCATTATGTGTTCTGATGTGTGAATTGATACAATCTGATAAACCATGGTTTGTGAGTTGGACACAAAACCAGGATCAAAATCGCATAATTTGAAGCTGGTTTGCAGACCAGTTTGCATAAACTCTTTCGGCATTGCACCCAAACTGTCCAATAGCAATGTCTATTAAAATACACAAAATAAGTAAATGATGCACAAAACCAAGTCCAGGTCTTGCAGCAGTCATTCCAATAGACCCGAGAAAGCACTGCAAAAACAGTTGTTGAGCTTCTGCTGAGCCGTTTTAAAATATATATATATTTTTATTAAAGATTTCTTAGTTTGCTGAGCTATTGAGCTGTCTTTTGAGGAATTGCCCCTGGCTCCAGCCCTCGCTTACTTACCGTATTAACCTGTGTATAAGATGACCCCCAATTTATCACTAAAAAAAATCCAGAAAAAAGGTCGCCTTATACATGGAAAGCTATGGTATCTTTTAATCTGAGGCCTGAAAACAAAGTAAGGAGCAATTGCACCTCTGGGGGGAGGGAGTTGTGCATATGGCGTGCCACAATGGAGAAGGCCCTGCTCTGCGTTGCTACACCACAAACTAACTGGAACAATGAGCAGGGCCTCTGCAAATCTTAATACAAAGGTGGAGAACCTTTTTCTGAAGGTCAGATAGAAAAGCCTGGAGGACTGCATAGTACAAACCATGGTTTGGTCTTACACCTGAACCAACACAGGCTGATTTATTACACTATGTGCTTTTGTAGTCAAGAACCATAAAGCTTAGGGCGGCATTCAACTAAATAATTGTGTGAGCACAATGACTTCCCCCTTTAGCCAATAATTTTCAATCACTTGCATTTCGGCTCATCTTGAGTCCCCCGCCCAAGCTTACATAGTTTCACTACCCAAGAACACCAGTTTTAAATAAATCTGGGGTATTCAATGCAGTTTCTTGTTTGTCTTTCTGCAAGAAAGTGCAGCTTTCCCTCCTGACTGAGAGAGGCATGGGAGAGGCAGTGCAAGAGTTTGTGGATAAGGAGGAGAAGGATGCGATTGAGGAGCTGGTGAAATTCCAGCTAGAGAAGACGCAGCGGTTTCTGAAGGAACGCCATACAGATGCAGAGGAAGCCAAAATTGATGAAGAGGTTAGTATGGAGCATGGGTAGGTAAACTAAGGCCCGGGGGCTGGATGCGGCCCAATCGCCTTCTCAACCCGGTCCGCGGACGGTCCAGGAATCAGCATGTTTTTACGTGAGTAGAATGTGTCCTTTTATTTAAAATGCATCTCTGGGTTATTTGTGGGGCCTGCCTGGTGTTTTGACATGAGTAGAATGTGTGCTTTTATTTAAAATGCATCTCTGGGTTATTTGTGGGGCATAGGAATTTGTTCATCCCCCCCCCAAAATATAGTCTGCCCCCCCTACAAGGTCAGAGGGACAGTGGACCGGCCCCCTGCTGAAAACATTTGCTGACCCCTGTATGGAAGGACTTACCTTTCTTGAAATGACAGTGGGTAGCAATATTTGGGAGAAAGAAAGGTGTTGGAACTTCACAGTTATTTTCTGTAAACATTCAAGGTCCTCACCCCACTCCCAATTCACCGTTCTGACAAGCCGATCCTTTTTACTAGCGTGTTCTGAAGGTTGGAGTATTAAAAGATAATCCAGCCCCTTAATTTATGTGACATTTTATTAAAGTGACTGAGTGGCATTGCCATTTTAAGCCACAAGATGGCAGCAAAATAGTATAAACTGGCTTTACACAGCTGGGTGCCCTCCAGTTGATTCAGACCCATCAACCTTAATCGAGAATGACTTAATAGCTGTTGGATGCATTTACTAATGTAAGTCATGAAGGTCAAGCTCTACCTATCAGCATCTCAGCATGCCCCCCCCATTATTTGTTGTTTTAATAATGGAAAGAGCAAAACAGTCCCATTCTTTTTTACCCTGAAAGTGTAAAAATACATAGTTTCCGTAGTTACCTTTTACCACTTCAACACAGGTCCAACGCTTTAGAGAGTCGAGAAGAAAAAACACCATGGAGGAGGACGAGGAAGTTCGAGAGGTAATTAAGCTGAAAAAATTGAAAGGATCTAAGGTGACTTGGGCCATCATAGCTGTCAACTTTTCCCTTTTCTTGCGAGGAATCCTATTCAGGATAAGGGAATTTCCCTTAAAAAAAGGGAAACGTTGACAGCTAGTTGATTGGCTTGAATAACATTTCTTTAGAGAGAGAGAGAGAACTTCCGTATGCAAGCAGTAGCTTCCATTGTGTCCAAAATGTGTATCGCAATGTGCTGACATTCATTTCAATATTTTACCCATTTCATATTTCTTTGGTAATAAACATGTTCCCCAAACTTTGCCCTGATCACATGGTGTTGCAAGCTGTGTTTAATTAAAACTGGAAGCAGAAGCTTCCAGACTACTCCACCTCAACCATCACTGAGCCCCAGTGGGAGTCTCATTCTTGTGAAGCACAAAACTCTGACTTAGCTGCTAATACAAGTTGGCTCCAGCAAAATAGATACTTTTGAGTTCTCCCCTCTCAGCTACCATCAAATCACAAATTGTATCTGTCTACATTGGCAAACCCAAAGATCCAGAGTTTTCCATCACTGCTGGATGCCAAAACACGGCTCGTAAGAGGCACAGTCTATGGGTTCTAATGGTTTTTATAAGGGATTGCCTAAAATTTGCCATCAAATTACAGATCACCGGATTTGTTCAGCGATTTGTTGATGATTTTTTTTTTGGGGGGGGTCATCCTTTGTAAAAAACATGTCTTGAATCAATGTTTCATTGTGGCAAGGAATGGATCTGTGATTTTTTACTGTGTGGTCTACCAATGTAAGCTCAAGATTTTATGGTGATGATGGGAACCCTGTGTAAAATCATGCAAATCCAAGAATATCTGTTTTAATTTTTCTGAACCTGGCAGGTGTGTCTGTGTGTGCACGTGTGGGATGGTTGTGGTCACTTGTTCTTTCTTGCTTCCAAGAGAGAAAGAACCTTTTAAAAAGGGAAGCTTTTAATTTTAATAGACTATTGTATTCTAATATTGTGTTGAAAGCTGCCCAGAGTGGCTGGGGAAACCCAGCCAGATGGGCAGGGTATAAATAAAGTATTATTATTATTATTATTATTATTATTATTATTAATAATAATATTACCAGAGAGGGTGGTGCCCATGGTGCACACTCAAAAGTTCTTGGGCTCAAAAAGGTTTTTCAGCATTGATTTAGTATTATGCCTGAACCAACCCCCTGGGGAAAGCAGATGAAACTTCGATTTTTGTTCCAGTAAGGCCATTAATATGCTTCAACATTGGTTAACACTTTTCTCTCAGGCTTTAAACAGGGCCAAAGCTCATAGATCTCAGGGAGCTTATAATGCTTCCGTCAGTAGTGATGATGACCTCATGGATGTGGCTACCTCTGGTCAAAGGGCTAATGATGATTCCGATGATGATGATTTGCCACCCAGCAGAGGAAGAGGGAGAGGTCGGGCAAGAGGCGGTAAAGGGCAGAACGTAACAGCAAGAGGAGCATCTCGACGAGGAAGAGGAGGCCAGTAGCCTTATTGTCCTTTGCAATTGCAATCCCAAGATTGTGGGATTATGATGGTGATGATAGTAATAATAATCATACATACAAAAAGCTCTGAAGGGACGCTGGTGGCGCTGTGGTCTAAACCACTGAGCCTCTTGGGCTTGCTGATCAGAAGGTCGGCGGTTCGAATCCCCGCAACGGGGTGAGCTCCTGTTGTTCGGTCCCTGCTCCTGCTCACCTAGCAGTTCAAAAGCATGTCAGAGTACAAGTAGATAAATAGATACTGCTCCAGTGGGAAGGTAAATGGCATTTCCGTGCACTGCTCTGGTTCGCCAGAAGCGGCTTTGTCATGCTGGCCACATGACCCGGAAGCTCCCTCGGCCAATAAAGCAAGATGAGCACTGCAACCCCAGAGTCGTTCACGACTGGACCTAGAGGTCAGGGGTCCCTTTACCGTTATACATATAGCTCAGTTTGCAAATGTGCACAGTTTGCTAGGAGAAAAAAAAGGGCCATATGTTACCCATGTGTCCTGTTAACCTCCAGACTGGTGGAATCCTTTCCATGTGTGAGGAGGATGTTGTTGTTGTTTAGTCGTTTAGTCGTGTCCGACTCTTTGTGACCCCATGAACCAGAGCACACCAGGCACTCCTGTGAGGAGGATACTTATGATTAAACAGATCAAAGAGGGAGTGAGAGGTATTTCTTAAGCACACATCCATTCTATGATGTTTTGCATTGGTGATTCATGTTCAATTTCCAGTTTTAAGGAAGCATTTGCTGATAGCTTTAATCTTAGATAATTTTCTCTGCCCTAGCTCTTCTCTGTCAACCCTTTTCATGCTGGGGTGATACAGACACCTGCCCAAAACACCAAACACTTGTGGCTCTTATGATTGCAAGAAACCTCTCACTGGCCACTACCTTTTCCTTAGAGGAATTCTATCTGCACATGCATTCATGGAAATGGCAGAGACTGTTTTACATTTGCATGCACATGCTTTCTTGAGCATGCACTACTCTATAGTTACTACAATGCAGACCCTCTTCTTACTTCTTCAGGCCAAAATAGAGCTTCCTTTCTCAGGTACAGGCTACCATTCTTAGAGCTGAGTGTGTCGTAACAGGCATGCATAGCGAAACACAGAGGAAAGGGTTGGATCACTCTATCTGCTGCACCATAGTGGCTCAGTTAACAATTGGAGAAATGTAAACATCTGAATATTTTCTTTTCTGTTACTGCAGGAGGCACTGGCCAGGACCAGATGATTAGCAGCAGAACATATAAATCTGCACCCGTTCCTACAAAGAATATGTCCATCATAGATGGTATGTTCAGATTGCAAGTGAACCCCTATATCATATTGACATGCATGTCCAAAATTATTACTCTCTTTAATGATACCTTAAGAAAATAATCCACTTGATGTTTTTAATGTGTCATAGTGTCGTACATGTGTCATTTTCAGAGGTTTAGTTGTCTTAGGGAGCAATCCTATGCACAAAAAGCTGGTATAAAGCTCGCCAATGTAATTTAAGCCAGTATAAAGTTACTCCAGATCCAAATCTGGTCCAGCGGTAGGACTGCTGCTCTTGTTTTACCTAAGCCTGGCAGATGGAAAACAGGCCTTTAATATACTGTTCTGTGCCATGTTACCGAGACAAATGGGCTGAGGATCCAGCCTAATTTGATAACCTTTCTGATTCTGCCCCTGCTACACCCCTATTTGGGGACTGACACTAGCCTCAGCTCAGATGGATGAGCAAGTTATTTGATGCATCTTCAACTGAGCTAGCGCTGGGAACTTAACACCAGCTGAGCTGATGACCCACTGTATCCTAAGCTGTTCATCCTGATGGATCTTTCCATAGGGTTGCTCCCCTAGTCTGTGGCAGCAAGAGTCTTGTGGCACATTAAAGACTCACAAATATATTCTGGCATAAACCTTTGTAGATTAGAGTCTACTTAATCAGATGCATGAAATGCTATTCTCAGTTGGCATGGGATGGAGGAAAAAAGGGTAACAGCGATGTTACAGGTAGTTGGAAATTTAATACAAATGCATACTGTCTGTAATAATTATGTTAAAACTTAAATGTATGTAAAATAAGCACAGTCACCAGTCACAAAAGCAGCCTTGGTGATGAGAATTCAAATATCCTGGCATTGCCAAGTGAATTAACACATACAGTGGAATAGAAGCCCACTATCTCACATTAGATCACAAGTGATAGAACTTTCTGACATGTTTTCATTCAGCAATTTCACACTGGAGTTTTCCTTTTGAAGTTCCTTTGCACTTTCACGTTAGCAGTTGAGTACCCTTAGAAGTTGATATGTTCTCCGGTTGTATTCTGCACATTTCTCTCTGATATCAGACCTGTGTCCATTTATTATCTTTTGTGTAGAGACTGACTTGGTTGTTGTGTTACGGCTCTGAGGGACATTGTTGGCAGATGATAGTGCATGTAACTTTGGAAGATAAGCAGGCGAATGTGCTCTTGATGTTGCTGCTAATTTTGTGAGGTCCTGTAAAAGTTGCCCAAGTTAGATACAGGGATAAAGTTGGTGGCTAGAATTCGTTGCAGGGTGTGATCCCGTCCATAACACGAGGTACCACTGTACCTGCAAGCAAAGACAGGCCTACCACCTGTTTTTATTTTAGGGAAGCATTCTGCCCAGGATGGGCATGTTTGATAATACCTATCTGCTAGTATATATAACGTGTGTGTCAGCCTATATACGTACCTGCTTTCTTATGGGTTAATTTGCCATTTCTCGGTAAAAAGCAATCTGATGCACAGCAGCTACTTCTAGATATGCCTTCATAGCAATTCCAGTTGTTCATGCTCTACAGGTACTAATGGTGAATGACGTTTTCAGGCAGCTAAGAAAATAAAGCGCTGTAGGGAGCTGACCTTGCACAGGATTGTGCGTTGTGATCACAATGTTAACCTGTGAAATGTAGGCTTCCCATGGAATTATTGTGGGTTGTACGCCAGTGGGATTTTCACATTTTATATTTTACGTTTAACTCTCCTGTTTTATGTCGGTTTGCTTTCTAGCAAGAGAAGTGAATAACCCACTGCTTTTTATATCTTCTCAAGGTTGAATACTAGCATTCTGTATTCTGTATTCCTCTTGGCACAAGAGGATAGAGCAGCTGTTCAGGCTTTTTAAAACTTACTTGTACCAGTAGCATGTCTCATTCTTATTAAGTTAATTCACAAGTAACTTGTTTTGGTGTTTTTCACCATTTTTAATTATCTTATAAATTCCCTTGAGACAGTTGTTTGGAAGGCAGTTAATAAATTGATGATGGGGAAAATAATAATGATGAGAATAACCGTCAATAATTCATGTTACTTGCAGTAAGGGTGTTTTCAAAACTTGCATGTTTTTTGTTGCATTTTGTGTACTTAAAAACCACTCCGTATGATTTTTTTGTTGTGATGCTACAAATTTCCACTAAGCTCCTTTGATTAATTTATAACACCCTACAGCAAAACTTATCACTTATAATTTATTCTAGCTTTTAAGTCGTCAAGACAGCAACCTGCCCGGAATATGCCAGTCAAGAGTTATTCAGAGGTGAGTAGTTATTTCATGGATATTAAAGCAGAAGATTTCCTTTTGCCTGTTAGCAGCTTCTTTGTATATATGTATTCTTGCTTGCATGCATTTAAAATACACACACACACACCTCCTTTCCACTAAAAAAGCAGCTCGAAATGCAAAATAAACGATTAAGTGGATTTTACTTGATATTTTGTCTAGAAAAAGGAGAGAGGATCTTACCCGTTGGCTTGTGTTTATTTCATAAAATTTATACTCTGTAAAAAACACACACCCTTAAAATGGCATGCAAAAAGATAGTAAAACTGATGAAATAATAAATCACAACCATACTTTAAAACTTTACAACATACAAAACTGATTTAAATTACCTAAACTTTCTAAGCTTGTCCGAACAAGAATGTTTTTAGCAGGTGCTGAAAAAGAGTACAGTGAAGGTCCCTGCTTGATCTTAATATGCAGGGAATTCCAAAGTGCAGGTGCTGCCGCACTAAATGAGTCGGTGCTTACAAATGTGGAACAGGTATTATGTGGCATTTCTGGTAATGTCAATTCCTCTGAGCAAAGCGGTTGAGTGAGCACATGAGGCGTAAGGCAATCTCATAGGCAGGCTGGTCCCAAGTTGTTCAGTTTTTTATCTGTGTTACAATTACCATTAGATACTATTGTTCTTTGTCTTTCTCTTCTAGGTAATTGAAGATGATGACTCTGATTTGGAAGAAGGGTCTTTTACTCCTTCCTCCACTGCAAATCAAAGGTTAGTTAGTGCATTCATTTCCGTGATCTTCTAGGTTGCTTGATAAATATGTACGAAGAAAGGAAAAGCAGAAAGGCAACAAGTACAGGAGAAGGTTGCTGAGCCCACTGTTTTTTCAAACAATCTTTTTGTGTCGTCTAATTGCAAAAGATTCTGGGCACCTTGAAGCTTGCTCTACTTTCATCGCCTGAAAAATGTTAAGAATTGTAATGTAAAGAATTGTAAATTGGGTGGTGTTCCATCTGCCCACATTTTGCATGAGCTTCTTTATAGACAAATGAATTTTTAACCTGTGAGTATTTACCGTATTTTTCTGTGTATAACATGCCCCCATGTATAACAGTATGGGACTCCAAATAGAGAAAATGGGGGGAGATTGCCCCCGTGTATAAGACACCCCCATTTTTTAGCATTAATTTTAAATAAAAAACCTAGTCTTAAACACGGGAAAATGCGGTATTTATTTAGGCTACTTTCAGCTCACCCTTCGTTCCAAAGGATACAGTGGTACCTCGCAAGACGAATGCCTCATAAGATGAAAAACTCGCTAGACGAAAGAGTTTTTTGTTTTTTGAGTTGCTTCGCAAAACGAATTTCCCTATGGGCTTGCTTCCCAAGACGAAACGTCTTGCGAGTTTGTTTCCTTTTTCTTAAAACCGTTAATACTGTACCAAGTTTGAAGCAGGAACTGGGCTGGCAGGGAGTGAGCGAGGGAGCGACCTACCTTTTCCAGTTTCAGCCTTGGGGAAGGAGAGTGTCTCGCTCCGTGAATGAACGCAAGGCAAGAAAAGAGCGGGAGCAAATCTCTTCCAAGCGCGATCGCGAGCACGACAATTAGTCCTGAGTTCCGAGCAGAGTAACCCGATACGAGAGAGAGAGAGAGACTCCAGAGACAGAGCGTGTGCGTAAAAGCGCACGAAAGAAAGACTGCAGAAGGAGCCAAAGAACAAATAACGGACTTGGGCGCAACAGAAGCGGGATCTAGCAGAACGACGCAGAGGGATCCTCTTCTGGAGAGGGCACAGAGGAGGCAGGTGGGCTGGGATCCAGCGGATCTGGCTGGGTCTCTGCGCCGCCTCTGCCTCTCTCTCTCTCCCCCCCTCCCCATGTGGCTGCTCCATTTTGCCCTAACTGCGCGAAGGCAGGAGGAGGGGGACCAAGGAGGAGGAGGCATCCACTGCGCTTGGGCCGCCGCGAAGGCACCTTTGCGGGGGTGGGAAGAAGCCAGGAGCAGCTGCCGAGACTGTGGGGAGCCCGGCGGCATGGTGCAAGGTAACGGGGGGAGCAAGGGAGAGTCCGCGCCGGGCGCTTCGTGCGTCCGCCCTCGGTTCCTGGGCTCGAACTTCCTTCGGCACCTCGTGGAGAGAGAGGGAGAGGAGCGGGCTGGGGCTTTGATGTGGGACGCGGTTTGGCGGAGCGAAGACGCGGCAAGGCTTGGCGACAGAGGAAGGGGGGCTGTTTTCGTGGGGAGGTGGGAGGGGGTGTCTTTGCCTCTTCCCGGCAACAGATCCTCCAGGCTGGGGAAACTCCTCCTGCTGGGGAGCGACCCGCTTTGTGCTTTGCCCGCTATCCCATTATAAAAGGAGTACTGTAATAATGTTCATAATACAGTACCAGGGTGCATCCGTGCTTCGCAAGACGAAAAATCCGCAAGACGAAAAAACTCACAGAACGAATTAATTTCGTCTTGCGAGGCACCACTGTACTAGGGAACAGACAAAACTGAAATGTATCACATAAAGAATAATAAAACATAGAAGCAGACACATACAAAGACATTTGGGGCAGTGTGTGTGTTTGGGTAAATGCCTGAATATGGCTTACGATTTGTGTTTATCAAAGTTTGCTGAGTTCAGATGAAATGGTAAAGTGTGGTTTGCCACTAAACCAGGATCAGACGCTTCTAACTGCTGTTTTTAAAAGCAGGGACATGCTCTCAGGTGCATGCTAATGATGCTAAACTATGATTAGGGTTTTGAACAGCCCTCTTATCTTAGCTTCTCTGTTTTTATTTTACCAAAAGTGTTTATCTGGGTTGTCAAGGCTGCCTCAAGTCTCAGCTCACAAAAGACCAATGCCTATGTCTTCTTATATACAAAGGTGTTTATTGCAGTTCATTGTTTGCTTGACATCCTAGGCGCGCAGCCTTACGTCTCTTACGCTTAGACCGCTGAAGTCCCCTCTGAATCCGTCCCTCCCCTGCACCAATTTAAGAGGCTAGCGCTGCTCCACCTCTTTCTCTCCTTCCTTTCCGCAGGGTCCTTCTGCCCGCTGGGGTTTCGCCCCTCCTGGATTCCTCTGACGCGGAATCAGACTGCTCTTCCCCCTCCTGCGGGCTTTGGGACCTGGCCCCTCCTCCGGGCTCCCTGTACTTCCGCGCGCCTCTACATTTGAACTAGGCGCGCGCGCCAAACCTCTAACTTTCCTTTTGACAGTTACACTACTCCCTTCACTGCTCCCTCCCCTTCCGGAAGGGCGGCTTGCTCTGACCTCCCTCCTTTCTCTGCTGCCGGAGCTGCTTCCTCTGACACACTGGAAACTCCACCCCTTCGCTGCACTCTGGTGGGGAGGCTGGTCCTGACGCCCAGCTGCCACTTTGGGATCCTCCGCTGGCCCCCTGCTCCTGACACGTCCCCCCTGGGGCTCCCCTGGCCTTAACCACCGGCGCCCCCTTCTGGGAATCCTCTGATTCGCTGGAAAGACTCATGGAATCTCTTGAGTCATTGTCATCCTCTTCCTCGCTGGCTTGGAATTCATCCCCATCGCTCTCCATCTCCTGCCTACCCTGTGCCTCTCTCCCTGAACCCCTGACATGGGTGTTTACAAAGAACTACTTCCAAGCATTCCCAGTAGAGGTTTCAACTTTCCCCCTTTGGTTGGAAAGTTATTTCCCCTCCTTCCCCCAATCTCTGCCATATTGCACACTGCTTGGGCATAATGAGTTCGTTACACAAATGTAGTGGCTCAGCACAAAGTGGCAAACGGGGTTACTTTTCAGCCATAATATCACTAAATTTTAAAAGCGACCTTGCTACGAAAATATTTTCATATGGTTCTTGTTGTTTAGTCGTTTAGTCGTGTCCGACTCTTCGTGACCCATGGACCAGAGCACGCCGGGCACTCCTGTCTTCCACTGCCTCCCGCAGTTTGGTCAAACTCATGCTGGTAGCTTCGAGAACACTGTCCAACCATCTCGTCCTCTGTTGTCCCCTTCTCCTTGTGCCCTCCATCTTTCCCAACATCAGGGTCTTTTCCAGGGAGTCTTCTCTTCTCATGAGGTGGCCAAAGTACTGGAGCCTCAGCTTCAGGATCTGTCCTTCCAGTGAGCACTCAGGGCTGATTTCCTTCAGAATGGATCGGTTTGATCTTCTTGCAGTCCATGGGACTCTCAAGAGTCTCCTCCAGCACCATAATTCAAAATTTCATATGGTAACCATCTTCAAATATCTGAAGGGCTATCACATGGAGATGGAGTAAGCTAGTTTTCAGCTGCTCCAGAAGGTAGGACCCAAACCAATGGATTCAAGTTACAAGAAAGGAGATTCTGACTGAACATTAGGAGGAACTTTCTGGAAAAGACCATATCGGAAGCTAGCAATTTTTAAGCAGAGGTTGGATGGCCATCTGTCACAGATTCAATAGCTGTGATTCCTTCATTTTGGGCGTTGGACCACATGGCCCTTAGAGGGCCCTCCCAGCTCTATAATTATATGATTCTGTGGGTAATCTCTTATTTATTTCAAATATGATATTGATGATGTGTGACTTTCAGTGTTATGCTTTGTGATTTTTAGTGCTGTGCTTTCATTGATGGTGACCAGTATCTCCTATTTATAATGTTTAGATCGTTCGGAGCATCAGCATCTAGCAAAAGGAGCTCACAGAGCCAGGCATCAAAAGGAGTAGACTTTGAATCCGATGAGGTACAAAAATATTTTCTCTTCAGTGTACTTCCTTTAATTCGTATATAAAATATTACTGGACAATGCCATGTATGTGTGTTTTTAAAGTTTCTTTATATGCGTTTAGTAATAAACTTGCTTGTTCCTAACTTTATCTTCAAAACCTGTTCCATTATGTCCATTAGCTTGTCTCTCTGAAAAAGGGTAGTGTTCGTTTATTTATTTCATAAAATTTACATACTGCTTGTAGGAAAAGCTCTCCACGCAGTTTACAGAAAACTGTAAAATAATCAGAAAAAAAATATTTGCAACCGCAATTTAAAATATGCAGAAAGTTAAAACCACAAAAAATTGACTAAGACAAATTAAAATGCCTACAGACTTTCTGAATATCTGGGTAGGCTTGTCTAAATAAGAATGTCTTCAGCAGGTGCCGAAAGGAATATAATAGGTACCTGCCTGATCTCAATAGGCAGGGAGTTCCAAAGTGTCAGTGCTGCCACATTTAAGTCATCAAGTTCCTACAGATGTAGTGCAGGTACTGTTTGGCACTTGTAAAAGTGCCAGTTCTGCCAATCAAAGCAGTCAGTCATTAGGTGATGGCGAGAAAACCCTATTAAAAATGAGAAGCTTAAATTCATATGCTTCAGTTTTGACAGGCGAGCAAATTCCTCCTAATTAATGCCTGTCATGGCTCAAATAACTGTTGTACCCTCTTCCCCAACAACTAGGAAACAGGTTCTTCGAATAAATATTTCGCCGCTGGTTGAACAAGGAGACATATTTCTCCTCCCTAAAGTCATTCTTCCTCAGTGAATGGTTTCAGATAACCATTGCCTCACCTGCTTCCCCACAGAGCTGGCCCATATTTGGCAACTCCCTTGGGTGTCAAAATGTGCTGGGTTTCAGTCACAATCTTGGGAAGAAAACCCCTTTCTGCACTTTTTAGTTCTTGTTTTTCTTGGTGGAATAGGGATTCTAAACAGTGATGGCGGTGCAGTACACTCCTTCAGAAATCTAGTTATTTAGTGCAGTTAACTGATGTGGGACACAGTGGTGTGACAGTCACTGAGGTCTGGGAAGGCCACTTTCCTCTTGCCCAATTGTGGTGACTCACACACTCTTAGGCTGGACTCCCACAGTATGGAGCATGGCAGTGAGCATGGATTTTACAGGCAGCTCTAATAACAGAATAACCTGCTTTGCAACTGAGAGCAGGACCACTGAGTCTGACACGTTGCCTCATACAGGTCATGTGCACTCATGCCAGGAGGAATGCAACTGATAAATTTGAGGAAGTCTGGCAAGGGTTCTTAGAATTATTTTGAAGGCTGATAACAATGAGAAAGAATTGACTGGATGCTCTGGTTGGTTTTGATTGAAGTATATTTGCAGAAAGAACATGGATGTTTTCCCTTGGTCTCCTTGTTGGTCAAACCTCGCAGATCCCTCTACAAAGTGCTGTATCCTAATACTTACATTCCATCTTTCCTTTTATTTTTCGTTTGACTCGGTAGTTTTGTCCAATTTCAAAATGATAACAAATTTTCTGTACTATAGCCAAAACTGTCTGTCACGTTTTTCACATGCTTTTTTGTGTTCTTGTGAAAAAGGTTCAATAAAAAATTAAAATGTACAAAATGAGATTGCTCTCCTTGGAAATGTGGCCTTCTTGATGTCTTAAAATGAAAGTCTCTTATTATTTTACAGGATGATTCTGAGTTATTCAAGAGCACTTCAAGAAGAAGCAGACGATAATTTCAGAGCCCGCTGTATGGAAGGATAATACAGGGGAAAGAAAAAAACCCTCTGGAAATTCTGTAAAGGAATCTTACGATCTATGCAGCTTTTCTCCAATAATTTCACAGTTAATTACATGTTGCCTTGAAATGTTTTGCTTCCTTGATGGGGGAGTAATTGTTACTTATTCTCCATATGTAGTATCACTTAATTCAAATGGCATTTCTAATAGCTGAACCATATTCCTCCCCGCCCTTGTTTAAGATAGAATAACTACTCAAAAAAGATGATGAGGCAGTGGGCCCATTGCCTAGGCCATTGCTGAGGAACAGCCAGTGATTTTTAAAATTCCATTACCTTTTTATATTACAGAGGAATAAATTGAGACCTGTTCTGTAAGTGAATCGACAGTGCTCTTGCTTTCTTTGTTTCTTAAACCTTAAACTTCAGTCATAGAGGGAATGCTGACAGTGTTAAGTATTAAATCCATCTTGGTTGCTTCCTGTAAGCAGGAGGCAGTAAGCAGGGCTTGCCAAGTCCTTGGATATAAAATGTGACTCTCATTCCGAAACTGTTTATAAGCTTAAAAGTACAGTTCAGCATGAAGAATCTCAGAAAGCATAAATAGCTTTAGGGTGTAATGCCTTATTCTGAATGCTTTGCAACACTTTCTTAGCAATTCCACCAGCTGGCTACGTTGAGCTGGTGCTGGTTGGATGCCTGTAATTGTAAGAAAAATTGGCAGGGGTTTAATTGATATGGATAGAAAGTAGTAAATTGAGATGGTACATGGATAAAAGGCCATAGCCCCATCTGGCGTTCCTTATTTTTCAGTTTTTCCTCTGTTTTGTATCTGCCCAAATTATGGCCATTGTTTCATTGACTTCAGAAACATCAGTCCGAAAGAAGGGTACCTGAAGATAATTTCCTACATAAAGAGCCGTGTTGGATTTGGTAAATGTTTGAGTGGAGCGGTATATTTTTACATGGAAAGTCCATTGGCAACAACGATGATATTTTTATAGACATTTCAACTGTCTTAGAAAAACACATAGGAGAACAAATAATGTCATTTATGTGTTATGGAACTGTTAAATACTGGGGTTTTCTTAAAATTCTATATTTTTCCTTCTCATATTATCAAGATTTTGGGTGGGTTCATAATGCCTCCTTAGAATACTTCTGAATTTTGGTTTGGTCTTATCAAACATAGAAGCAGAAAAGAGGCTCTTGATTATACTGCAATAAGGAGAAAGGTACAGTGAATAGTGTCTGCATTGAAGTACTTATTTTCTTTGATTTCTCTGTGGAGTGCCTTCTGACCTGAAGCCCCAGAAACCTCCCCATGCTTCATCCACAACCTGTTTCCGTCTCCTTGTTGGTCAAACCTACCAGCTAGAATAGAGATGTGTTTCAGAAACTATTATTCTGTATACAGCCATTTTGCAAATAAATTTTAAAAAAGCAAGGTGGGTTTAACTTTAATTGCCTATTACCCATTTTTTATAATTGTGATTACCCTGCCTGAGATAAAATAAACGCAGTATGTACAGTTAATACTGAAATGGCAGAAGAAAAAAGCTGCAGATACAAACCCACCGTTGGGGGTGGAGACTGGAAGCCTTGTGAACCATGAACGGAGTGCTCCCCAAACAAGCAGAAGACCAAGAAACAATATTTACAACCAGTAGCGAAGCTGCATGCCCCGCTACCGGGGGCGGAGAGCAGGCGGGGGGAGTGGCTGGGCCCCCCCGGGGGCATGCTATGCCGCCCGCGAGGGAATGGGGGGGCATGATGAGCTGCCTGTGGGGCGTGGCGCCTGGTGCGGGGGGGGAGAGATGCTCGGAGCATGTCCGGGGGGCTGCCGCGATGGCACCCTACCGGAATAGTGGTGCCGGGGACGGTCCACTCCCTTTGTTCCTCCGCCAGTGTTTAAAACATATCCGCAGCAGGCTATATTTATCAGGATCAAGTACAGTGGTACCTCGGGTTAAGTACTTAATTCGTTCCGGAGGTCCATTCTTAACCTAAAACTGTTCTTAACCTGAAGCACCACTTTAGCTAATGGGGCCTCCCGCTGCCGCCACCGCACAATTTCTGTTCTCATCCTGAAGCAAAGTTCTTAACCCGAGGTACCGTTTCTGGGTTAGCGGAATCTGTAACCTGAAGCATCAGTAACCTTCATTAATAACCAGAACAAAATCAAATTCTGGAAAAGAAACTAGAAGAATTCACAAGGCTATATAGGAAAACAGGTTCGACAAAAATTGGGCAGAAAATAGAGAAAAAATGCACACAATTAAATTTTCCCGGTACTTGAAAGTGATAAAAGCGGTGGATTTATTAAGTCTACCTGCATACCCTCCCTACTAAAGTATGGTGCTCCCCACTTTATGCGATTTCACTTATGCATGAGGGCTGCCAGAACAAAACCCCCACAAAAGTTGGGGGGCGCCTCTACTATACGTACAATTTTATTTAATGAAATTATGAACAATGCCAAAACAGAAGTCAAATATTGTAAGTATGGTAACAAAATTTGGGAAGAAGGTTTTATTGAAATCTCAGCCATAATTGGATGGGGGGTGGGATCAGAAAAAAAGCTTATTTGACTCTATTAAATATATTTACAGGGGGAAATTTGGATAGTTTACATTAAAACTTGGTGGGCCACTTTGGTGGACATAGAAACCTTACCCACAAGCTGAAATCACGACTTGCAGTTAAGTAGCCTTGTCGGTGCTTTTCCATTATCCTTGCAGTAGGAAAAATTTAATTTCTCACTATTTGCAAAAGAACTTCAATCCTTTCACGTAACCAAGAAGGATGGATAGTGAAGCATTTTCTTTCCCCGAGCAATGAATATTTACTGTCCTCTGTTGCCTAGCAGCAAATGGCTCTATAAGAATCATCATCTTTCTGCTTTGACTGCTAGCTGTGATTTTGAAAAGGTGTTTTGCCCCCAGAGATGAAAGCCTGTGGTCAACGCATGTCAGTTGTGTGTGTTTATTTAGCAGTCCTAAATAAAGCTGCTAAGTTATTAAAAACCCAACATTGGTTATGAATAAAAATTAAATACATTGCTGAAAATATATTTTCTCTTAAATATATTTTCAACAATGTATTTCATAGTGAAATGTATTTCAGAGGGAAGAATGTGAGAATGTATTTTTAACAACATAATTTTGTAGAGAAATCTATTCTCTCACATTTTTCTATTTAAACATGGCCACATTGTAATGGGGCATCCCAGTTGCAAAGATTTTAATAACAAGGCAGCTCACATTTACATATGATAGGGTCATCTGAATGTGTGTTAAGGTATATTTGTCAGGATCCAAGGGACTATATTAGCGGCGTGCAAGAGCTTGCATGTCTCTGTTAGATATCACCAGGGGGCACCACACACCCAGTTTGAAAAGTGGTGTTTATGGGCCATGTGAGGTTGCTGCTCTAGAAACATATGACCAACTCATTGGACATCCAGAAATGATGGCATCCTGGCAATTTCTCAGCACCATGCACAGGTATGTATTAGAAGCTGCCCTATACGGAGTCAGATCGTTGATTTATTTAGCTAGGTATCGTCCACCCTAACTGGCAACAGCTCTCCAGGGTTTCAGACCAGAAGTCTTCTCCAGCCCTACCTGGAGATCTCTGGGATGGAACCAGAGACCTTTTTCATGGAAGGCAGATGGTCTACCACCCAACTAGAGTCCTTCCCCAGCATATTTTTGCCGATAGCTTATGAAGACTATTGTCCACAGCCCAAGGTCCATATATTTGCAAGGAAATCGAAAGCAATGGAGGGATGCACCTTAAATGGAAAAGCGTCAGTCAGAATGATGGGAATTAACTTTAATTGTGTTTATCTTAGGACAACTACTTTATCCTCAAAGTGCTACCTCTTTAGGGGGGTGGGCGGAGAAAGCAATATTGGAGCAATCATAGTTGGGAGTGTTTTTCACAAATGCCTCATCAGTACCCTAGGTATAAACCATGCCATGTGGCTCCTGAAGAATGCTACCAAAGTGTTTGCATGTGTTCATATTTTACCTTTTCAGCTAGATAGATAACGGTGAAAGATTGTGGGGTTCTGCACAAGGCAGAAACTAGCCAACAATTTACTTGCATAGAAGATACTTTTCAATTGGACCACCTTTCTGAACACAGCACCGCGGACACTGACCAAACTAGGAGTTACTGCTGTGACATAAGAAGCCAGCATTGCAGTAATTGGTGGATTATTTCCACCCCCCCCCCCGTTCCTATTTTTCAGAAAGAGTGGAAGCAGAAAATTGAACCCAGGGGGGAGTGTGTGCAGACGAAACAGGCGCTTCGGAATAGGAACAATACTGTAAACCAATAGGCTGAGTTCTTAGTCAGCTTTCTATCGGGTAATGTGCTGAGAAACTCTTGAGTGCCTTGATTACGGGAGAGACTTGCAAGGACACAGCAGTTACCACTGATATTTTGCCAATAGATTTCTGCACCTTGTTCGCAGTCCTAAAGACTGCCTCCTAACAAAAGCTGAGCATGCCTGGTTCTATGTCCTATCGATTGAGCACATAGAGGGAGCTGCTTTGGAAGACGGACGTTGATCCTTTCCAGCCCCATGGGAACGATTACTTGCTATATGTGGCTTTACCTCACTCACTTTGCCAACTCCCTCGTGAGATCCGAAAAGTTTGCAGTCAATGGAAGCTTGGGGGCATTATTTGAAGTACCGAACACCTCTCACTTTTTATCTTGGACAAACTATACACTTGCTGACTGGCAGAGCTTTCTGGAAGGGAAAAGATACGGGTCAGGTTCCCAAAACCTTCTTGTGAAAATCCTCCTCGTCGTGGCGTATTCCGTTATCATAGTGTTCTCCCTCTTCGGCAATGCCTTGGTGTGTCACGTCATGGTCAAAAACAAACGGATGCATTTTGCCACCAGTCTGTTCATTGTGAATCTTGCTGTGGCAGACTTGATGATCACCTTTCTCAACACTCCCTTTACTTTGGTAAGAGCATGGGGATAATGTTTATATTTATTGAGATTATTGTTTAAATAGCATAATACTTGCATGTGGATTTAGCTCCCTTGTGTCTGCTAAAATTATTAGGGGGGCAGAGGGCAGGAGCAGCACAGTTTATTTAAAACTAGTAATTGATAGTGATTGCCTGCAGAATGGTTGTTCTGTGTTTGCGTGTGTTTAAGAAGAGAGCTGTGATATCCTAGCTACTTATACTAAGCTAGTAATGTGTTCAAGGTATCGTTGTACTTTTTAAAAGCACCTCAAAGATCCATCAGTAAAAGTCTCTTGCACAAGCTCTTGCAAACCGAAAGGGGATGCAGAGTGTTGGGTGGAAATTACTATCAATGTATGCATAGTTCTTTGATCCATTAGGAAAAGCACTGCAACAAGGATTTATTGTGTTATCTATGGAGGCAACAGGCATATATTCATAACAAATGGGATTCGTTGGCAGCTAAGTTGTTTCCCCATTTGCAAGAAAGCTAGCCAAATGCATTGCTCTCTGCAATCAGATCTTAATAGCTAAATTAGTTAGCATCTGCTGGATGCATCTTCACGTAGCTCAATCAGCTCTCAGGGCCCTGAAGCCTTGATTGTGCTCTGCAGAGTGTACTTCACAATTTCTATAGCACTAGGGAGCCACAATAGCTTGGATTGTGCGACTGGTGGTCATCTTCCTGGCACAGATTCAGCTAGATTCCCTTATCTCTGTTATGCCTGTAGACAGACAAACCAAACCAAAGGCAATAGAACAACCCACAGCAAAGTCTCTGTCAAACAGAAACCAGAGTGATTTATTGGATGCAGAGCTTTGCTTCTAGTAAGTGACGAATTATTGTAATAAGTACCTGCATATTGTAACAAGTATCTGCATAGTATCATTATCAAATTTGTTACTTGCTTTATCTTGCCCAAGGCAACCCAAAGCAACTTACAACCAAACAAAGAAACATTCAAAACATCCCACCCACTTGTGAAAGACCATAGATAAAGGCCTGGCTATAGAGGGAAGTTTTCATCCGGTACCTAAAGAAATGTAACAAAGGTGCCAGGCAAGCATCCCTGGGGAGAGCATTCCTCAAACAGGGAGCCACCACAGAAAAGGCCCTGTCCTATTGCTGCCCTCTGGACCTCTTGTGGAGGGTCTGGGGCAGTACATTTGGGGAGAGTTGGTCCTAGAGGTATTGCAGTCCTGAGGTATTTTCATTTTCAAGCCCTCTGGCATTTTCAAGTGTTTAAAGCAGATCACATGCATTAGATAAAGGTAAAGGTACCCCTGCCCGTACGGGCCAGTCTTGACAGACTCTAGGGTTGTGCGCTCATCTCACTCTATAGACAGCCAGCGCTGTCCGCAGACACTTCCGGGTCACATGGCCAGCATGACAAGCTGCATCTGGCGAGCCAGCGCACCACACGGAACGCCATTTACCTTCCCGCTGGTAAGCGGTCCCTATTTATCTACTTGCACCCGGGGGTGCTTTCGAACTGCTAGGTTGGCAGGCGCTGGGACCGAACGACGGGAGCACACCCTGCCGCGGGGATTCGAACCGCCGACCATGCGATCGGCAAATCCTAGGCGCTGAGGTTTTACCCACAGCGCCACCTGCGTCCCACATCACATGCATTATTTTACTGTAATTCCTGCAGAAATCCTGCAAGATAGGAAAGTGCTACTTTCTCCATCTTGCAGATGATGGGCTGATAGAGATGGGGGAGGGTTTCAATTCAGTTCACATTTAGAGTCCAGTCTTTCACACTATCCAAAACACTATGTGAACACAAGTTATCCCTAGAAATTCACACTTCTATTTATTTTGCAATGTGGTTTTCCAACCAAGCAATGTTTTATTATCATTATTATTATTATTATTATTATTATTATTGCATACATTCAGGGACAGTGTACATAAAAATGAATATATCAGTGAAAATAATGTAAACATTGGGAAATTACTTGCAGAAATGTGCACATTAATAAAAAGCTGCATAGAACAATGAGCCAGGGGAAGTTTGCATTAAAACACTGATGAATTTTCATGAGTTTTATTGGGGTGGGGTGGGGTGGGGGTGGAGAATCGCAACAGAAATGTGATGAACTGAATTTAAGGTTGGGAAAATGAGAAACAAGATTGACAGAATATTTTCTCCTTAGCTGAGCAGGAGTGGCTTGCTCAGTCAGGTCTCAGAAATACTGTGAAGAATAGCAAGTTAAAAGACAGTTCTTCTGAACTGTCTGGGGTGTGTGTGTGTGTGTGTGTGTGTGTGTGTGTGTGTGTGAGAGAGAGAGAGAGAGAGAGAGAGAGAGAGAGAGAGAGAGAGAGAGAGAATCCATTTGTGCTGGAAATAGAAGTAAGTCCTATCAAGGAGGATATTGGCCGACCACAACCCCAAGCCCTAGTGGGATTGTAAAAAGTGAAAATTGTCTTGTTCCTGCCAGGCTCGCTTTGTGAACAGTACATGGATATTTGGGAAAGAGATGTGCCACATCAGTCGATTTGCCCAGTACTGTTCCCTTCATGTCTCTGCCTTGACCCTGACAGCCATTGCCATAGACAGACGCCAGGTGAGGAACTTTTTATTCCAAATGGCAATCAAGAACATTTGGTGCATGCTTTATTTTACTTCTAAAAGCCTTTTTAAGGGGATAGCCAGCTGGCAGGCCTCACCCAATATCCTGCAACATCTCCCACGAGGAATATTAACCCCTTTTCTTGGTGACAAAACCTCCTTCCAGAGCGTTGCTATTTTGCAGGTGGGATTTAACTGCATATAGGCAAAGTTGGGTTGCGCAATTAAAGTGAATTTTGTGCTTGAAGAAGCCCTCCTTTCCCCACCCCTGCACCAAATCAGACCTTTTCCCCATAAGGGAAGTGATGGGGAAATTCACTGAAAAGTGTAGGAGATAAATTTTGTGATGTGTCATATAGTCTCCCCTCAGACAAACAAAAACGAATGCTCAATATGTAGCAGCAGCAGATGACATAGAATGCTCCTGCAAACTTTACATTTCTTAAATAAAGCTTTTTCCCCCAACATGCTCTGCAAACAGGTGATACTGCATCCTCTGAAGCCTCGGATTTCGACTGCAAAGGGTCTTGTTTGCATCTCCATCATCTGGCTAATGGCCACATGCTTCTCTCTCCCACATGCCATCTACCAGAAATTATTCACTTTTGAATACAGGTAAGGGGGACTTTTTGGCAGGGCAGTCGTGGTGTGCTGGTCCCGGGGGGTTACCGTGCTGCGTGGTCCAAGTCCAGTCCGAGGTCGAGGTATGGAGGCTGTCCATCAAGGCTGAAGCGGGGTCCAAGGCAAGGAGTCGGGTGAGGTCAGGAACTCTGGCAGAAGAGCAGGACAGGGTGCAGGCAGGAACAGGTTGCCAACAATGTTGCTCCTGCAACCTGGGACTGGGCTGGCTGGCTTTTATCTCCTCTGAGGCATAGGGCGGCCCCGGTCCACAGGTGACTCGCCTCTCCTGGCCTGGAGACGAGCACTCCTCCTGCGGGAACTTAGTTCCCTCCGCCTATCAGCCCTGAGCCTCTGCAGCTCAGGAGAGGCTGGAGGGTTACTGGACCCAAAGGCAACCTCACCTTCCCCTGACGGGGCTGAGAGTGGAGCACCTGCAGGCAATGGGTCCTCTATCACCTCCGGAGCCAGAGCTGATTCAGCTGGTCTCTGCTCCTGAGGATCCGGCACAGGTGAGGGCCCTTCAGGTTCAAGCCCCAACCCCGGCTCAGCTGGTCCTAGAGGCGGGGACTCCTGTGCAGGCTGAGATTCCTCAGGTTCAGCCTCTGAATCCGATTCCCAGGCCATCACACTTGGGCTTCTCTCAGGTAATGGCATCCTTGAGTCAGTGGCGGACTTGGGTATGATGGTGCCGTATGTAAGAACAACATTTGGAACCCACCCCTTGTTGGGATACTGCCGGGAGACGGGGGCATCAGGCAGGCCCCCAGCTGGCTCCAGCCACTGGCCAGCAGCCAGGCGAAACTCCGGTTCTTGGTATAGCATCAATCAGTGACACAAGCCTCAGATACCCTTAGAGACTTGGCACGCTCATATCAGCAGAGTGAGTAACTTCTCACAACAGAAGAGGCGGACAGAGACATGTGTAAGCATTATTTACAGGTGTTTATTCAGCATAGTTCAGGAGCAAAGGAAAAAACATGTCTGCTTCCCTTTGTGTCCAAGCACACAGCAGCAAAGCAAACGCAACATAGAACGGAAGTTCCCAGCAGACTGTGCTGGAAGTAAACAGGCATGTGACACACAACAGTCGTGCCCGTTCCCTTTTAAGGTGGAACGGAACTATATCCTAACACCCCTGTCCTTTTGCTTCCTTCCCAAAGATGGGTGAGGAGGGGCACAACTTTGGGAAGGAGGCACGCGGGAAGGAGGCAGGGTCCTAGAGCCCTCTCACCTCTTTCCCAAAGCTGGGAAAGCACTAACTCGAATTTGGGAAGGAGGTGGGAGGACTCTAGAACCCTGTCAGAGTCCTCATGTCTTCTTCCCAAAGTCCATTGGGGGTGGGGAACATTCTACAGACAGAGGACCACATTCCCAGCTGGGCAGTCTTTCTGGGGCCACATGCTGGTGGTGGGTGGAGCCAGAGACAAAAGTGGGTGGAGCAGAAAAATGTAATGTTTTTACTGTTGTGCTAGTTCCTGTACAGGGGGACGCAGGTGGCGCTGTGGGTTAAACCACAGAGCCTAGGACTTGCCCATCAGAAGGTCGGTGGTTCGAATCCCCGCGACGGGGTGAGCTCCCATTGCTTGGTCCCTGCTCCTGCCAACCTAGCAGTTCGAAAGCACGTCAAAGTGCAAGTAGATAAATAGGTACTGCTCCGGCAGGAAGGTAAACGGCGTTTCCGAGCGCTGCTCTGGTTCGCCAGAAGCGGCTTAGTCATGCTGGCCACATGACCCGGAAGCTGTACACCGGCTCCCTCGGCCAATAAAGCGAGATGAGCGCCGCAACCCCAGAGTCGGCCACGACTGGACCTAATGGTCAGGGGTCCCTTTACCTTTACTTTAGTTCCTGTACACACCCCTCTATCCTTAGCAAGCAAGGGATGCTCTTTCCATTCCAGGACACATCCTAGCTAGGCAAAAACATTCCAGGTCTGTATGAAACAAGGCCAGTGAGGGTAGTAGGCTTGGAGAGGGTGTGTGAGGATGAGTCCCAAGGGCCAGATAGAGAGGCCGGGAAGCTGGGCCTGCGGTTCCCCACTCCTGATCCAGAAGATTCTATGTTGAGATTAATGACCCTCAGGGGTCAAACTCCACAATTCTATGATTCTAAGTGAGGGCTACCCAAAAATACCCCAGGAGCCAGTTTATAGTGCCGTCAATGGGACGCTGGTGGCTCTGTGGTCTAAACCACTGAGCCTTATGGGCTTGCCAATTGGAAGGTTGGTGGTTCGAATCCCTGCAGTGCAGTGAGCTCCCATTGCTCTGTCCCAGCTCTTGCCAACCTAGCAGTTCAAAAGCACGCCAGTGCAAGTAGATAAGTAGGTACCGCTGTGGCGGGAAGATAAAGAGCATTTCTGTGCTCTCTGGTTTCCATCATGGCGTCCCATTGTGCCAGAAGCGGTTTAGTCATGCTGGCTACATGACTCGGAAAGCTGTGGACAAACGCTGGCTCCCTCAGCCTGAAAGCGAGATGAGCACCGCAACCCCATAGTCGCCTTTGACTGGACTTAACTGTCCAGGGGTCTTTTTTTTTAAAGTGCCATCTGATGAACAACCTAGTGTTTCCTCACTGCTGAAGCCAAGCCAGACGCAATAGAGAACCTCTAGCGGTCCCCTGGCGCAGCATGTTAACGGAATATCTACCCTTGATTTGCAGGGAGGAGATCACCCGATCCTTGTGCCTCCCCAATTTTCCCGAGCCAGCTGATTTGTTCTGGAAGTACCTGGACTTGACAACTTTCGTTCTGCTCTACGTGCTGCCCCTTCTCATTATCTCCATCACCTACGTGACCATCGCCAAGAAGCTCTGGTTCCGCACTGCCATCGGGGTCGTGATGGTCGAACAGTACTTTGCCCTCCAGAGGAAGAAGATTATGACCATTAAGATGCTGATGCTGGTGGTGGTGATCTTCGCTGTCTGCTGGTTCCCTTTGAACTGCTACGTCCTCCTCCTCTCCAGCCAAGTCATCCACACCAACAACGGCCTGTATTTTGCTTTCCACTGGCTGGCCACAAGCAGCACCTGTTACAACCCCTTTATTTACTGCTGGCTCAATGAGAATTTCAGGGCAGAGCTGAAGACCTTTCTTAAGGTCTGCCGGAAATCCCCAGATCCAAGGGAGCAAAGGCTTCCGTCTCCTGCTGGTCTGCCGTGCAGGGCAGCCTGGCCACAGAGAGATCACCGCAAGGGTTTACAGGTCTCCCTTGACCTCCCGTCCACCTCCAATTTTCAGCTGAGAAAGAATGACATCACCGCTGTGCAGCCTATAGTTGCTGTGACTTGAGCATTGAAGCAGACTAATTGGGTGGTCTATGGCAGCACTGCAAGGAGGCCTTCTCCACGTCTGATGGACTGGGCAACTGCGCAAAAAGCTCTGCCTTGTCCTTTAGTGTGTGTGGCTTTGCTCACTCGCTTGAGTCTTTCGAAGCTCTGAAGAACCATGTGTTTGCTCCCGTGTTGTGCTCCTGTGAGATTCAGTGATATTGCAATGGATGGAGATTGCAATGGCAAGAGGTTGATGTCAAGGATATTCCTTTGGGGCAGAGAGTTAGCCCTTCTAAATCCTCCCAGCTCCATGGTTCTGGGTCCACCACACTGCCAATGATGGGCAGGAACCAATCTGGCAGCTGCTAATGACATCAAGGCTAGGTTTTCACATGTGATGGAGGGGTTGGCATTATTCTCTAAAGAGATAAGAGCCAACTAGGGGTCAGGAGCCAAGTTTTGTTGAGTGATACTTGACATTAAAGAAAGCATCCCGGACTAAGATTGGTTAACCACTTTGTGTTCCCATCACACACGCAGGAACGAGTCTCAGTGCCCACATTTTATCCAGCAATAGGCAGACATAGACTTTGCTGTTTGGGAAAGGCATCTACAACAATTTTGAGAGTGGCATCCCGAATCCTGGCCAAAATAGATTTTAGGGGACGCTTTGTCCAGAGACTTATCTCAGAGTGTTTCACCCCTGAAGAAAGCCTTTATTTGCCTTTGCAGTTGAGTTAAGCAACACAATAACCTTAAACCCACTTCAAGGCTGAGAAACTAAATGGAGAAAATGAAGCGAGAACACAATTCAGTTGACATGTATTTTAGTTGCAATGGCTCTTGTTGATTAGTTGTTGTCAGTGCTACTTTCTGAGCAAAGTCATGGAGTCTGCAGAATAGGCTTCTTGCTGTGACTAAATTATTTTTTGCAATGACTAAGCATCGTTCAGCCTTTGTTTTCCAATGTGTGATGGTGTGACATTTGAAAATAATCACCAGGGTTTTAATGCATTTTTTAGCCCTAGTTTGTTACGCTAGGGTTCCTGTAAAAGCTTGCTTTATGAAACAGCAAACCAACTGCAAGAAAGCTCGTTCTGTGACTAAATAATAAAGACTATTTCTGTTACCAGCTGCCTGGGTCCTCTGATTCCATCATACTACACGTGGGTCTCCAGATGTTGCTCTACTAGAACCCCCATGATCTCTGGCCGTCAGCTGAGCTGGCTGGCAATGATGGGAGTTGTAGTCCAACATTATCTGTGGGCCCAAACTTGAAGAATTCTGGAGTAAATCATTAGTGCAGCTGGATAAGCATAGCTCATACATGAACTATGCTGCTATAGATGGAGGTAATAGGACATTAAAAAACAACAATTAGCACATCGCAATGTTCAAGAGCAGTGATGTGAGCAGGACAGGGCTTTAGGACAGAAGGGCCTGAAATTCAGCAGGGTTGCATACCCTCCCAAGTGTCCCGATTTTTCAGGGACAGTCCCAGAATTACAGAAGCCGTCCTGGTTTCTGATTTAATCCCGGAATGTCCCAGTTTTCCTTTCCCCTCCCCTTTGGAGTGTGTGTGTGTAGGTGCAAAAACTGAGTACTGTTTATGCTGAAAATAAAATACTTGCACCGAATTTGAATTGTTTTTTCCGAAATACTTTATTGTCACTTGTACAACTTGTATACAGTGAGATTACACGAGCACCCCCCCACTCAGCTCTCTTAGTCTTAATTCCCCTCGTCTACTGACACACGCACACCAAACCTGAAAGTCAGTTGCCCTGTTGTTATCTTATCATTCAGCAGCCTAACAGCCCACGGATGGAAGCTGTTCTTTACCCTGTTGGTGTGACTAATCCTGCTTCCATATCTTCTGCCCGAGGGCAGGAGATCAAGAAAGTGCCAGCCAGGGTGTGAATCATGCCTGAGAATTTTCCTCACTCTCCTGAGGCAATGTTCTTCCGCTATTTCATCCAGCGGATTCACGGGACAGCCCATAATATCTTGTGAAGGAATGAAGGCAATGGTGATGAATTGGGAGTGGGGAGACCTGGTAAATGTATTATATTTCTATTTAAATGATAGCCATCATTTCTAGATTTGCATGCCCACACTCTCTGTAGCTCAGTGGTAGAGAGCAAAAGGTCCCGGGTACAATCGCTCATCTCCAGGCAGGACTTGTCTGAAAAGTCCCTTGTATAAATACTTGGCGGGTCTCTGTCAGTCAGAATAGACAATGCTGAGCTAAATGAGACCGTGGTTTGACTTGGGATAAAGGTAAAGTAAAGGTAAAGGGACCCCTGACCGTGGGTCCAAGGTAGCTTCCTATAAATTGGTACAAGTGAATTATATGCAGGTCTGCATATTTTTTGATAAGCATTTTAATCTCTCCCCTCTACCCTGTCTCTTTCTGTCTTTCTCTGTACAGAGAAAGAGAGAGATGGACGGATGGCTTTTAATCATGATGGATATATGTTACTGCCAGGATCAGGCAGATTGCACCTGAGTTCTTAAGCATCTCAGACTAGGACCTGGGAGACCAGGGGTCCTCCCTCCACACTCATCCATGAAGCTCACTGAGTGGCCTTGGGTCACTCACTTCCTCTCAGCCTAACCTACCTCACAGGGTTGTTGTGACGATTAAATGAGGAGAGGAAGAACCATACACGCCACCTTGAGTTCCCTGGAGGAAAATGTGGGATATAAATGCAATAAATAAATTAATACATATATATAAAAGGTAAAGGGACCCCTGACCATTAGGTCCAGTCGTGGCCGACACTGAGGTCGCAGCGCTCATGCGCCTTCTGGTGGTCCGTCGGCTGTGAGAAGCTCAGCGTCATGTGGAACCAGGCAGAGCGGACTTCTGGCAGTGCCAGCGCAGCGCACTGTGGAACGCCGTCACCATCAGATGTCAGAGAGATACAACTAATCTACCTGACATTTAGAAGATATTTGAGGGCAGCCCTGTTCAGGGAAGTTTTTAATGTGTGACATTTTAATGTATTTTTAATCTTTGTTGGAAACAGCCCAGAGTGGCTGGGGAAACCCAGCCAGATGCGCCAGGTACATATATATATATATATATATATATATATATTTATGTGTGTGTGTGTGTGTGTCGTGTCTGCTGTATCATGATCCCATGGACCAGGCATGCAATGCTGTTGTGCTCAGGTCCTGCTTACACACTGCCCATGGGCATCTGACTGACCAATGTGAGAACAGGACATTGGATTAGATGGGCCTTTGTTCCTATCCGGCAAGGCGCTTATGCTCAAAAAATGAGAGTTGGACAAATGGCCTTGGTATAATTCGTTCCAATCAAATGTTAGGGCCTATGTGATGCTATTTCTGCACCCAGCTGTCTTGAAGGATAGTGGATCTGTCACTTGGCCCCAAACTCCCACTCTGAAGTATAATAATAATAATAATAATAATAATAATAATAATAATAATAATAATAATAATAATAATAATAATTTATTATTTATACCCCGCCCATCTGGCTGAGTTTCCCGGCAACTCTGGGCGCCTCCCAATCGAGTGTTAAAAACAATACAGCATTAAATATTAAAAACTTCCCTAAACAGGGCTGCCTTCAGATGTCTTTTGAAGATAGGATAGCTGCTTATTTCCTTCACATCTGAAGGGAGGGCATTCCACAGGGCGGGCGCCACTACCGAGAAGGCCCTCTGTCTGGTTCCCTGTAACGTCACTTCTCGCAATGAGGGAACCGCCAGAAGGCCCTCGGCGCTGGACCTCAGTGTCTGGGCTGAACGATGGGGGTGTAGATGCTCCTTCAGGTATACAGGACCGAGGCCGTTTAGGGCTTTATAGTATAGTTCCAAGCTTTAGTTTGGTAGTTAACCTGTAGGAGAGAGAGAATGGGCATGCCATATGGTAGAATGTGATAGTATACTATTTCTGTAATAAAGCCCAACGAGCTGATTTGCATGTGGGTGGAGCTATAGTATGTGTTTATACCCATCTTACGCCAGGCTGGAATCATCAGACAAAAGACACTTTGTAGACATAAATAAATGTGCAAACTCAGGCCACAACAACTGTTTTCTTGGAAAACTGCATCTTTTCCCCCACAAGAAGAAAAACAAAAAGTTGGCGTGTGTTGTGATTTTGGGCAGGCAGGTGACAGGAAGCGGAAGGAGGAAGCAACCCTTCTCCTGCCTCTGAAACTGTCAGCCTGTCAGTTGTGGTTTTCAACTTAAAAATAACTAAACAAAATGACGGAGAAAAGATTCAAATGGATGTGTGATTCAGCCAGTGGGAAGAAGGTGCAAAAGGAGAAGATTCTTCCCAAATATTCTGCCGTGGTATGAAAATAAAAATAAAAACAAAAACCACTCAATTCCTTCCCACGCAGGGACCTAAGTAAATGTGACCGTCATAGAATTACTTCCAAACCACATCCTCTTTGCAAGTCCCACAGTTGCAATCATACACCCTATAATTGCTCTTGAGTGAAAGCGTTCTAAGTGAACAGAGGCAGAAGCTGAAAAGTTTCTTTTCAAATTGCGTGGGAGCTATCCTCATCTAGCCAAGACTCCTGATAACCCGTGTGGAAGGGGAACACTGGTATTAGGCACATTTACATGTCCACCTTTGGAAAAGAAAGCAAGAACCCTGCCCCCCCCAAATTAACCCCACCATTCATTGTTGTTGTTGTTTAGTCGTTTAGTTGTGTCCGACTCTTCATGACCCCATGGACCAGAGCACGCCAGGCACTCCTGTCTTCCACTGCTTCCCGCAGTTTGGTCAAACTCATGCTGGTAGCTTCGAGAACACTGTCCAACCATCTCATCCTCTGTCGTCCCCTTCTCCTTGTGCCCTCCATCTTTCCCAACATCAGGGTCTTTTCCAGGGAGTCTTCTCTTCTCATGAGATGGCCAAAGTATTGGAGCCTCAGCTTCACGATCTGTCCTTCCAGTGAGCACTCAGGGCTGATATCCTTCAGAATGGATCGGTTTGATCTTCTTGCAGTCCATGGGACTCTCAAGAGTCTCCTCCAGCACCAGAATTCAAAAGCATCAATTCTTCGGCGATCAGCTTTCTTTATGGTCCAGCTCTCACTTCCATACATCACTACTGGGAAACCATAGCTTTAACAATAGCAATTCCCAATCAGTTGACTCTCAATCCACTCAACCCCACCCCCCCGTGAGTCAAGTAACCCCCTAATATTTTTCTCTATCTCCTGGATAATCAGACATGCACACACAAATGTGAGGCCCTCACGGGTCCCTTCCAACTCTACAATTCTGTAATTTTGATTCTAGAAGCAGCTTCAGTTTTGGGGAAGAGGATGGAAAGACATGCACAAAGGTTGACTCTTTCAAACCGCTGGCATTTGAGGGTACCCTGGTGAAATCTGTTGGCAGTTCAGTCAATTTACTTCAATTAATCACAACAGCCATGATGTTTAAGTCTGTTCTTACTTGGCCGAAACAACAGTAACCACTGGGGTACCCACAAAAGCGGTCACAGGCCTATAAATGACAGACCCATCCCTTCGCCTTGTCTGTAGAAATTAAAGTCACATCGCGAGCAGAATTGAAATCGGTTAACTAAGCAACGGCCTTATTGGACCAAGCAGAAAGTAACAAGAAAAGCAATGACAAACCTAGACAGCATCTTAAAAAGCAGAGACATCACCTTCCCAACAAAGGCTCATATAGTTAAAGCTATGCTTTTCGCAGTAGTGTTGTATGTAAGTGAGAGCTGGACCATAAAGAAGGCTGGTCGCCTTAGAATTGATGCTTTTGAATTATGGTGCTGGAGGAGACTCTTGAGAGTCCCATGGACTGCAAGAAGATCAAACCTATCTATTCTTAAGGAAATTAGCCCTGAGTGCTCACAGATCCTGAAGCTGAGGCTCCAATACTTTGGCCACCTCATGAGAAGAGAAGATTCCCTGGAAAAGACCCTGATGTTGGGAAAGATGGAGGGCACAAGGAGAAGGGGACGACAGAGGACAAGATGGTTGGACAGTGTTCTCGAGGCTACCAGCATGAGTTTGACCAAACTGCGGGAAGCAGTGGAAGACAGGAGTGCCTGGAATGCTCTGGTCCATGGGGTCACGAAGAGTCGGACACGACTAAACGACTAAACAACAATAGAAAGTAACAGTCCAGACAAAAGTGAAGCTTCATGGCCACAGACCCAACAGCAAATTACTTCACAAGTCTTGCAAAAGACCTCTTGGCTCCTTTTCAACAACCCACTCTCCCAAGCTTGTTCTCCGCTGTCCCAGAGGGCAGGACCCGAATAAACAGATTTGAATGACAAGAAAGGAGAATTCAGATAAAGACCAGGAAGAACTGTTTGAGAGTGGAACAGACTCCCTCGGAAGCTGGTGGACTTTTCTTCCTTGGAGGTTTTCAAGCTGAGATTGAATGGCCATCTGTCATGGATGCTTGCGCTGAGATTCCTGCATTGCAGGGGGTTGGACTAGATAACCACTGGGGTACTTTTCTACTCCACACTTCTATGATTTATCAGCCTGTGTAGACCAGCTCTGAATCTTGATTACACCTGCCAAGGATTAGCACCTGGCTTTGCAGGAGTCTTCTGTGGATGGTCATTTGATCCTTAGTTGTCTTTGGCAGATTGCTTGTGTTGAGAGCCAGAAATAGCCATGTTTTATGTGAATACACAGCATTCTCAGGGCTGTAATCACCCTCATTTTCATTATTTTCCTTCCTGTGTTCAGTATGCACGATTCCACCCCACCCACCGCGCACCTTCTCTGTGCCTGCAGGATGTCAGTTTCCCCCCACCTCTGGCATCATAGGAAAGGAAAAGAACAATTTAGTTAATGCTGCATAATTAATTTCCTAGCGGCAGATGCAGAATTTGCAACGACTACAAAAGACACAATTTGAAGATCAGTGGCTTAATATAGCCTATTCCTTTTATACTTTAAAATCTACAAAGAGCTGCATTATTTTCCTGTGGTTTTGGCACATTCAATGCAAGAAGAGCTACTGTGAACTGCCTAAACAATGTACAGCTCTGGCCCCAAAATGGAAAACGAGCGAGGTCCCAACTAAAGCAGCATGGCAACTTAAGTTGACAGAATATGCACAACTCGAAGACTTAACATATAGAATAAGAGAACAAGAAGAACATATGTTTAAAAAAGATTGGAAAACCTTTACTGAATATATAGAAAATACCACATTTTTCGCTCTGCACCCAACCATAAGACGCACCTAGTTTTTAGAGGAGGAAAACAAGAAAAAATATATTCTCCCATCACCTCAACTCCCATCTTCCCTGAGCTCTGGCCTTGCTACCTAGGGGCGATGGGAGTTGTAGTTCAACAACACCTGGGGACCCACAGGTTAAGAAAGGCTGAATTGCGGTATGTGAGGTGGGGCTTACCTGGCCCCGCCCAATATTTTATTCAAGTTGGAAGAGGGAAGGAGGGAATGAAGGGAGAGAGAGAGAGAGAGAGAGAGAGAGAGAGAGAGAGAGAGCTCACATTTGTGTGTGCCTGTGGCAGGCAGCTGTAAGTGGCTCCCCCTTTGCTTGAATTACAGTCAGCTGGGAGGAGGGACAGAAGGGGCTGCCGTCCGTCCCTCCTCCCGCCTCACTGTAAAACCAGCAAGAGCCTCTTGCTTTAAAGGGAGAGCTGCGCAGACTGTGTCAGCGGCAGCGGCTCTTGCTGGCTTCGTTCCATAAGACACACAGACATTTCCCCTTACTTTTTAGGAGGAAAAAAGTGCGTCTTATGGAGCGAGAAATACGGCAACTGTGTACAGCTGAAAACGCAGGCAGCATTAAGATAAATTCAACAGTGTAAACAAGTTTTGATGGATGCAATAATGGAATAATGAATGGTATAGTTTTTGTAAAATGTGCAGGGATTTGTGATATGCAAAATGAACCATGGAAAGAGAAGAAGGGAAGTCACTGAAGAAGAGAAGAAGAAGAGTTTGGATTTGATATCCCGCCTTTCACTCACCTTCAGGAGTCTCAAAGCGGCTAACATTCTCCTTTCCCTTCCTCCCCCCCAACAAACACTCTGTGGGGTGAGTGGGGCTGAGAGACTTCAAAGAAGTGTGACTGGCCCAAGGTCACCCAGCAGCTGCATGTGGAGGAGCGGAGACGTGAACCCGGTTACCCAGATTACGAGACTACCGCTCTTAACCACTACACCACACTGGCTCTTGATATCTTAAGGATGTAAAATGAGTATTTTAAATTGTAAAACAGAAAATTTAATTAAAAAAATTATATATATATATATATATCTATATATATATATATCTATTATACACACACACACACACACACACACACACACTATTTGCAGGTCTGTTTCAGTACCAACTTACTTTGTTGCTCAATTTTTAGATTATTTTTAAGCTAATTGGGCCTTTAGTTGTAGTGATAATTATGGAAGAAAGGGGGATAGCTACCATTTCACTTGTCGCATCAAACCAAGTGGAAAGACTCCTGAATCCTCCGCACACTTTTAACAGACAAAAAGCTAGATTTCAAGCTAGCTTTAAATAAAGAGCTTTAATTGCTGAAAAGAAATGCCTGAGCAGGGGGCGAATGTCAAGTCCTGCTGGTAGATTTATTCTTTGTTTCCAAATCATTTCCCATTCAGTGAAGAAAAGACTCCAGAAAACGTGTCACAAGGAGGCAACATTTATTCAGACACATTATTTTATAAATGGCTTTTGGTTCAGCCACTAACAAATGCAACAAATCTTACTGTTGACACAGTGCAGTTAGGCGTTTTGTTCAAACATAATTGCAGTAGTCCTTGAAATGTTTCAAGCTGTCAATGTCTTATGCAAATCCCCCCCAAGTCTACTCCATGCAATACTCCTATACAAAGTGAACATGATCACACACACAAATATATACATATACATATATACATATACATGTAAAAGTGGTCTGCCTACTACAAGTGGCAGCAGCTTTCAAAGTCTCAAAGGCTATACTGCAATTGGCAGATGTGGCGTTTCCCTGTTCGTTTGAAAATGTCTGTACAGGGGGAGAGAAAGGGTTAGTATGTGGACCAATAGGAAAGCTGGAGGCGGAGCCTACCTGTTTATAAAAGGGCTTAGCCCGAAGTTTGGGTTGTGGGTAGTGGGTTGGCTGGTTGGGAAAGGCAGATGGAAAAGCAGTTGGAAATAGAGAGACAGTGCAATTGGTTCTTGTGTGAGGGGAGGTAGACGAGATAGAGACAGGATAAAATAAGACCAAGAAGGTAAAGAGAAACAACGTTTGGAATGCAGTTAAAGTTTGTTTGTGTCTGCAGTAAACTACACTCTTCTTTGTGAACTTAAGAACCTGACGGAGACTAAGTGATTTACCGGGGAGGACCTGGTTGGTAGCAGTGGATTAATGGTGTACGGGTTAATAGTCCGTGAGACGACCAGGGGCTCCGTACGAACGCCACAGCAGTCCTTTATCCTGGGGGTTGGACAGGGATTACAGATCTACAATCTTCCCCTACATCATACCACGAGTAAATAATAATAACAATAACTTTATTATTTATACTCTGCCCATCTGGCTGGGTTTCCCCAGCCACTCTAGGCAGCTTACAGCACATAAAAAAATGGTAAAACATTAGACATTTTAAAAAATATTCCCGATACAGGGTTGCCTTCAGATGTCTTCTAAAAGTCAGATCGATAGTTGTTCATTTCCTTGACATCTGGTAGGAGGTTGTTCCACAGGGCGGGCGCCACTACCGAGAAGGCCCTCTGCCTGGTTCCCTGTAACCTCACTTCGTGCCAGAAGGCCCTCAGAGCTGGACCTCAGTGTCCGGGCTGCACATGACAAAACCTCCCTTTAAGCCGTGAATAATCACACAGTTAGCTGCATTTTGTCACTGTTAAAAAGACCACTGACACTGAATGCTGAAGGCAACAGTTGGTAAGGTTAAGGTTGGTTTTAGCCCTATCACAGATCTTTGTCAAATCTCCCTTAATACAGGTACCTCTGGCCCTTTGTTAAACTACAGCTCCCATCTGCCCCAGCAGCATGGCCCATGAAGAGGGGACTTGTAGCTCAGGGACATCCGGGGGCACAAAGGTTCTCCACAGATGCCGGCATAACACAAGTAGCAATAGAAGAAAACACTGCATCAATGTGGAGAGCGCTGAAATGGTGTTTTTCAAAACAAGCACCCTCGTCCTTAAAAGAGGTTTTTCTGCTTGCAGTTTGAAGAGCACCTGAGAGGACTGCGGTCCCTAAAAGCCACTCACTGCTGTTGCTTCTGTCATGCCACGACTGCATCCTGGCTGCTGCTGCCTGCTACATCCATGCTGTTGGATATAATGGGAAAGAGATCTACACTTGTGCGCATGAGGAGTTCCTCTGTGCAAGGAGGAACCCCGGCTGCAAAGAAAGCCCAGTTTCGCAGTCAGTCAACTTCCAAAAGCAACAGGCCTTATTCAGTTTTTAGGGCTGTCCTCACCATTGTTTCTAAGGGGCAGGGGTGACTGTAGGGCACCTTCCCTGGAAGCACAGTAGCAGCTGACCACAGAAAGTCCCACACAGAAGATTGCGGGAAAATCCTAAGGGGCACAAGGATCTCTTGCATGTGCATCACAACTGAAATAACAAGAACACAAGGAGCACCGTTTATCCGCGTTACCTGAATTATTATGTATATTCTCATAGCATCCCTCTGTGCAATCACAGTGGCGGTTCTGACACCACAGCAGATTAATATGTATGTATTTAGCAGGTGCGTATTTGTTTCAACAAACAACTGAAAGAGATCATGATTTCCCCATCTTTGGAAAGATCATGAAAAACCCACCAGCATTTCCCCCTCTGCAGTCTTATCCCCACAGTTCAGTCCACCTCTTTGTGCCATGTGCGTTGATCCAAGTCCATGAAATATTCCTAATTTCAGAGCTTAAGTTGTTGGTTACCTTGGTTTTAAGTGCATGGTCATTAATCAAACGGGAAACAAGTGCGTACATGCACACATGCAAACCAGACTCAAGTGTAGAGTGATTAAGGCTGCAAATCAATAGGATTTACTTCAGAGTAGACATAGTTAGGCTTATGCTGTGATATCCACACCTGTGTACAACTAGGCCCCAAGCGTTCCATTGGTGAGAAAAGCTAACTCCTTTTTCCTTCAGGTCATCCAGGATATTTCTCTCTGTGTCCTACTTACAATGTGGACTTTCTTCCATCGTTTCTACCCCACAGAATTGGCATAAATAACCTCAACAGTAGGCCATAAGACATAGGGGCTGGGCAGGCATGTAAACATAGGCATATAAAAAGCTTGTAAACTATGGTTTGCCCTTAGGCCCAGCCCCCTTACACACTCAACAATGAGGCGAGCACCCAGTGTTCAGTATGGCTTACGCTGGAGTAACTGGAAAGAACAGTCCCAATCCACAAATTGCTACGTGGGCCCATCAGCACGAAGAATCAAGAAGCCTCTGGCGAAGTTTGGCGTCTTCTTTACCTGCTTCTGCTCCGTTGCCAGGTGACGTCTGTTCTGTTGCATCTGAAAGACAACAAGTCGCGGCAAATGGAAGCTCAGTTATCCTTTTCCATAGAAATCACAAACAAGTAGTCTTGTTGCCCTCAAACACAATGTCCGTGTGTGTGTGTGTGTGTGTGTGTGTGTGTGAGAGTGTGTGTGTGAGAGAGAGAGAGAGAGAGAGAGAGAAGAGGAGCTTCCAGTCCTTCACATAGTTTAAGACTGTAGCTATGTGTCTATCTGGGATATGGGTGGCACTGTGGGTTAAACCACAGAGCCTAGGACTTGCCAATCAGAAGGTTGGCGGTTCGAATCCCCGCAATAGGGTGAGCTCCCGTTGCTCGGTCCCTGCTCCTGCCAACCTAGCAGTTTGAAAGCACGTCAAAGTGCAAGTAGATAAATAGGTACCGCTCCGGCGGTAAGGTAAACGGCGTTTCTGTGCGCTGCTCTGGTTCGCCAGAAGCGGCTTAGTCATGCTGGCCACATGACCCGGAAGCTGTACGCCGGCTCCCTCGGCCAATAAAGCGAGATGAGCGCCGAAACCCCAGAGTCGGTCACGACTGGACCTAATGGTCAGGGGTCCCTTTATGTGTCTATCTAGGCTGTTGAAGTTGCCTCCCTAGCTGTCTGCAGGTTTGTAGCCTGATCCTTACATTAGGGGGGTTATTGAATTGTTGTTTTTATTTTGATTATACATTTTTTGGTTTTATATTTTGATTTTTTTCTGTGAGCCACCCTGAGACCTCTGGCTATAGGGTGGTATAATAATAATAATAATAATAATAATAATAATAATAATAATATCAGAGGCATTTGAGAAATACCCACAGATTCTAGGATATCTGGGGTATAACTCCAGGAATGGAGCAAGTGTGAAATAAGGCTTGTAGGGTAGTAGTCCACAGCATTTCTTTCCTAACTGATATTTAAAATTTAAAGACATTGGGGTGACCATCTTGTACACATTTGAGGGGTGGGGAATAAATCCCTTTGAATTCAGCAGGCTTACTTCAAGATGAAAACACATTGGATGTGTGATCCATGACTTCATATCCCAAACGCTACTTTAAGTCTACATGTAGAAAGGTTTGACAGAATGGCATTGTTTTACGGTGTTTTAAGCTGCTGCATTTCATAACTTTACACTTATGATATGCTTTTGTAAATTATCTGGAGGCATTAGCATGAGGCAATTAATACACCTCCTCCTCAAAATGCACAGGTCTGTTTGCTTGTTTTAGCTGTGGCGTTTTTTTAATCCTTAACAAAATGAAGTGTTTTATAGCTTTTTGTGTAGTACCGTATTTTTCGTTCTATAAGACGCTCCAGACCATAAGACCATAGTTTTTGGAGGAGGAAAACAAGAAAAAAAAATATTCTGAATCTCAGAAGCCAGAACAACAAGAGGGATCGCTGCGCAGCGATCCCTCTTGCTGTTCTGGCTTCTGGGATAGCTGCGCAGCCTGCATTCGCTCCATAAGATGCACACACATTTCCCCTTACTTTTTAGGAGGGAAAAAGTGAGTCTTACAGAGCAAAAAATATGGTATTTAAAAACTTGCAAACCACTTTGATCAATGTATTAGGAGCAGTGATATATGCATAACATAAAAGGAAGCAAACCGAAGCGAAACGACTTTACCCTTCAGTTCTAGCGCACTGTTTGTCTTTTCCGGCTCTGCTTTCTTTCCAGAGTCCTCTTTGATGGTGGCTGACTTGCCGTCTGCAACGTCCGTTTTAATCGAGCCGAGATTCATCAGGAGTTGCATGGGGTCGAACTTCTCGCCGCTGCCTTTCAGGTTCTCCAGAACTTTGAGGCACTTGTAAGATTTAAGCTCGCTGACATTCTCCTCGAGGAAGAGGAGGTAGAGGCTCAAGTCGTTGTAGTGTTTGGTTTTGACTTTGAGGACGTCAAACGTCGGCAGGAGCTCGTACACTTGCAGAATGTCTGAGCGCTGCCTGAAAGGGACCAGCAGCGCATAGACCACAATGGGCATGAGCAAGAGGTACACTATGATGTTGATATAGCTGAGGAGCTGGAAGACACCGACGGCAATCAGTTTGCACTGGAAGCGTTCGGGAACAGTGGTGTCGTTCTTCAATATCCCGGTTTTGATGTTGCAGATAAACTCATCGGTCATTGAGGAGAGGCTGATGTAATATCCCAAGTAGAGGCAGGAGAGCAGAATGATCATCAGGGTCAGCAATCGGCAAATAATGTACTTGATTATTAAGCTCTTGGAGCCCTTCTTCGTCTTCAGGTACTGTTCCACAATGGGGTATTTGAAGTGGCTCTCGGATATTTCCCAGAAACTGGGGGGGGGGGGGAGACACACCAAAGAGACAATATTCAGAGCCATCACACCATGATTTCATTTGCTCAGATGCTGCACAACACACACACACACAAAACTGGGAGGGCTCAGATTCCAAAGCACCAATGTCATATTTTTTTCAGATGCGTCCTGGAAGAGCAACTGCAAAAACAACAGAGTGCATCATGGCACCCCAAAGACTACTGTGTTCAGTGCATGCTTTTGCAGGTGAGAGTCTACTTCCTCCAACATGAAGAAGAGGAGGAGTTTGGATTGATACCTTGCTTTATCACTACCCTAAGGAGTCTTAAAGCGGCTAACAATCTCCTTTTCCCTTCCTCCCCCACAACAAACACTCTGTGAGGTGAGTGGGGCTGAGAGACTTCAGAGAAGTGTGACTAGCCCAAGGTCACCCAGCAGCTGCCTGTGGAGGAGCGGGGAAGCGAACCCAGTTCACCAGATTACGAGTCCACTGCTCTTAACCACCACACTACACTGGCTCTCATGAGGTTGATGATGGTGTGGGGGGGGGAGGGGTTTGCAATGGGATGGCAGAATGGAGAACTGCTTGAAATTCAATTAAAAAGGTGAGCCAGGTGAGCAGCTCTGAGGACAGTGCTTCAACACTGAGGGGCCACCACAGAGAAGGCTCTTTTCTGATTGCCACCTGCCTAACTTCTGATGGCAGGTGCAGCTGAAGAAAAGCCTCCTATTACCTAAGTCAAGAATGGGGGCCCTGTGGCCCTCCAAAAGTTGTCAGACTCTGGATGTGAGTAGCTTACCTATTATTCCAACTCAAGTTCATTTTAATTTTAGAAAATGGAAAGGAGTGGGATGTTACCTCTGAGCCATATTCTCATTAATGGCCGGAGATGAGCCCCTCACATCCCCATTGCGGCAGCTGTTTGCGGCTTTGATTGCCCTGTTATAGGATTTGTCGAGTTCTTCCATAATAAATTTCAGGTCTGAGCAAAGGTGGGGGGCTGAGGTGAAGCGCCAGAAGAGACATGGCAGGTACAGTAGGATTGCAACCAGCAGGAGGATGTATGGGAAAAACTGCGGAAGAAAATAACCGGGATAAGGAATTAGCTCAGATCCATCCGCAATCTGCTAAATAGTAAGACGCAAGCAGGACTGCTGAGACGCTTTGCAAACTGAATTTGTGGCTCCGTGATAGAGCATTTGCTTTGTAGGCAGAAGGTCGAATATTAAAGATTAGTAGTTACTTGAAGGTACTAAATAGGCCTAGCATTAAATTAGGACTCAATAAATAAATGAGACATAGAGATTAAGAAAAGTTAAGAAGTTTGATTATAATTGGAATATTGTATTTTTGAATAACGATATTGGAAAACTGCTACATTCAGGTACAAGGAAATTCAGATGGAAGAGATTAGAGGAAGCCAAGTAATACGTTTAAGAAGTTGGAAGTTTAATTAATTAATTTTTTTTATTGTTTATGTGTTTGTGGTTGTATTTTTGGTTATCATTTGCTATATTTGTTTTATTTTTATTTTTATTTTTTATTTTATTTTTGTTTCATTGATTTTATAGTATGTGTTGTATTTGTATGAAACTTAATAAATATTATTGGAAAAAAACAAAAACAAAAACAAAACTTAGCCAGCATTTCCAGGTCGGGCTGGGAATATCTGAAATCCTGGAGAGCTCCTGCCAACCAGTGTAGACAGAACCAAGCTAGATAGATCAATGGTGTGATTCAGTACAGGGCAGTTTCCTTTATTCCTAATATTGGGATTATTTTGCGATACAGGTCTGGAAAGCGTACTAATAATAACATTTCCTGCAATCCTGTCCACACTTATCTGGGAATAGGTCCCACTAACTTAAACGGGTATACTTCTCAGTAGACTTGCCTAGGATTGTGCAAGAGACTGAGGCTGATTGCCTTGGAAGCACCACTAAAGAGCAGAATATAGCGTCTTTAAAATACCGTATTTTTTGCTCTATAAGACTCACTTTTTCTCTCCTAAAAAGTAAGGGGAAATGTGTGTGCGTCTTATGGAGCGAATGCAGGCTGCGCAACTATCACAGAAGCCAGAACAGCAAGAGAGATTGCTGCTTTCACTGCGCAGCGATCCCTCTTGCTGTTCTGGCTTCTGAGATTCAGAATATTTTTTTTCTTGCTTTCCTCCTCCAAAAACTAGGTGCATCTCGTGGTCTGGTGCGTCTTACAGAGCGAAAAATACGGTACATGAATAAATAAGAGTAAGCATGCTAACATTTTAGCTGACACTGCTGCTGCAATTTTAACAGCAGACTGAAAAACCAGATACAGAGCATCTTATCATGCTAACATGACAGCAGAAGTGTCCTCTTTTTGGGGGATGCCAGAGGCTGTAAAAGGGAAGGAGCAGGACCAATGGAAAAAAGTTGGCCACCCAAAGCCAGAGAGGGTGTAGGAGCAGTAGCAGACTGATGCGGTTAAGTACGGCTCACTACTGATGTTGTTGCATCACAAGCGGCTGTGAATGGCCTTGGGACGAAGGACAACTCAAAACAACAGGTTGATAGGAAGAACACGAACGTGGGCTGTAAGAGCAAATTGGAATCTTAAGCTGTGCCTTGAGAATTCAGACTCCATTGTGATGTAGTGGGGGGAAATTAGACAAGAGGAGCTGCGGCAGTATGGGAACACATGGAAGTGGAGCTGAGGTCAGGCTGAAACCGTGTCGGCTGCCTGGCTCACACATTCTTTATTCCTCTACAGATTGAGTCTGTATCTGGGAAATGGTCCAATCTTTGGAACCGTCGGGGAATCTAATCAGTCTTGAAGAGCTCTTACTCCAACCAAGAGGACCTTTTGTGTTTTTTTGGGTAACAGCTAGAGAATTAAGACTAGATGAGAAGCCTATTTGCATTCAACTGCTTTCTGGCTCTCAAACTTTCCCCTTGACCTTGTTTTCTTCCCCTGCAAGCTCATCTGCCCATTCCTCGCTTTCTTTAGGTAAGAAGCAGCTGCTTCTCTCTTGCTTTAGCATTCTGAATTAGCACTGCTGTAAACTTGCAAGAACGACAGCAAAGTGAATGCGCTTCAAAAAGACTGCCTGCGTGTTATGGCAGATGGGAAAGGAAAGATAGAGCTGGCGCAGGAAAAAACTACTAGGTCTGGCAGACACTATTGGACAGATACTGCGCAGCAGCGAAGGGCTTCAACATCTGGAGCATCTGGAACATCAGGGGCTGCACCCCCACAGGTCAAACCAAAAGTTATGTCGTCCGAAGACGTTTTGGCACATGCACTTGGAAAAATTAATGAATCTTTGGAAAAATTAGCTAAGCAGGTAGCTGAGACTAATAAACAAGTAGCTGAAGCATCAGGTAAAATTGATCTGAATACTACAAGTATTAATAATTTGGGACAGAAGGTGAACACCAATACAGAGTCTATTGAAAAATTATTACAGGAATCTGCTTCGACCCGAAAGATAGCCGAAGAAGCAAAAGATATTGCAACTGCTATTCAAGAGAAGATACCACCAGTATATAAGAAATTGGAGGACCACGATTTGACATTGTCTATGATTGAATTGAAAGAGAGACAAAGAAATTTAAGAATCAGGGCCGTACCAGAACGGGAGAAAGACAACCTGGCTGACTTTCTTACACAGGAATTTACAGATTTTTGGCAACAGGACTTGGGGAAGGAAGAATTTAAGATAGTGAATGCATTTAGATTTGGAAGAGGACAAAGCAGGAACAAGGTGAGGGACTGCTTGATTACCCTTCGAACAAAAGAAGAGAGAGACAAAATTTTGAATTTGCACTATCAAAAGACTTTGGAAATTTACGACTCAAGTGTGGTGATATTTAAGGACATTCCAAAACATCTTTTGGACTTAAGGTTTAACTACGGAGACCTAGTTGCCCTGTTGAAAAGAAATAGAATTCTTTTCAGGTGGGAATTTCCTCAAGGCCTATCCTTTAAATACAAAGGAAGAAAGATAAAAATAAGATCAGTTAATGATAAGGACAGGTTCTTGAAAGATCACGAAGAAGACCTACAGAAAGAAGCGGGATCTGGAGAAGAGCCAAAAGGCATACTAGACATAGCAAACTTATCTTTTGGATTGCACGGCCCAGAGAAAGAGACACTATCTACAGAACAAGAACAGACACTTGGTGCAGTTGGAGGTAAAGTGAAGTAACCCCATCATGGCTCTGCAACTGTTAAGCTGGAATTGTAATGGTTTGAATTCCCCTCGAAAGAGAAAAAGTGTTTTTCATCTACTAAAAAAGGAACAATTGGACTTGATTTGTTTACAAGAAACACATATAACAAGGCTACACAGGAAACTACTGATTAATAAAAGATTGGGACAGGAGTTTATCTCATCTGACAAAGTTAAAAAAAGAGGAGTTGTGATATATGCAAAGGAGAGACTATTACCGAAATTAATTTTTAAAGATGACCAAGGAAGATTTTTGGCAATTGAAATTCAAGTTCAAGGAGAGAAATTCTTGATAGTTGGAATTTATGCACCGAATGAGGGGAAATCTGAATTCTTTAAAAAGTTGCACGAGACTTTACTGGACTATTTGGATTACAACTTGATTTTGATGGGGGACATGAATGGAGTAGTATCTACAAACATGGATAAGGCACAAAGACAGGTAGTTACCAAGGATGGTAGACTACCAAAAACATTTTTTTGAGATGACAGACAATATAGACTTAGTGGATATCTGGAGAGTAAAGAACCCCTTGGGAAGAGAGGGAACCTTCTTTTCTGAAGCCAATATGACATGGACTAGAATTGACCAAATATGGATAACTAGAGGAATGGCACCAAAGATAAAGAAAGTAGAAATCTGCCCAAAAACCTGCTCCGGCCATAACGCTGTAAGGATGGAGATGAAACAAATATCAACCGGATCCTTCAGATGGAGGATGAATGACACCTTATTTAGAGATGAACAAGTATATAAAAAGGCCCAAAAAACTCTGAGAGACTATTTTGAAATAAATATGAACACCAATGTAGAAAAAAGAGTAATCTGGGACGCAAGCAAAGCGGTCATGAGAGGGTTTCTGATACAACAGAATGCAATAAAGAAGAGAAGTCAGAATGAGAAGGAAGATAAAATTTTGGAGAAAATAAAAGAAAGTGAGAAGAAATTGAGAGCAAAACCAAAGTCGCAGGAGATTCTGAGAGAAATAAAATTATATCAAGTACAATACATGAAAATGATGAATCAGGAAATAGAATGGAAAATTAAACAAATGAGACAAAAAACATTTGAATCAGCTAATAAATGTGGGAAATTGTTGGCCTGGCAAATGAAAAAAAGACAAAAATTAAATACTATTACAAACTTAGAAGTGGAAGGAAAGAATATACATAACCCAACTGAGATTAGAAACTGTTTCCAGAGGTACTTTAAACAATTATACACGCAAGGGCCACAGAAAGAAATGGACATAGACCGATTCTTGAAGACAAATGGATTACAAAAAATCTCTCAAGAAAGTAAATTAATGCTGAACTATAAAATATCTGAACAGGAAGTGGAAGGTGCCATTCAAAACATGCAATTGGGCAAATCTCCAGGACCGGATGGGCTGACTTCTAGATATTATAGATCCTTGAAAGAGTGGCTATTGCAACCTTTGAAGGAAGTCTGCAATGAAATTTTGGAAGGGAAAAGGGCACCAGAGTCGTGGAAAGAGGCGTACATTACACTTATACCTAAAACAGAGACTGAAAAGACTCAGCTTAAGAACTACCGCCCTATATCGTTACTTAATGTGGATTACAAAATTTTTGCAGACATTTTGGCCAAGAGATTGAAAAAAGTATTGATGGAAGAGATTCATAAAGACCAAGCGGGCTTTCTCCCAGGAAGACACTTGTCTGATAATTTGAGGAATATAATTGATATTTTGGAAAAACTAGAAGTGAATATAAACACTAAAGCAGTTCTGATATTTGTGGATGCGGAGAAAGCTTTTGACAATATCTCTTGGAGCTTCATGAAGAAGAATCTACAGGGGATGGGGGTAGGCCAAGGTTTTGAAAATGGTATAGGTGCAATATACTCTGAACAAAAGGCTAAATTAATTGTAAATAATGTGGTCACGGAAGAATTTAAGATAGAAAAAGGGACACGACAGGGGTGCCCAATCTCCCCACTGCTTTTTATATCGGTCCTGGAGGTTCTGCTGAATATGATTAGAAGGGACCGGTTGGTTAAAGGTATACAGGTCGGAGCCAAACAGTACAAACTGAGAGCATTTGCAGATGACTTAGTATTGACGTTACAGGAGCCAGAATCTAGTACTAAAAGGGTTTTAGAAATAATTCAAGAATTTGGTCAAGTGGCAGGATTTAAATTGAACAAGCTAAAAACTAAGGTTTTAGAGAAAAATTTAACACCGATTGAAAGAGAGAGGTTTCAGAATGAGACAGGCCTGACTGTGGTTAAGAAAGTGAAATACCTGGGGATTAATATGACAGCCAAAAATGGGAACTTATTTAAAGATAATTATGAAAAATGTTGGACAGAAGTGAAAAAAGATTTAGAAATCTGGTCAAATTTGAAGCTTTCACTGTTGGGTCGTATTGCTGTGATAAAAATGAATGTATTGCCTAGAATGTTGTTTTTGTTTCAGACATTGCAAATTGTGGACAAGATGGACTGTTTCAAGAAGTGGCAGAGAGATATTTCTAGATTTGTCTGGCAGGGCAAGAAGCCCAGAATAAAATTTAAGATATTAACTGATGCAAAGGAAAGAGGTGGATTTGCCCTGCCAGACTTTAAACTTTATTATGAATCAGCAGCTTTTTGCTGGTTGAAAGAATGGCTACTTCTTGAAAATACAGACATTTTGGATTTAGAAGGTTTTAACAACGTATTTGGATGGCATGCATATTTATGGTATGATAAGGTCAAAGCACATAAAGCATTTAAAAATCATATTGTCAGGAAAGCACTGTTTAATGTTTGGATAAGGTACAAGGATTTATTGGAAAATAAAACCCCAAGGTGGTTGTCACCGATGGAAGCGAAAGCTCTGAAAAGGCTCAATATGGAGGCCAAATGGCCGAAATATTGGGAAATTTTGGAACAAGAAGGAGACAAATTGAAATTGCAGAGTTTCAAGAAACTAAAAAACAAAGTGAGAGATTGGCTTCATTATTATCAGATAATGGAGGCATATAATTTGGATAAGAAAATTGGCTTCCAGGTGGAAAAATCAAAACTAGAAACAGAACTGTTAGAACCCAAAACTAAGAATTTGTCAAGAATGTATAACTTGCTGTTGAAATGGAATACTCAGGATGAAACGGTGAAATCTGCTATGATTAAATGGGCACAAGATGTTGGACATAATATTATGTTTGCTGACTGGGAACAGTTATGGACCACAGGTATGAAGTTTATGGCATGTAATGCCCTAAGAGAGAATATTATGAAAATGATATACAGGTGGTACATGACCCCAGTCAAGCTTGCAAAAATCTATCATTTGCCCGACAATAAATGCTGGAAATGTAAAGAAACTGAAGGTACATTCTTTCACCTTTGGTGGACGTGCCCAAGGATTAAGGCTTTCTGGGAAATGATATATAATGAACTGAAAAAGTTATTTAAATATACCTTCCCGAAGAAACCAGAGGCCTTTCTTCTGGGCATTGTCGGCCAATTGGTGCTAAAGAAGGACAGAACTTTTTTTATGTATGCTACAACAGCAGCAAGAATACTCATTGCAAAGTATTGGAAGACACAAGATCTACCCACTTTGGAAGAATGGCAGATGAAGGTGATGGACTATATGGAATTGGCAGAAATGACTGGCAGAATCCGAGACCAGGGAGAAGAGTCGGTGGAAGAAGATTGGAAGAAATTTAAAGACTATTTACAGAAATATTGTAAAATTAATGAATGATAGAATGATGTTGGATAGTAATTAAGCGGTTTCCAGCTGTAATGTTCTAAGAGAATAAAAAGGGTTATAAATGGGTTAAAATCTAATGGTAAGGATTTGCTGTACCAATAAATTGAAGTGGAATACAAAACAGGGAGGTACGAGGAGGTCCGGGAAACAAGCTAAAGGAAAATAAGTAATAGAAAATATGTGTGTTTTTAACTGTTTTTATTTTGTATTTTTCTTTTTTCCTTTTCATTTTCACTGTAATATTTCAAAAAACCTTAATAAATATCTTATATATATATATAAAAAAGACTGCCTGCAAAACCAAGCGAAGAGCCCTATGACCCCAATCACGAATGCGTGGCGACATAAATTTCCATGACCCGCAGCAGCATTTGTTAAGTATAAACAACAGTCCCAACTCATTTATTTCCTCTAGGGACTGTGTCCTTGCTTGCTTTGTTAACCTACACACAATCCCCTGTTTCCTAATTGTCCTTCTGCTCATACTGCTTTCCTCACACTGACAATGCAGGTGAGGGATAAAGTACAGTTCCCAGAATTCTTTGGGGGAGGCTATTCATGTTAAATGTGGTTCAAATCTATAGTATGGATGTGATTGCTAGCTCTTCTTCCTGGCATTTCTCCCCCCCCCCCCCCGTTTCAAGGAAGGCTGCTTTCAATATGTGTTGTGAGAGAGAATATTTAATTATGAAATGATTCCACTTGAAACGGCACAGATTAGGAAACCTTCTACCCTATAATTTGCTGCTTTCAAATGGAAACAGACATAATTGGGTCATGGGGACTATGATTGCAATTTTTTCAAAAAAAATTGAACTACTACTTCTAACAACAACAAGTTTAAAAGCTCTGGGGCATTAGGGCAAAAGGCAACTAATGAACGATAACAATCAAACCACAGAGAAAATATAGCTCGTACATTAACATGAGAAAAACCATGAATGCTAGTGGGAATGCAATGCTACAGCTTCAGGTGTCTGAGTTGGGTTTTTATTACCCAGAATAAAGAAGGTGACGAAGGCCAATTATACAAACTTTATGAAGCCAGAGTGGAAGGTGCCCCGAGTCGCTCTGTGAAAGCTGTTTTTGCTGTACAGCTGCCCAGCAGTAGGAGTCCACGTAAGCAGCCTGGCGCCAGGAAAATGTACTTGGAGAAAAGCAGCTCATCTGGGTACCTAGCAAGTAAAGAAGGATGCACTGTAAAAGGGGGAACAGCATGAAACATACAGGGTACAATACAAAAACGGAGGGTTTGGAACCCATTTGGATAGGCAGCTGGGTCAAGTAACGGAAGATTTGCCCAGGTTGCACCATTTCACGCTGCAGGCATGGCATGTGAGCAGACTGAGCAAACACGGGTTCATGTCTGAACACTTAAGTGGGTGGGGAGGACGCAGAAAACCAGGAAGCCTAGCCTTCTTCCTGACATGCGATTTTTCTACATGCAAGGTGGAGTTTGAAACAGCGAACCCATGGGAAAGGTTCACCATTGAAACCCATTACAAAACACAGCTTGGTTCACATGAGTGTCATTTCTTCATTTTGTTAGCTTGAGCCTAGTTCTCCAATCCGTTAAGGTCATTTTGAATCCTGATTCTGTCTTTTGCAGCATTAGCTACCCTTCTCAGTTTGGTGTTGTGGTGTTTGCCCTCCTATGTGTGTGACATCATACTGGGTTCATAGGGAAAGGGTTAACTAATTGTAATATGACTAACCAATGTGAACCCAAGGGGTGGAGTTAATTGTGTATAAGGTTTAAGCACAGAGGGTTTTTGGAGGAGAAGGGAGTTAGAGTTAGGGTGGTTGAGAAGACAGTCTGGAGTTAGCAGAGACAGAGAAGAGAAGTCTGTGGATTGGGCTAGTCTAGTGTAAGAGAGTGAGAGAATTTGTTAAGAGGAGTCAGTCAAACAGTTGAGATAATCAGTCAGAAGGTATTAGAAAGGTATAGGCCAGTAAAGAAACTGAAGTTAAGATACTGACAGAAATACTATCTGAGAAACCATAAACTTGTCAATGTTGTAAAATAAACATGTTTTTTTGGTTCACTTTTAACAACTGACTGGACTCAGTGTTTTACCAGAGAGTAACTGGTTGGTGGCAGCGGGGAAGCGAGCACAGTGGTGGCACAGGGATCAATAGACCGTTAAACGTCCGGGGACCCTGTGTGATCGCCACAGGTGTCATCTGCAAATTTGATGAGCACCCCCTCAATTCCTTCTTCCAAGTCATTTATAAAGGTGCTGAACAACAGCGAGCCCAGGGCAGAACCCTGAAACACCCCATTTGTCGCTCCCCCCCCCCCCGGATGACGAGGAACCATGAATGAGTACTCTTTGGGTTCGGCTGCTAAATGGCAACTCCCATCATGCCTGACAACTGGCCCTGCTGGCTGGGGCTGATAGGAACTGTATTCCAACAATATCAGGAGGGTCATAGGCTTCCTACCTGCAAAGTAGTGTATAAAACAGACATGCACAGAGCTCTGTGCAGAGAGATAGAGTGGCTGAAGCAGAGAAGCTGTCTTTCTGTGCTGTCAATCTGCCCAGGAAAGGGAAGGGCACAGCTAGGAAGCTGGGCACCAAGGGGAACACTTTGGGAACACTGCCATGCCCCACCCATGAAAGGATAAAAGACCCATGGGCGGGGCAGCGTAGGTGGGTGTACAGGCTAAGCAACAGAGAAAGGAGATGGAGGGAAGCAGAGGGAAGAGAGGGGAAAGCAGCGGAGATAGCAGAGGTGTGTGCTTCAGGGAGCAGAGAGAAATGAAGAGAGGTAGAGGTAGAGGTAGAGGACCCCAGGATGGTTAAGTCCAGTCAAAGGCGACTATGGGGTTGCAGAGCTCATCTTGCTTCAGGCTGAGGGAGCCGGCGTTTGTCCACAGACAGCTTTCCGGGTCATGTGGCCAGCATGACTAAACCACTTCTGTCGCAACAGAACACCGTGATGGAAACCAGAGCGCACAGAAACGCCGCTTATCTTCCCGCCACAGCTGTACCTACTTTTCTACTTGCGCTGGCGTGCTTTCGAACTGCTAGGTTGGCAGAAGCTGGGACAGAGCAGCGGCAGCTCACCCCGTTGCGGAGATTCGAACCGCCAACCTTCTGATCAGCAAGCCCAAGAGGCTCAGTGGTTTAGACCACAGTGCCACCTGCGTCCCAAAAGAAGCATGTCGAGAGAAGAAGCATGTGAACAGGGTAAGGTTGCTGGAAGTAGCAGCAGGGAGACAGCTTCTAAGTGTGGGGTGTAGAGGAAAAGCTAGAGGCAGATAAGGAGTAGAGGTGTGAAATTGAAAGGTTAAGAGCAGGCATCCCCAAACTGGTGTTAACGGAGGAATCCGAGGGCTCCCTTGGACAAAAAACAAAGACACCAACCAGGACAATTTGGAGCAAAACAGCAGCTTGTAGGCTTGGCCTTTAATGGAAACTGTCACGACAGGACTCCCACCCACAACAAGATGAAGCAAAATGGAAGTCCAGAACAAAAGAAGACCCCAACTTTTATTAGTTTTATTATTAGTTACTAATCCCCCAAAATATACCCCTAAAACTACATCACAACTACATCATTGATACATCACAAAAAGGAGGGGTTGAGGGAGGAGTTGTGGTGGTAATCTGAGTGTCCTGTCACCTGGCTGGTTCCCCCTTTCCCCCTCCCCATGAGTACTTTCCAGGTGACAAAGGGGAGACAGAGGGAAGAGCTGATCATTGTCCTTTGTTCCAGTCCGTGCTGAATCCACTCCCATATGCAAGTTCTTTGTGATCTTGATGGTCTTCGGTCTAGGACCATCAGGGTTGGCATAGCAACTGGGCAGGGCTCTTGTGTATGTGCTGGTATGCTCAAGGGATTATGGCTGCCCTGTATCAAACCTTCCCCATTTTGTAGTCCTTCCTTCATGGAGTAAAATAAAAGTGGAACGGTGCAGATCCGATATATGGTTGATTTTCTATGAATTTATAACAGAAGCGTAGCGTATGTCGTGTGTGTGTGTGTGTGTGTGTGTGTGTGTGTGTGTGTGTGGAGTTTGTATAAACTGAATGATTGGGGGTTCCCCCCCCCCCTGCGACACTGGTTAAGAGCAGTGGAGCAGGAAGGGAGAGAGATAAACCAAATGTGTTCTTGAGTGTGTGAAGATATGCAAGGAAGGGAGACAGTTTTCTACAGCGCAGGTTGAACTGGCCTGTGCTTCCTCAGTGACAGGGAATAAACAAAGGACACGGAGGATCCCTAGTGCGAATTACACCTGCAGTGGGCCATAAACCAAGTAAACAGAGACGCCAGATAGCCAATGTGTCCAATGAAAAGGCATGAGATTCTGAAGGCTCCGATATCAAGCGGAACACAGGGTGAAGGAAGCTCCCTCCGCACATGGTATGGCCAGCAGGGCTTCCTAATGTCTTATGTGCAAACCTCTCATATCTGCAGTTCCCAGCAGCCCTGAAATAATTATTGCTGGATGCGCCAGCATAGATCAGATTCACTTATGCAAAAGACGATCCCCTTTTACAACAAAGGCTGAAGTCACAAATGCTTGTAACGTACGCTGCAGTCAGTAAGCATCCAACATCTGATAAATCTCCACATTCACATCGACAATGTGCAGCAACGAAAGTTTAGGGGTCCTGTTTACAGTGCGGATGAAAAGATTTAGTGTGAGTCACAGCTGACATTAATTTCAAAGGCTGTTGTCCTATCAATGCCATAGTAGTCACAGGGCTCCCTTATGAGTACAGCAGTGTGTTTATGTGAGCTAGCCGGGTCTATTTTAAACCTCAGCCAACTTGGCATGGGTCCCAGTGGTCCTTTTCTTCCAAAATGCCGGGCAGCGGGAGATGGGAGCTTTATGGCTACAAAAGCTGTTGTCATTCTAGGCACTGCCATGAAAAGCTGGATGATCAGGGCTGCCAAATAACATGAAGGACTCTTGCACTAGCAGCCGGGTAAACATGTAAGCATGATGGCTCGATAGTTGAACCCTGGGTTTCTCGTTAACATCAGAGGTTCCTGGTGAACCCTTCAGACACCCATCAGTAGCTGTTAAATAGGAATCTCCAAAAACAACAACACCCAAACCCCAGATGCTGTGAAAAGGAGGATGAGAAAAATCAGGACAAGCATGGGGTAGGGTGGTAGGGAAAAGCAGCTTTTCTGAGCTGGGGTGCTCATAGGGTCATAGATCCCGAGGGTCATCTAGTCCAACCCCCTGCAATGCAGGAATCTTTTACTCAATGTGCAACTCGAACCCACAACCCTGAAATTAAGAGTCTCATGCTCCACTGACTGAGCTGTCTTCCAAAGAAATGGCTGTATCCAACGTTGCAACGGGTGTGGGCCGGGGGACGTGCAGAGCAGCTGTAGTTCTTGAGCCAAATGAAAATTCACCCCCCCCCCATGAAACATGACCTCTGGCAGCTGTGAGACTTTGTCATTCCTAAATCATGGAAAGTCCCGCTGCTTATTCTTAGCACTGTATAAAGTAGTTCGGAATGCCTGTTTTGCTCGTTTATATGCTCCTCAACTGACAAGTCAGCTTTGGGAAGAGGCAAAAATGCAACAGCTATTTTCCAGATTTATATCGTTTCCATTACTGCTTCAAATTAGAAATTAATTTGTGAGCTGATCAGCAAACTTAATCTTGGCGTCTCTGTGGTGGAGACCCGGAGACCCAGTTTGCATGTAACACTAAGCTAATACAGTGGTACCTCAGGTTACATACGCTTCAGGTTACAGACTCTGCTAACCCAGAAATAGTGCTTCAGGTTAAGAACTTTGCTTCAGGATGAGAACAGAAATCGTGCTCCAACGGTGTGGCAGCAGCGGGAGGCCCCATTAGCTAAAGTGGTGCTTCAGGTTAAGAACAGTTACAGGTTAAGAACGGACCTCCAGAACGAATTAAGTACTTAACCCGAGGTACTACTGTATTGCTAAAGCACACCGTGGTTTGCTGCGAATGGGCAGGTTCCAGAGCAAGCATCACAGGCCCTGTGCTTATATTCTGACTGTGCTGCTGCCACGTGACCCAGGGCTAAGCCATGGTTTGGTTTACCGTTTGAACCTGGGCTCATGGGTTTTTCTTGCTACAGTCAAAGCAACAGCTATAGCTGAAGTTTGTTCTTGGCTTACTGCTCAGAGATTGCCTAGAGGAGACAACCTATGAACTGAGGTTCTAACCATCGCTTAGCTACAGGAAGAACAATAGTGTTTACTATTGTTGGCTTATTATGTAGAACAGGCGTAGCTAGCAAGCCGCCTTTCACATGTTGTTGAATAGCAACTCCCATCTGCCCCGGGCAGCATGGCCAAATGGTCAAGGATGATGCGAGTTGCAGTGCAGCACTATTGAGAGGAGACCACAATGTCCTCTCCTGGTTTAGTATCAGACAACGAAGGAATACCAAGAATTGAACTGAATTGAATCAAAACAAACACAACTCTGTATACAACAAAATTATAATATGCACTGAATGTTCCAATGCAACTGGGAGTGGACCACATTGTCCTCTCCTGGTTTAGAGCAGTGAGAAAATAACAATCCTTCTGGGTCAGACTATTTAGTTCAGCATCCTGTTTTCCACAGTGGCCAATTAGATGCCCCTGGGAAGCCCAAAAGCAGGACGTGACTGCAATTGCCCTCTGCCGCTGTTGTTCCCCAGCAATCAAGGTACAGTGGTACCTCGGGTTACAGACGCTTCAGGTTACAGACACTTCAGGTTACAGACTCCGCTAACCCAGAAATAGTACCTTGAGTTAAGAACTTTGCTTCAGGATGATAACAGAAATCGCGCAGCAGCAGTGCTAAAGTGGTGCTTCAGGTTAAGAACAGTTTCAGGTTAAGAATGGACCTCCGGAACGAATTAAGTACTTAACCCGAGGTAACGGTAAAGTGACCCCTCACCATTAGGTCCAGTCATGACCGACTCTGGGGTTGCGGTGCTCATCTCGCTATATTGGCCAAGGGAGCCGGTGTACAGCTTCCGGGTCATGTGGCCAGCATGACTAAGCCGCTTCTGGCGAACCAGAGGAGCGTACAGAAACACCGTTTACCTTCCCGCCAGAGTGGTACCTATTTATCTACTTGCACTTTGACGTGTTTTCGAAATGCTAGGTTGGCAGGAGCAGGGACCGAACAACGGGAGCTCACCCTGTTGCGGGGATTCGAACCGTCAACCTTCTGATCGGCAAGCCCAAGAGGCTCAGTGGTTTAGACCACAGCGCCACTGCATCCCTTTGAATAGGTATACACAGTGCTAAGTAACCATTATGCCATCACAAGGATTTCCACTTGCACAACGGAATCCCCCTCCTCTCCCCTGTGTGTGCCCCACACCCATCCCAAATCTGTTCCAGTGGGAGAACCCAGAGAGCAGATTTCAATAGTCCACAGGGGGAGGGAGTGGGGAAGTCCCACTGTGCAAGGAAAAACTTGACAGGATCGTGACTTAGGCCTCCTTTGGATTCTCCTCTAGTCAGCATTCTGTGACTACTGACTATGTTTAGTCATCACTGAACTGCAGGGTGGCCAGCTTCCTTCCACCACAGAGTATTTTATTCAAACCCCTGCAGCATGCTGATATTATATATTCTACATAAAGGTAAAGGGACCCCTGACCATTAGGTCCAGTTGTGGCAGACTCTGGGGTTGTGGCACTCATCTCGCTTTATTGGCCAAGGGAGCCGGCGTACAGCTTCCGGGTTATGTGGCCAGCATGACTAAGCAGCTTCTGGCGAACCAGAGCAGCGCATGGAAACGTCGTTTACCTTCCTGCCGGAGTAGTACCTATTTATCTACTTGCACTTTGACATGCTTTCGAACTGCTAGTTGGCAGGAGCAGGGACTGAACAACGGGAGCTCACTCCGTTGCGGGGATTCGAACCGCCGACCTTCTGATCGGCAAGTCCTAGGCTCTGTGGTTTAACCCACAGCGCCACCCGCGTCCCATAGTATACATACAGAGCTCTTAAAAGGACAGAAGCACTAAAACTGATCTCTTCTCCATATGCGCTAAAAAATACGAGGGCCAAGATTGCTACGTTGTGTGGATTGGATTTGTGATTCGTGAGTGATTGGTTGAGAATAAATAGGTCACTGGAGTCTTGGGGGGTTGGGTGGGTTACTGGCGGGATCTGCAGACAATGGGAATAACATGTTCAATAGATTCTAGGTCACAGGGAGGGACCAGGCAGCTGGGTCCCAAACAAGGAATCCTTTTGTTGGCAAGTGAGTTTGGATAACACTGGACTAGACAATCACCAGAAATCTTGAAGCCCTACAATTTTTCTCCCTGTTTTTGTTCCAGGAGATGATGCAAGTTTTGTCTTCTGTCTCAAAAATCCATCGGTTCCAGTACTTAAAACATTGGCATCTGTTTCTCCTTTCCTCGAAGCAGCTTTACAATAAAGGAAAACAGCCATAGCTACCAACAAACAACAATCCATGCAGAAGCCCTAGAGGATGAAGCGTGGCTTATAAAGAAATCATGTGACGATATCAGCATTGAGACAAGGAGGAGCAACAGCTGTTATGGAACTGAAAGTAAGAGGCACGCAACAAAGGATATTGGTACAGGCATGCCCTGGAATGTGAGAAGTGCTCAAGCAATGAAGCTGATTTGGGCTTCGTCAAAATGTTGACCTGCATAAAAGAAAAATCCCCTTTTCAAAATGAAAATGTTGTGATTATTATTTGTGTATTTATTCCGTCTAAACCACAGAGCCTAGGGCTTGCTGTTCAGAAGGTCGGCAGTTCAAATCCCCGCGATGGAGTGAGCTCCCGTTGCTCAGTCCCTGCTCCTGCCAACCTAGTAGTTCAAAAGCACATCAAACTGCAAATAGATAAATAGGTACCACTCTGATGGGAAGGTAAACGGCGTTTCCGTGCGCTGCTCTGGTTCACCAGAAGCGGCTTAGTCATGCTGGCCACATGACCCGGAAGCTGTACACCGGCTCCCTCGGCCAATAAAGCGAGATGAGCGCCGCAACCCCAGAGTCGGCCATGACTGGACCTAATGGTCAGGGGTCCCTTCACCTTTACCCTTCATCCCATCTTTTATCCAAGTTGCTGAAAGTGGCATACAGTGGTGTTTTCCCATCTCCCTGAGATGTAGGTCAGGCTGAGGGACGGTGACTCACTGGCCCAAGTGATCTTCATGGCTGTCTGAGGATTTGAACTTTGGCCTCTGTGGTATTAGGCCAACACTGTAACTACAGCACCTTCTCTGTGGCATAATTCTCTGATTAAAAAAACCTGCAAAACAATGCTTCAGGGCTATTAAAATGCAGCGTAAGTGGCTTTTTGTTGAGTCATGCATCAAAGGGCAGCACTTCCCGTATCCACACCCAGATATATATAAAGCAGGACTTTGAACTGACAGTGGAAGTGTAAAGATGAGGGAGGCAGACAGACAAAGAATTAAAACAAAAACTGATTTAAGAGCTTTTCACAAAACGCTGCTCATTTTTAGGGAGGCTGCAGAAGTTTTAACTTGCTGCTTTTAAATAATGTGCCTTAGAATGCTTCGAACACAACTTTGGGAGGACAAAAGGCTGAAAACTTTAAATAAATGTGATAAAATAAAATGCCTTGTCTGTCTGTCCATTTACTTCTTCTCAAAGCACTTTGGGACTTAAGATTTATTTAGCAGTTTTTATATACCGCTTAAAAGTCAAAACCTCTAAGTGGTTGATGCAATGCATTCATTCATTCATTCTAATAAACGTATTTCCTGACCTGTTCTAATACCTTTTCCTTATGGTATTAGATGAGGCAGTGTGGTGTAGTGGTTAAAGTGCTGGACTAGGATCCAGGCAACCAGGGTTCAAATCCTCACTCGGCCAGAAACTCACTGGGAAATGCTGGGCCAGTCACTATCTCTCAGCCTGACCTACCTCACAAGGTTGTTGTGGGAATAAAATGGGCAGGAGGAATACCAATAGTTGAAAGTTGTGATATAAACGTATTAATAATGATTTCCCCAGTCTACAATGCCTCTGCTTCCCCACTCCAATAAAACTTGTTTCAGTTCTATGCACCTTTGCACAGATTTAATCCATTAAAACCCATTGGATTAATTGACTAGGGTCAGGGAGTTATGATTAGGATTGCATTGCAAGTGTCCTTACATTGAGAACAGCTCCGATTATTTGCTTTTGCAACCTTCAGAATCCATAGTAATTTGAAAAGCCATAACCTGCAGTCTGGAGTGGTACAGTCCAGGGGTGCCAACTTGAATAAAATATTAAGGCAGGTGGTGGTGGTGGTCAGGTAAGCCCCGCCCCAAATAATCGATCATGTGACACGCACATCCCTTGAATGGCAATGCCCATCAACTATGCGACTGTGCTTGTGCGTCAAATATTTTATTGGGGGGTGGGAGGAAAGATGCTCGGAATTGGCTGCTGCGGTACAGTCACATTCCTACCGCCCCTGCAGCCCGGAGTGGTACAGCCGCTCCCCCCCCCCCGTCGCAAGGTGCGTGCCTAAGCATGCGTGCCTATCTCTCCCCAGGCCCGGCCCCTCCATCGCCTGCGGGCGGTGCCAGCCCCGGGGCGGGGCAGCAGCCCCCTTACCTATGGAGATCTCCTGCGCGAAGGCCAGCGAGATGAGCAGCAGGGGCAGCCCGACGGCGATGCAGGTGACCAGCTTGTCGACGGCCAGCTCCAGCCGCAGCCCCTTGTACTTGCTCTCCGACGGCTCCTTCAGCAAGAAGTCCGAGAAGACGTACTCGGTGGCGATGTGGGCGATGGCCATGGTGGCGCGCCGAGGGCCAGGCGGCTGCCGGCTCACCCAAAGCGCCTCTCGCCCACCCGCCGGACCCGCGCTCTCCTCCGGGCTGGCTTCGTCCGCGAGCTCCCTGGTGGGGGTCTCCGCCGGGTCCCCCCCCCCCCCGTGCCTGCGCGCCCTGCCTGCCTTTGTTTGGCGAGCGCGCCCCCCTCGCAAGGCGGCGAGGCGAAGGAGCGCGAGAGAGAAGGGAGGGCGCTGCTCCGCCTCCGCCCGGCCCCCTCCACGCCCCCGTCGCCGGGCGGGAACGGGCTGCCGCCGCCCCCGCCGGCTTTCCCAGAAGACGAGGCGGAGGAGGCTCTTTCAAAAGAGTTTGTACGCTTATTAACGCCATCTCCAACTCGTCGAAAGATTCCACCAACGGTGTCTCCGAAAATTTTTACGCATCACTTGGGAAGACAGGCGAACTGATGCCAGTGTGCTGGAAGAAGCAAAGATCACCAGGGTCGAAGCAATGATTCTTCAACATCAACTTGGCTGGACTGGTCATGTTGTGGGGTTGCCTGATGATCGTCTTCCAAAGCAACTACAGTGGTACCTCGGGTTACAGACGCTTCAGGTTACAGACTCCGCTAACCCAGAAATAGTACCTCGGGTTAAGAACTTTGCTTTAGGATGAGAACAGAAATTGTGCTCTGGCGGCACGGCGGCAGCGGGAGGCCCCATTAGCTAAAGTGGTGCTTCAGGTTAAGAACAGTTTCAGTTTAAGAACGGAACTCCGGAACGAATTAAGTTCTTAACCCGAGGTACCACTGTAACCGGGATAAGGAATTAGCTCAGATCCATCCGCAATCTGTTAAAGATCACAATATACAAAATCAAAATAATAACCATAACCCAATAACAGCCCCCCCCCCGAAAAGAGCCACATTTTAAAAGGGTATAGGATGTCAATCAGGTCAGCCAAAGGCCTGGTTAAAAAGGAACGTTTTTGCCTGGCACCTAAAGGTGTATAATGAAATGTGGTGTTCGCCGCAACCCACAGGTATTCTGCAGCCGTTTGAGAGATGTTTTGATGAGCTTTACCTCAAACCAGCTTCCACCAGATCTGGAAACGGAAGCCATGGTCAAGCTGAGGTGTGTACAATTCTGATAAGCCACCGTGCCATGTGCAGAGGATGGGCCGAAGTGATTTGGAATTTGGCCCAGGAAACAAATCAGGTAAAGGGCATCAGGTGAAGACAATATAACAAATGCAATTTTCTATATGGAAAAAAGAATAAAATATTACAGTGGTACTTCGGGTTAAGAACTTAATTTGTTCTGGAAGTCCATTCTTAACCTGAAACTGTTCTTAACCTGAGGTACCACTTTAGCTAATGGGGCTTCCCGCTGCCGCCATGCAATTTCTGTTCTCATCCTGAAGCAAAGTTCTTAACCAGAGGTACTATTTCTGGGTTAGTGGAGTCTGTAACCCAAGGTACCACTGTATTATAAAAAAGGACATCCCTGCCCCTTCTTTGGTCTGCATGGCAATGTGATGGAGAGGGATTCCCCTTGCTGTGTTTCAAATGTGAACATGGCGTCTAAAAACTGTTGCAGACATGACTCTTTAGGGCACTGTGAAGCTGGGTGCCAGCTCTGGACATAGCCCTCCTTTGTAGTTGCAGATCACCCCCTGTTGTTTTGCATATTCCCCAGGAACCTTTGGGCTGAAGGATGGAATATCTATTTAGTAAACAACAACACCCTTTCAGTAAGGAAGGGCGCTTGGAACAGTTGGGCGCCATTGCCATGATAAGAGAACCAGGGAGGCATTCATAGTGAGTTCTGGCACCTCTTTTTCTATAAAATAGCAATAATAATAATAGGAGGAAAACTCATTTATTTGGTGGAAGAAAACCTTTGGCTGTGACCTACTGCTTTTTTACCCCTTTTTAATGATTGCAAGAGTAATTTTTTGAAAAACATGGGAGAATTCATAAAATTTAAATCCACTGACCACTACCACGGATTGTTGTTAGAACTACTGCTACGTTTACAGTTCCGTTCTGACATAAATTACACAACCCCACCCCCCAAAGTGCTTAACATATTCAGCTTTATTTATGCTGTTTAGTGCTTTAAAATCTGTAGAAGCACTTAACCATTCTGTAAAAGCACACACACCATCTGATGCAGTCCTAGCAGTAATGGAACAAAGCATTGCTTTGAATTTTACCCATCTCAAGACCACTTATTTGTGATTTAAATGTGCTCCGTCTTTATTTATTGTTTACTTTCATTTCGGTGCTGAAGCCATACCAGATGCAAACTGGCAATCTGAAACTCTGTAATGAATTGCCCTCGTTAGAGAAAAACGAAAAACGGAAGCTTGAACAAAGTTTTTCAGTTGCACTGCTGTCTTAAATTGGATGGAATGGAACAGCAAACTAATTTTCAGCTTTTTGCAGAGCGCTCTATACAAGGAGATGATTGGTTAAAGAAATAATAATATCTAAATAGCACAACCATATGCCAGTGCAAAGTCTGGTACTTAATTGTGGCTGGGGTGTATCTGTGAAAATGGGTTTGAAGTAGCCAAAGCAATCCACATCTCTCCAGAGTTTTGATAACACTTTGAGTAGCCTGCTAATTAATTCAGTAGCTTGTGGTAAAAAAGCTAGTATAAGTGTTAGCACAAAAACTAGCACAAATAAACTTTACTGATTTACAACAAATGGGGGTAAATGGGGAAAGGCACGCACTCCAATAAAATGCTTCACAGAATAGAAATTTAGGTCTAAGACTGACCCCGTTGAAAAAGGCTTTTGCAACAGGTTCTCATGAGGAGTGAGACAGAACTGAATGATTCTACTTGTCATGATAAGTATGGCAAATCCATACCATGATTAGCTCCCTCCCGGAAACCAATGTCCCCACTGTGGAAGGAAGTGTGGATCCAGAACTGGCCTCCACAGTCACTTATGGACTCACTGTTAAAACTGTGTTAATGGAAGACAATCTTACTTGGCTACGAGTGATCGCCAAAGAAGAAGCAGCAAAACCAGCAATTAAAGCCACTTCCTGATACTTTGAACAAACTGGCAATGGACAATAGCTTTCAAGAGAGATTAAAAGCATTATTACCCTAGGTGTACACACTAATTTTGTTTGCCCAGCTGCCATTTCTGGTGAAACAGGATTTGAGTGGCTCAAAGCACATTTCATCAGCATCTGCTGATGCACCAGCTGAGACTATACTTGGATGGAGGTAAGCTTGGCCACAGTTATTCTATGCATCTTTGGTAGCCTCCTGCTTAGACCACTGCAATGCACTGTACATGGAATTCCCTTTAAAAATGGTCTGGAAACTGTACCTGGTCCAGAACAGGGTGGCAAGACTATTGACTAGAACTGGGCGTTTTGATCATATTATGCCACTGCTTTACCAGCTGCTCCCAGTTAGTTTCTAACTTAAGGTTCTGGTTTAAAACAATAAAGCCCCGAATTCCTTGGAACCAATTGCCTTCTCCCATACCTTCTTCCATACAATCCTCATCAGGGGCACTGATCCTGCTGCTGCCAATTGAGGTCCCTCCCAGTGGTGGCACCCTGGTTGTGGGAGGAGACCATCTGGCACAATTCTTGCGGTCTTTTTGGCACCAGAGGAACGCCTTTTTATTTGCTCAGAATGTCTCGATTTATTTTATTTTTATATACGGCCTGCCATCTGAGGATCACAGGGCAGTTTACAATATAAAAACACAAAAATACATAGCACACAGTAACAAACAAAAGCAACATCCCTGCCCCCTCCAAGTTTACAAGGCCATAGATGGTTTAATTAGCCAAAGAGTTTGGGCACAATTCTTTACATTTGCATAAGTGAATTTGCACATAGGTAGTGGGCAGATTCTTAAGGAAATCAGCCCTGAGTGCTCACTGGAAGGACAGATCCTGAAGCTGAGGCTCCAATACTTTGGCCACCTCATGAGAAGAGAAGACTCCCTGGAAAAGACCCTGATGTTGGGAAAGATTGAGGGTACAAGGAGAAGGGGACAGCAGAGGACGAGATGGTTGGACAGTGTTCTCGAAGCTACTAACATGAGTTTGACCAAATTGCGGGAGGCAGTGGAAGACAGGAGGGCCTGGCGTGCTCTGGTCCATGGGGTCACGAAGAGTCGGACACGACTAAATGACTAAACAACAACATCAACAACAACAACAAAGTGGGCTGATAGCAGCACTTGCATGGATTGTTGTTTTACATTACCGTATTTTTCGCTCTATAAGACGCACCAGACCACAAGAAGCATCTAGTTTTTGGAGGAGGAAAACAAGAAAAAAAATATTCTGAATCTCAGAAGCCAGAACAGCAAGAGGGATTGCTGCACAGTGAAAGCAGCAATCCCTCTTACTGTTCTGGCTTCTAGGATAGCTGCGCAGCCTGCATTCTCTCCATAAGACGCACACACATTTCCCCTTACTTTTTAGGAGGGAAAAAGTGAGTCTTATAGAGCGAAAAATACGGTATATTGTTAAGATTGTATTTTGTTCTTTTCATCTTTGTGGGCTTTCTAGAGAACATGAGTTACTGGGCGGCCAGACAAATGAAGCTAATATTAAACAATAAAATAAAAACAGAACCGACAGCCAAGCCGATTCATTTCCCATATGTGTCCTTTAGTTACTTGAAGAATTCATTTAGATTCTGGCTCAGGTGTGTATCTCCACAGGGTCCAATTCATATCCCTTTCAGACCTAACTCAAATCCGAATGTTCTGGGGCCTGCTTTGAAATAAGTTCTATGTGGCAAGAAGGGAGTTCCCCAAATCATCCCTAGTTTTATCCCAACTACAAGTCCACTCAGAATTATTGCAACGTAGTAGTAGCTGCTGTAGTTTCGCTCTGTCTAACATACCTGGATGCTTCTAGACTGTATTTCGGGGTGGGATTCAGTCACATACCGGCAAATTAGGGTTGTGCGATTAAAATGGACTTGGAGTTCCTGAACAACAAACCTTCTCCCCCATACCCACCTGTCAGGGAACTGACATCGGAGCCAGAGGCGGAGGCTAGGCTCTCAAGCGATGCTGGAGAAGGGCCCAGCAGGGGGAGAGACGGCTCACCAGCTGGGGAAAGAAATCAGCGTAACACCAGGGATAAAGGGGGGCAGATGGGGGAATCGGCGAGGGGGCTCCAGGACTCCTTGCTGGAGATCAGCGAGGAGAGCACGGGTC